GCTGTATTCCATGCTACCTAAGAGATCGCCTTAGCCCAGACATGCCCAGCTGACCACTTTGATTGGCAGAACTAGCACTACTACAGATGCCACATAATACCTGCACCACATATGTAAACTTGATCATTTAGTGTGGCAACACTTTGGAACCCCCTGAGTGTTGATATCAGGCAGACACCTTCACTGTATTCTTTTTGGTGTCTGCTGAAGAGTTTCTTATTTAGTCATGCCTATCCAGTGAAATTAATGGGCATGACTCATTTAGGCACAATCATTTCAACCAGTGATTAAGTACTGGGAGCAGCAATAGGTGTGAAAATTTTACTCCTCTGACCTTTATGTTTGCTTTTATGGTGGGTTTCAGTTTGATGCTTTGTTTTGCTGTATTTGTATTTTTTTTAAGTACTGGGAGTACTTAGAGCTTCATGCTGATGGCAATGTAGTGTGCGCACTCACAGGAGTCCTAAATATTTTTGCAGAAGCTTATGGAAAGCTTGGTCTATCACTCAATATCCAAAAAACCAAAGTGCACAAAACAACCCCTCTGCAGCACCACAAATCCAACTTAATATTGTAATGTTGGAAAGTGTCAATCACATTTCCTACCTGGGCAGTTATCTTTCCACAAGGGCCGACATCAATGTCGAAATCCAGCATCACCTGAGCTCTGCAAATGCAGCTTTCTCCTGATTGAAGTGCAGTGTTTGAGGATCGGGACATTCACAGGGAGACCAAAATGCTTGTTTACAAAGCTATTGTACTACCAACTTTACTGTGGGCTTGTGAAACATGGACCACTTATAAATACCATCTCCAGCTTCTCGAAAGATCCCATCAACGGTGTCTCCGAAAAATTCTACACATCACTCGGGAAGACAGGCAAAAGCAACTACTCTGTTCCCAATTTAAGACAACAAAAACAGTGGACAACAAAAGACTCTCTCAAGGTAAATCTAAAAAAAAAAAAAAACTAGTATAAACATTGACAACTGGGAAACACTGGCCTGTGAGCGCTCCTACTGGAGAACAGCCTTTACCAAAGGTGTCATGGACTTTGAAGAAGCACAAACTTAGGGTGACAAGGAGAAACGAGCTAAGAGAAAGACAAGTTTGACAAACCCTCATTGTGATGAACTCCTGCCTATGTTCCCACTGTGGAAGGACGTGTGGATCCAGAATTGGCCTCCACAGTCACTTACGGACTCACTGTTAAAACTATGTTCATGGAAGACAATCTTACTCAGCCATGAGTAATAGCCAAGGAAAACACCTTTAAATGAGAACTTGAACAATACACCCTGGAGTGATTATTTACTCTAGTGCAGTAGACTTTCCCGAAAACATTATGCATTTTAAAGGTTGACAAACCTGATTTCTTCATCAAAATCCTGTGGGTGATCAGAAGGGGAAAGCAGAACTGCCTGGTAGAATTTGTGTCTGCTTTGTCAGGGCAACACCATCGTCTGAGGCCACATCAAAAACGTTGCTGTCTGCGCCTGCTTCACTTCTGTCTGGGCCAGGTACAAGAACAGGGGAAATCAGAGAGGGGTTCGAATCTAGCTGCCCACATGGCCTGCTAGTTTTCTTGGTGTAGGGAAATATAGGGTTGCACCCAATGTCTGTCATACTCAGAGCCACTGAAATAAAAGGATATGAATAACGTGGTCTCATCAATTAGGCAGCTAACATTTGACCCCCTTTTTTCCTGTACCTATTTATGTATGTTTGGACTTGAGGGATAAATGAATCGGTCAGTTTTAAGCTCTTGCATTACTTTTTCACCAATGTATGCATTTTTCTGGTCAAACTGCACCACAAAATTTGGAGAGCTGTGAATTTTGAAGGACAGCTGTGTTTCAGATCATGTGTTGGCATGAGAAGAGTGGATCCGGTAGTCTTGCATTAAACTAAAATAATAATAATAAAGGCTTTCCTCCCATTCATGAGGAGCCTCCCCTCCCAATGGAGGATCACTGCATCCAGTCAAGTGGACTGTAGCCAGTAGAAGATGTCACACAATAAGGCTGTACTCCTAACACCCACTTACCTGAGAATATACCCCATTGCATTCAAGAGGATTTACAGAAAACAGAAACAGGTACAGTGGTTCTGGAGGTCCGTTCTTAACCTGAAACTGTTCTTAACCTGAAGCACCACTTTAGCTAATGGGGCCTCCCGCTGCCACTGCACCACCGTCATGCGATTTCTGTTCTCATCCTGAAGCAAAGTTTTTAACCCGAGGTAATATTTCTGGGTTAGCAGAGTCTGTAACCTGAAGCATCTGTAACCTGAATCGTCTGTAACCTGAGGTACCACTGTATAGGTTTGTGGTGAAAAACCTGCTAGTCTTCAAGGCACCATAAAAGTTCCCATAAAAAGTCATGCGCCTCCTTTACAAATTCTCATCTCACCTGTCTTGTAAAGTTCTTGTGAAATGGGCTTCAAAATGACAGAAGAAATTTCTCTGTTTGATTTCATCTTTTTGTCCGTTGATATTGTTTTCATTCTGAAGTTGATGTGTGTGGGGGTTTTTTGGGGGGGGGCAGAATTTCTGTTTCTCTTGAGGTTTTGCCATATGTCGTTCAAATATACCTCTCTCTGTGTGTGCATCTGCATGCATGCACATAAATCTCTCTTCTCTTTGTGGTCATGCATTTCTTTTCCTGGATACCGATAACCTGATGCTCCACCTTCAGACACACCACTCTGCCTGACATCCCGATGATGGAGGAAATCTGCCATCATAGCATTTGTTGGCACAGTGAATGTGTATCACAATTAACTACACAATGGCATAGGTCCCTTCCTGGGGCTCTTCTTCCTCGGTCACAAGCCCCTCCACTGACAGTTTCTGTCCTCAGCTGTATCTGTTGCCAGTCCCTCTGAAAAATAAATAAATACTGCCCCCACCCTGAGTGCACAACAAGACAGAAGGACGCTTTGCAAGGTAGCTCTTTCTGCATCCAGTCGATTGCCAAAAACAAGGCCCTTTTCACCCAAGTTGCAGTGTGAGGCGGGACACGCTATGAATAATGTTGACAGCTGCTGGTGGGCACATCTGGCTTTGTATTGCCACAGAATATAAAATACCTGCAAGGTTTCCCCAAGAAGCATATTTATCATTATTCTTAAATACTGATGCTCCCTCAAGAGCACGTTAGGAACTCTACAGTGCTTAGAAATGTCCAACAGATTTATTATCTGAAGCAGCTTTCCGCAACACGGTGCCCCCCAGAAGCTTTGGACTGCAACTCCCAGCAACTCCATGAGCACAAAAGCACTCTCACCTCCTCTAGTTTCTAGCAAACTGGTATTTGGAAGCATTGTTGCCTTCAACTGTGGAAGCAGAGTATGGCCATCGTGGCTAGTAGCCCTCGATAGCCTTCTCCTCCATGAATTTGTCTAACCCTATTTTAAAGCCATCCGAGGTGGTGGCCATCACTTAAGGCAACTGTCAGCCATCTTGCTTGGTGCTTTTGTGAAGGTGCCATGGGTTATTCTTATTTAGGTTGCTTCCAGATGGGTAGTTATGGTGGAATGGGCGCTATGCATGCAAGTCTCTTTTTTTCTTAATAAAAGAAGCTGCATTCACACAATGTCAAAGGCATCAAAACACCAGCCTCTATGTTTCCCCCCCTCCCCCCTCCACACCCAACCAAACCAATTTTATCCAGATTTATCCCTTTCTGGGGGAAATCCCACACCCTCCAACATTCCTCAGATGAAAACAGGGACATTTCTCACTCCCCGCCCCCAACTGACCCTCCTCAAGCCCACACTCCTTTGTCAACCCACACCCAGTGAAAAAGGATAAATCCCACCACCACTTCACCAATAGGACACAGTACACATGCCTTCCATTGTCCTGAAAAAGCCTCTTAATTCTGATCTTATTTTATTCTTTGGTTGATTTACAAAAAGAAAAACAAACACCAATAAACAAATTTTGGAAAGGGGCAAGATTAGATGCAGACACGCCAAGGTTTTGTGTCTCTTTTAAATCAAGACTCCTTGAACTCTGCTCTGCTTCCCGTCCAGGGTGGTCCTGCCCTCTGCCTGCCCCTCAGAGCTGGCGCATCATGTGAGGCTGGGCCTTGGCAGTAGAAGCCTCTCCTCCTCCTCAGCCGCTCTTCAGCAGCTGCTACAAGCTGCCCAAAGGAAGGAGAGGCCAAGGAGAGGCAACAGGACATTCCCTTTGCAGCTGCCACTGTAGTGCTGGTGGAGAAAATAGGGACATTCCGGGATCAAATCAGAAGCAGGGATGGCTTTCGTAAATCTGGGGATGTGCCCGGAAAATAGGGACACTTGGGAGAGTATGAAACGCAGTCTGTCCGTTACCAATAATCCATTTACATATTAAGCACCCATCTAGAAGCATCCTTAGCAACTATTTGGTGTCCTATGCTATTGCTGCTTTTATTATCCATTTCTGCTGGCTTTTAATTCCTGCATCTTGTTAACTGCTTTGGGGGACTAATGGCTGAACAAAGACAAGTACTGGTGCCCTTGTGTTGCTGTTGTTGCTTTGTGCTAATGGACCAATGTGGCTATCTATGTTTGATCTCTGCGCCTCAGAGTGTTTTGTCTTGTTTTCATTTTGGCTCAGCAGTATAAATGCCGTAAGCCCAACTCACATCCCTTATTTGCAGAAGCCCTACTTTCTTGCTGCCGCTCTTCCTAGGCCCAACTCTCTCTTTGTGAGAGCACAATGGCGGCCAATAATTAATTGATTGCTTTTCTTGGCTGCCTCCGCCCTCTGGGTAAGATGAGCCAGCAGAGGCAGGCACAGGCACTGCTTAGAGAAACTTGACCAGGGATGAGGTCACTGGAACGGGGCAGGGGGGTGGGCAGCAGGCACAGCTCAGCCTGAATCCTTTGGTTTCCGGCACAGCACTGGTGCATCCCTATAAAGCTGGCGAGTGACGGGTCTCTCAAGGACTGAGCGGCTAATCAACCTCACAGACACCTCTTGGGACCACCTCTTCTGCTTCGGAAGACATATGGCCACTTTTGTCCCGGTAAGAAACAATCCAGCTGTGCCCATTGATTTACTTACTCCATTTGTGGACCACCTTTCTCCCCAGAATGGTATCTGCACCAAGCGTTGCTAGCACTTATAATCTAAAATGTTGCTAAGGTGCAACAGGATCCAAGAACTCAGCTAGTACATAGAATCCCGGGATTGTACTGCTGGAAGGGACCCCAAGGCTCATCTAGTCCAAACCCTCGCAGTACAAGAATCACAGCTAAACTGATCACCAGCATGTTTTATATAAAACATGGAGAGAAGGGCATCCGTGGGAATGTGTCTCAATGTGAAGGCATCTCTTACAAGGTGGAGTTAAGATTTTTGCAGTGCATAGCTAAACTATGGCCCTCACTCCCCCAGGAGGCAGTGATGGCCACCAACCTAGATGGCTTTAAAAGATTATTAGATGAATTCATGGAGACGGTGGCTATTGACTGCTGGCCGTGATAGCCATGCCCTGCCTCCACGGTTGGAGGCAGCAATGCTTCTGAATACCAGTTGCTGGAAACGTAGGAGAGGAGAGGGCTCTTGTGCTCTTGCAGATTTCCCACAGGCATCTGGTTGGCCACTGTGAGATCAGGATGCTGGACCAGAGGGGCCATTGGCTTGGTCCAGCATGATTTAAAGATGTTCTTTAAATGGTACGGCAATACTGAAAGTAAAGGATGCTAACCAACAGGAGCCGGCAGAGAAGATTGCAAAGAGATTCTGGCTAAAACATATACACCTTATATTTACGGACTAAAGAGCCACCACCAAATATGCTAGGCTTACCTAATCCGATGAAACGTGCAACTTGGTGAACCTGCTCTGGGGCAGCCTCTCGACTGGCGCTCACCTGCTTTGCCTTTCTCCCCTTCTTGCACCCTCAGTACGCCTCCTGCTATGGGAACAAGCAAGCGGTGCAGCTCCTGGGCCGAAACAGCTACTTCTCCCTCTTTGCCAACCCGCCTTGCCTGATCAGCCAGCGGCAGCGGCTGGCATGCCAGGCCCCAGAAATGACTCTGCGGCAGATCAGCAAGCTGATCCGTGTCCTAAGGCAGCTGAACCTCCGGGACGCCAAGGGGAAAAAACTGCCTGAAGCACAGAGGTGAGCAAACCGGGGCAAAGGGGAAACAAAGATGGCTGCCACAGCCCGTTAGGGAACTGGGGCATGGGGAAATCTCTGTAGGCTGAAATCCCAGTGTGATCCAATGGTTAAGAGTGCCAGGCAAGGACCTGGGAGACCAGGGTTTGAATCCCCACGCAGTCATGAAGCTCACTGGGTGACCTTAGGGGTTTGGTCACTGTTTCTCAGCCTTGCCCACCCCACAGGGTTGTTGTGGGGGATTGAATGGGGAGAGAACCATGTATGCCCCCTTGAGCTCCTAGTAGAAAAAGGTGTATAAATCTAATTGATTAATCCATCGAGAACAGGCCACCAAGTCAGATGGCATAATTCTAGGGAAACTGGGAAGACCCTTGGGTTGGAACTGCCCTACCTCATACCCTTGAGGTAGCAGGCATTGGAGCAGCTATGGTCCCATGCCTTCTCTCAGCCTTCCTAAATGAAACTCTTTCTCCATCGCTCCTTACAAGGGAGCAGCTGAAAAAGGCCAATTAATTCATTCATAGCCTGGGGGGCGGGTAGCAGCCTTCCAGCATCTCAGGCAGTCTGCTGTTTAAAGGTTCTACCCAGGTTCTACCCAGGTTCAATCTTGGTTCTAGATCTGTCCTGAGTAAGTGGCTACTCTAGAGCTGGGAAAGGGGGCTGAGAATCTCAGAGAGGGAGAAAACATTTTTTCCTAGGGTGGCTGTGCGTTGCACTTTACAAATGCTAGCCCTCTGTTTGAAGGTATCCTCTATCTCAGTGACTCCCACAACTTTTGGGTGGCCCTGCCCCTTGGCTCCATAAACTCACCCTCCGTGCCCCAACCTTACCCTATAAAAACCCTCGTTCAGAATAGCAGTTTGCATAACCTACAATTACTTGCATATTCAAAATCAAATTAAAACTGTTTTAAGTTTCATTAAGTCGACAAAACTAATGAACCTGATGCCATGATCAATGTACATCTCCACCACAGCCCTGCCTCTTAGGGTCCTCCCAAGTAATCCCAGCACTCCCCCCAAGGGGTAGCACCACCCACTTTGGGACCCACTGCTCTGTCTGAGGGGACCACCGGGTGGTCCAGTTTTCCATCTTGTTAACATACACCTTCAGCTTATTGGCCCTCATTCAGCCCTTGGCCTGGAATCTGAATGGGGAAGTGGAGCTGGGTGGCACCAACAGACTGCTGTAACTGCGCACTTTCTGATTCAGTTTAGTCCAGCCCCCCAGATCCAGGAAAAAATCTGCAGCAGGCCTAGGCTTCAGCCCTAGCATGGAGCCATTTCATAAAACTGCTTAGGAAACCAGCCTGATAGCAGTGACTGAAGACATCTCGCAGCACAGAAGACAGAAAGCAGCAAAAAAAAGAGGTGGTGTTTGGAATTAAGTTCAGCCAGGGAGCCCATTATAGGGGACACTGAAGTATATATTTTGAAGTATATAGGGGAGAAACTGTGAGGTAGGTTAAGCTGAGAGGCAGTGACTGCCCCGAGGGCACCCAGTGGGCTTTGTGGCCAAGCGAGGATTTGAACCCTGCTCTCCCATGTCCTTGTTGCTTTGAGTTCACCTTTATGCGAAAAGGCGGTTGTTTTATTTATTAAACAACAAAACAATGGGTACAACAGGTCTCCCACTCCTACAGTTTTCCCTGCTTTTCAAGTAAGTTGAAATACTGGCTGCAAGAAATTAAATAAGAGGCATCCACTCACATCTGAAGCTGCCAGTCTCTTATGGCGGAGCTCTCCTGCTTCTTTGAAGTGATTTGGCTCATTCCAGTATGGAGTGATGATGATGAGAAATATGGCAATTGCTAGAGTTGTGCCTATGGTGCAGCTGCTGTAAAGGAATAGAAGCCTCAGCCTAGAGATGGCGGCCTTCCAAGTTTTTGTTGGACTACAACTGCCATCATCCCTGACCACACTGGTTGCAGCTGATGGGATTTGAGGTCCCACAACATGGCCCCTGCCTTAGATGGCTTGACTGGATGAGATGCATACCTCCACCTTTTAAGAGAACTCCTTACAAAGCAGCTTGGAAAAATGGGGGAAAGATGATGGTGCAATGGTCATGTGGTCTTCCAGATATTGTGGGACAACAACTCCCATCATCCCCGACTGCTGGCCAGGCTGATGGGAGTTGGAGTTCAGCAACATCTGCAGGGCTACAAATTCCTCAGCGCTTCCGTAAGAAAAAGAGGCAAACCTGGCCACCACTTAGGGGTCATTACATACCCAAGGCTCCTTTCCCAAAGATAGCATCAAGCGTCTGGTGGAAAGGACAATGTCTTAATGCTCTTGATGCCCAGGAATCCTACACTAGTTTGCCCAGCTGTGCCTGCAGGCTTCCAACCCAACTGCCTTGCTTGCCCTTCCAGGAGTCGTTCAAGCAGCTCTTCCATGGAATCACAGCAGTCCCGGACTTCGGACCAGCACTGCCTGTCCTGCTTCCATTCAAGACGCAATTCTGGTCCACCTTGTGTCGGGTGAAGAACCAAGACAGCCCAGAGGCCAACCTGCAAGAGAATGACCTCGACATCCTTCTGCCTGTGTTACCTTCTTCCACTCCCCCCCCCAATAATATTGGTGAGGTTACATTCAGGACAGCAAACAAACAGGAAGTCCTGTGGCACCTGCAAGACCCTGGCTGTGACCCTGCAATGCAGACCCCACACACCCTGCCTTGTTTGTAGTGTGGGCAAGAGGGCTGTAGTGTTCAGCAAGAAGAACGTGCAGCTACTGCTGCAGCCAGCAAGAAAAGGAAGGTTAACCCCCCCCCCAAGCATTTCCCATTTAGAATGAAAGAAATGGAGTAAATAAATTTACCCATGCAGATGCAGGAAATAAAGGTTGAGTCTCTAACGGCTGCTCTGAGTGAATGTGTTGTTCTGTGCCAGGAGCCACGATGGGTGATGCATGTTTGGGAGGGCAGGAAGGGGTGACGGGTCCTGCCCATCTATCCTCAATCTCAAACACCTAATCATGTTTCCCCCAATGTCATAAAACTGTGACCCTCCCAGTCAGGCAGATTGGTGTGACACCTTATAGCAAGACCAGCCAAGACACAGCAAAATATAAGGCACGTTTTCTGGTTCCCCGATACAAAGAGGGTGGGGATGTGTTCTGGTGGTGGTGGGGAGAATAGTCTTCAGTTGGCAATATAGGTGGGGATGTCATGCAGACTTAGTTATGCAAGGCCAGCCTTCACCAACCTGCTGCCCTCTGGGTGTTTTGGACTACAAGTCCCATCAGCCCCAAACCAATATCTGAGTTACTACAGCTCAGATTGGGGGGGGGGGGGCATGTGAGTCCTGGGTGCAGAGGCTGAAGAATCCAGAATCACAATCAAGCCAAATTCCATTGCTTGCTTAGAGATTCTAGGTCATAGAATCATCAAACTGTGGACTTGGAAGGGACCCAAAGGGCCATCCTGCAACGCAGGAATCAATATCAACTATCCTACCTGTTGCTCTCACTCAGCCGGCTCCACATCAATCACCCCTGAGCATCAGCCTTACTCATCACCCTTGTCAAAGCACCTCTTGATGCCTCTGACACGAGCACTCACAGATGCACACTGCAGAGAGATCCCTTCAGCTCAACCCCTTTTCCAGACTGTTAGATACATGGAGACCAGCAAGGCACGTAACCCAAATCCCCATGGCATCTCCAGTTGCCTGCTTACTGGAGCACCCTGGCATTCCTGCCTCTTGGCCAGTGTGAAAAACCTGTGGAAAGCCAAGATTTATTTTTTTGAAGTGTGTGCCATCCTTGGAGCAGAGCAGCCAGATCTGCAATCTCATCTTCTCCAGACACACAGAAAGTATCAACAATACTCCCTCACTTGGAACAACAAGTGTGACTGAGATCCAGACCAGCAGCAAATGGGGAGCAAGCGTTTCTTTTTTGCTGCTGCCACCTGGTGATGACAGGAACAGCTGACATTTGATGCAAAGCCCAGTAGCACACAGAGAAGGTACAGGGATCCCTGCTCCTCTCTGAGTTGTGTTGGGGGTTTCAAAGAAGTGTGAGAGACGTGCAACACACTCTTCTGGGTCTTGTCCAAAAAGAGGGCAAGGCAGTGACACACCGTCCCTTTGGATGAGGCCTGGAAACATGAGGCCCAGCACAGGCAGCACAAATGCCTCCACAGAATGTCCTGCGAGGTTCAGTATCTGGTACCACCGACAGTGCAGCCCCCTACATGAGGACAGCCAAGAGAGAGCGCTACATGCAGCCAAAATAAAGTCAGCACTTAAGGGAGGAGGGGGAGAGGGACATACTGCAAGAGCTCAGCCCAGGAGAAGACTGAGCCGCACAAATAAAACAAATGAGGTTAAAAATGCTAACACCAAACTCTGGGTTTCTATATGGAACCCATTTTTAGGCTCCCGCCTGAGGTGATGCCAAGTCACAGGAAATATACTTTTCCACACACACAAATAGTAACTTGTCAATTTGGGAGCAGCAACGGACATGCACAGATCCAGTCTGCAAATTACTCAAAGCCAAACCATAGCCTCACACACAAACACAGGATCATATGGCCTTTGCTCCTCCTCTGGTCCTGCTGCTGTAAGCTGCTTTGGCTTTGCATGTAATCTGAAAACAGGCATCATGGTTTGTCTTTTCTAGACCATGGGTAGGCAAACTAAGGCCTGGGGGCCGGATGCGGCCCAATCACCTTCTCAATCCGGCCCATGGACGGTCCGGGAATCAGTGTGTTTTAACATGAGTAGAATGTGTCCTTTTATTTAAAATGCATCTCTGGGTTATTTGTGGGGCATAGGAATTTGTTCATTTTCCCCAAAAAAAATATTTTCCGGCCCCCCACAAGGTCTGAGGGACAGTGGACTGGCCCCCTGCTGAAAAAGTTTGAGGACCCCTGCTAGACAAACCATGACCTATAAACCTAGGAACAAACCTTGCTTAGTTTGCCTGGAGACAAAACCACAAGCTCAGGTTCAAATGACGAAGAAAGCCAAACTGTGGCTTAGCTTACAGCGGGACTGGAGGAGCAAAGGAGCTGGCAAGCTCATGTGTTCATGCTAAGTGGTGGTTTGGCTTCATGTTTTGTGTGAATTGAGCCATGCATAGGAATGTAAAAGGCAGAGAGCACCTGTAAATTGAAACTGGCTGTTACTAGTTCTTGTCTAAAAGCCTTCCACAATCTTGGTTTAGCTGCCATGATGATGTCACAGGCACCTAGCAAGAACATCAGGCCTGCCATGGGCAAGTTCCCTCCTCAGCCTAATTTACAATAATTTTTTAGTACAATGCCATGCATTTGGCAGCTCAATAATAAAGGCAGCACAGAGAAATCCACCACAAAGCAGAAATATGAGCGTTCACTAACTGAGTGCAAGAAGACAATTTGCAAGCAGTGATGACAAAGCAAGACAGCTTTATAAAATGTTCTCATTTTATTACAGAATATACACAAATACACTTCCTGAACTACAAGGCTGGAAAAGAACCATGTAGGCAGTGTCCATGCACTAAGTTGGCTCAGCTAGCCTGACGGTCAAAGCCCCAGACAGCAGACAGAAGAACTCCACTCAGGCTCCCCTTTCCATCCGCCAAGGAATCTGGGCACCTGCTGGCCAGAGGGGAGCCTCTTTCTTCGCCCTTCCCTTTGGGCCGGAATGCATTTTGGCAAGAAAAAATACTGATCTTTGAGTCCTGAAATCACTACTGCAAAGTCGGTGGCTGGTGCTGCTCCTTGCAGCTGTTCTTAGACCCTCTTGGCCTTACAGAATCCACCACCAGAATTGGCAGGCCATTGACTCCCGTCCTGCAGTGGGTGGCAGGTCCTCAAGGAGTGCGAGAGGCGCAGCCAAGCAAAAAGGTCACTGAGGTAGGCCCAGAAGTAACAGCCTTTTATAAAACGAAAAGAAGGGGAAAGGGAGCGAATCACACAGGCCACCCATCTCTGGAAATGAAGCCATGCCCAATTCTCAGATGGAGAGAGAGAAGAAATCCAGTTGAGAGCTTTCTGTTTGATGCTCACAGAAATGATTATGCTGCATTCTGTGCACAAGGGACTCTTCAGCCAACCCAGCCTGTCAAGGTTTGTGCATCTTCCCCCTTGTATGTATATGAAGCTCTTTCTCTCTCTGCTAACTTTGATACTTCTGTTTGTGTAGTACAGGGAGCTTCATGAGGGCAAGGAATGGTAGTTCAGGGGAAAATGGATCACAACACAGTTCCCGGTGTGCTGCAAATTTCTCAAGTATCCAGCAAATGCATTTGATTTGTTCCTCATCTCCAGACTGACTGCAAGGCCTGTAATCCCTCCATCCCTCTCCAATGATTGTCTTTTGCAAATAACAGACTTTCCCCCTGCACTTTAGGGAAGATACTCTGCTGAAGCAGGAAGCCCTCCAGGAGCTTATGGGATGCTCATGGACCACAAGCCATCCCACCCAAACGTCTGCTGGCAGAGTGCAACTAAGACAACTGGCCACCCCTCCTGAAAGTAACATGGGAAGACAACAGCCTCTCTGCTTCCCAAGAGTGGCCCAACTGAGACCACGTGCGGACAAAATCAGGCTCCAACGACGCTTGGTCAGAAAGTGCTCTCCAGCAAGCAGTGGCACCCACAGCCTGTGGGACACACTTCCTGAGTGCGGAACCACTCCATCATGTGGCTGGTGTGTCCTCCATGCCCGCAAGTCAGGCAGAAGTTGGAAGAGCCTCGGACTGCCACGTGGCAGATGGCACACTGGAACGCAAAGCCCTTGCAGAGGGCACACTGAACACCACGCACTTCGCTGCGGCAGTGGCTGCAGTAGACTCCAAACTCTGCAAGGAGAGAAAGAAAGGAGAAGCGGTGGAGAAGTTATTGGAGGGGCTCTTGCAAGCAAGGCTGCACCTGCAGGGAAAAGGCTGGCAAATCAGAAAGCTAGGATCTGGAAGCCAGCATGTTACTAACACCACCACCGTGGGCTCTTTGGTTTTGCCTTCTTTTCATTCTGCCAGAGGGCATCTCAACAGAAGAAGCTAAAAAGCCCCCTCCGGCAAATATCGCATTAACCAAAGTAGAAAGACTCTCTGCTCCCATGGTTCAATTTTGTAGGGGGGAGAGAGGAAAGAGAGGCTACCCAGTCCAAGGACAATTTCTGTGGGAAGGAAACCCAGGACCTTCTTGCACGCACAGCATCTACTTTTCCACTGAGTTCTATAGTTCCTCCATCGAGGTTTCCACTCACCAATCCCTTTGTGCGGGTCAGGGGGGCAAGAGACAAACTTGAGAACTTCCGCCCGCTTCTCTCGCAGGCCCCAGCGGTAAAGGATTTCTCCGTAGCACTTCTTAAAGTCATCAAACTGCTGGGTGTTGGCTGGGTCCAGAAGCCTGGAGAAAGATCACAGAGTCCTCATCTCCACATACAATGAAGTCAAAGGGCACCTGAGGGCCTTTGTCCCAGGCTAGCAAAGGCTGGCATTTACTCACAGTCACTGCATGGTACCACCTCTGCACCTCTCTTCCCTTTGTCCCCGCCCTCCAAATAAAATTCAGATTGTGTGCTCTTAGGGGCAGGGACCTATCTGATTTTGTTTTGTGTTTATGTAGGTTTTTCTGTACGTTCCAAGTTACCTAGATGGGCTTTGCTTCATGCTGCTGCTTTTTATTCTTCTCAGTTTTGTATGTTTGTAGTACGCAATATTATCGTAGTACAGTGGAACCTAGGTTTTCTATCATAATCCATTCCAGAAGACCGTTCAACTTCCAAAACATTCAAAAACCAAGGATCAAAGGGTGGTTGGCAAAATCAATTGAAAAAATGGGGAAACACGCCTTGGAAACCGTTCAACTTCCGAGGCACGTTAAAAAACGGAAGCAATTACTTCTGGGTTTTCGGCGTTCTGGTTCTGAATTGTTCGGCTTCCGAGACGCTCGAAAGCTGAGGTTCTACTGTATGTGCCTCTGTAGGTCAAACAGTTAAGAAAAGTGGCTCACAAAGAATAAAACTTTCTAAAGTTGGGAGGAAGAGGCAGAGGAGAATGATTGAGCATGCATGTTCGTGTAAAGTAGAGAGTAACTTTTATCTTGGCAATAGTTTGCAGAAATATAAAATTGTAGAGCTGAATAATGTAATAGACACAGCATTCAAGGAGCACAGTGCTGGCCACCAGCTGTATCAGTGTGAAGGAGGAGAGCACCAGGGCTTTTCCTCCTCAGGTTTGGCAAGATCCCTCCAAAGAGAAAACTGTGCACAAACACCTCAGCATTTAAAACAGCCTTTCCCAAGCTCATGGGCGTAGCCAGGGGGAGCCAGGGAGGCAGCTGCCCCCTCCCACACTCAATCAAAATCAATCAAAATCTGAGGTTCTGCTTCCCTAACAGAAGCCTGTCCCCCCCAAAAAAAACAATCATGGCTACACCCATGCCCAAGTTCATGCTCTCCAAGTGCTGGCTGGGGTGCAGCTTGAGGAAGGATAACTTAAAACTTGAATAATATTGTTGGTGGGAGATTGGCATGGAAGATTTAAAAAGAATTGAAAACATGAGGACCTCAAAAATAAATGTGTGTGTTGATATTCCAGCTCCCTGGCAGACCAAAACGACCTGCTGGCTCAGCTGCACTCCCCAGTTAAACCAAGAGCTAGCCTGGAGTTGCAAAGGTTCCCCACTTCCCACCCCTGCCTCAGCCTAACTGCACTCTAGGAGGGAACAGGAAACGCTCAAAAAAATGGGAATGCAGAGCCAATGGGAATGCAGTTGATTTGTGATGGACTATATGGAATTGGGGGAAATGACTGGCAGAATCCGAGACCAGGGAGAAGAGTCGGTGGAAGAAGATTGAAAAAAATTTAAAGACTATTTACAGAAATATTGTAAAATTAATGAATGTTAGAAAAATGTTGGAATGAAGTTATATGGCTTTAGTAGAAATGTTATAAGGAATTAAGTACAGATAGGTTAATAGAGTATTAAAGGAAAAAATAAGGATAGAATCTGTTAAGATAATTAAAGGATAGAAAGCAGAGGAAGATGGAAAGGAATTGCTGAAATAATTATCAGAAGTGGAATACAAAGAGGGAGGTGTGAGGAGGTCGCGGAAATAAGTGAGTGAAAGATGGGATAATGAAACTGTTTGATTTATTTTATTGTTTTTGTTTTGTTTTGTTAATTTAATGTTTTGCATTGTCTTTTTTTTAAGTGTTTAAGTTTCTGGAAAAATAATAAATATTATTTTTTTAAAAAAAGGAATGCAGTTGATTTGAAGCTCAGTTCACCTCCCTTGTGAACTTTCAACCAAGGACACCAGAAAGCTTTCTGCCACCCTCCCTCCCACGCTTGATCACCCTTCTGTACCTTTTGTTCTTGTCATGCTGATCCTTCTCCCGATCCCGGTGGTCTGCGAATGCCAAGTTCCCAAAGCGGAAGTCGTCAGGTGAAGACTCGCCCCAGGCTGGTATGTGGTCCAATTCTTTGCTGGCTGCAGGAGGTCAAAGGGTGGACAGAAGACCTTACAAGATGGTGGCAGCTCACATAGGGCTGTGCTGGTGGAGATGGGAGTTTTGGACTAGGACCTAGGAGACCAGGGTTCGATCCCCATGCAGCCAAGAAGCTCACTAGGTCACTTTGGGCCAGTCACTGCCTCTCATTGTGAATTAAGGCCAAGTCGCTGGGCTTGGGTAGTCAATGGAAAGTGCTTTGCACAATTGTGTTCAATTGCCCTTTTGCAAGCAGATTTGCCAAGTGCAAAGCGACCACCCAAATTTATTTTTGATTTTAAAATCCCACTTGTAATGCAATCTGGGTTCTCAAAGTGGCTCACAATTATTAAGTCCCCAAAGTACAAAGGAAAAGACCCAGATATGAAAACCTAAGCTTTCTTTTAATTATCTGAACAAAGAGGGCTGGGAGGCGATCTTCCAAGATGCCAAAATCTCTTCCTACTGGATATTTCAGAACTGACAGCAGTGCACCCACCTATGTTCCAGCTGCTGGTGCTGAGTCCAGGGTCTGACATGCTGGAACAGGAGCCAGAGGAGGTAAAGCTGGGCTGTTGGGAGAGAGACAAGAGGGAAGTTGCATCACCGGAAGAACCGACCTTGACTGGTCCTTTTGGGGAAAGCAGTCAGAGGCAGAGTCTACCCGTACATATCGGCTGTGGCTGGAGGAGCGTTGAGGAAAGAATCCCACAGGAATCAGGGCTCCCTGTGGCCTGGACTGGGCTTCAAAGACGCTGCACAGCATGGCCAGAGTCTGCACATCATGGAGCCGGCAATAATGGGCCACCCTAGGAAGGGGAGGAAAAGAAAAGACTGGGTAGACCAAAGGCCACTCACACACACAAGGCTGAAAGCAGAGATGGGGGCCACCTGCCCCCAAAGAAAAAATCATTCAGATTTGGCAACCCAACGTCTTAGAGAAAATATCATGTAGATATAAACCATTATTTGCTTTGCCCTCAACAAAACCAAAGAGGAGGCAAACAAGTGCTCCAAAGCAGAATTCCTGTTTAGCATTACCACCAGCAGGTTTGGGGATTTCACATTCTTCATACCTCCCAATGTTTCTTGGGTTTTTCTTTGTAGCAAAAAAAGGGGTCTTCACTTGTTTTTGCTTTCATTTGCAAAGGAAAAGGTGAGAGAACCAGGATGCTGAATTTTTGTGCCTGATTTCAGATTCACTTTGCAAAGTATACAAAGCTTGGACTAAAACCAAGACCAAAACCCCCACAAACACTGCCTGGCTGAGAGACACACCTTTTTCCCCTCAAGTCTCTATGGTTTTATAGGTCACCATATTTGCAAAAGAAGATGGGCTGGGGAGCCTTGGAAAACATAAGCACCATCCAATGAGATCCTGGATGATCTACAATTTGAAATGGAACACACTGGTGCTTCAAGCAATAACAAAAAGCTAGGTAATTTTTTGTGAGTGTGTATTTTTAATTGAGAGCAAAATATGACTGACAAGGGATACCACAGATGAAGGGATTGGGAACATGTGGCCCTCCCGAAGTGGTTGCACTACAACTCCCATCAGCCCCAGCCAGCATGGCCAATGATCACGGGTGATGGGAACTAGAGTCTCCCTGCATCTGGCAGACCACAGATTCCTCACCCAGCTGTGAGAGAGGATAATGAAGTGTTGCATGGCATAGCAAAATAACTCTCTGTCCCTCCCTCTGTCATAATAGGAGAACCGAGAGACATCCAACAAAACCAATTGCAAAAATATTCAGGGCAGACCGATAGGATCTATTTACACTACAACATAATACTTATGGGATTACCTGCCCACAGCACATGTTAGGTAGGGCTGAGGGAGCTGCAGCCAAAGCAGAGATTCCTGATGACCTCAATGATCCCCCAACTGGGAGTGCAGAAACTGTTGGCACCCACTACTATAGGTGACCAACCACTCAACACCCAAGAGGCACCCAGAAAAAAAATAGGAAGAAAATAAAAGGCACTGTTTTGTTTAAGCCTTTGGGTCCTCGCCTCTTCCCCACCCTCCCCCCAATTCTTATTCCAGCTGCTTACAGAGAATCCAGGAGCTGGCGGCCGAATGGATGCTGGGCCCAGGGGGTCTCCAAGTCTGGGTCGGAGTTTGGGCCAAGGCAGAGATCAGTTGCTACTGTGGCCAGTGACCAGACCTGGAAAAGAAGGAGCAGATGATGGGCACCCACACACATAGATGCCCATGCTGTGCAGCCCACAAAGCAAGCAGTAACACTGTAGGGAAGAGGTTGAAGGTTGTCTGCTGAAATCCATAGCTCCATGTTGCATGGATGGTGTAATTCCACCTATGGAAGAGAGGGGGCCACTAGAACAGGGATGGGGGAAAGAAGAAGACAAGTAGCTGAGCAACAAAGAAGAGAGTAAAAAGCTCAGGCTGGACCATTGGCCCACTCTCTGCTGCTCCCTAAGTCAAGATGCTCCCCAGACAATATTGCGAAGCGATGGGAGATGCCTCGCTGGGCTAGCAAAAGTACCTGCAAGAGATCCTTGCGTCCCACAGTCAGGGCAGAGGCAGCGTTCTTCTGACAGGTCTCCTGGATGTCAGTCACGTTCAGTCTGAAGGACAAGAATAGCAGGTGATGCACAAGTGGGGGAGACATCACTCTCAAAGGCTTGGTCTGATTCTCCATATTTCATGTAAAGCAGGAGTGGGGAACCCTTTTCAGTCAGAGAATTGCATTCCCTCACAGGCAGTCTTACTGGAATTGAAGGCTGGTGGTGGGTAAGGCCAGAGACAAAGATGGGCAGAGCAATGGGTGGAGCTTTTACCTGTGTGCTGTAGTCTATATTCCAGCCATGCAAAAGACAGAGGCTTCTGAAGCCCACCACCACCACCCAGCAAGCAAGAGGCATTTTAACAAATCAAAGACAGGTTCCAACCAGACACAAACACTGGAGGCCAGCTTTGCAGCTTCCCTTCCTCTTCTGTTGAGACCATTGGGGTGGGGGGATGACTGTTGGCAGACAACTTGGGCAGTGGGTAGTTACTGAATCTCCCTTCTTTTCTGCCCAGGACAGGTGGAGACACAGCACTCAGGGCACCTCAGCCCTCTGTTGCCATTTCCTAGCTTGGAAACACAGCAGGGTGCAAAGCAGTCACTAGGCTCTAAGATCTCTCTGCAGAGTGACAGAGAAGGAAAAGCCAGAAGCCGCATACAAGGCTGCCTCTCCCCTCCCCACCCCACCCCGAGCTATACAGTAGTATAGCTGGAAAGCTGGAAGGAGTGAACTCCAGTGCACTGTCTCCAGAACACAGCATTCCTTGAATGAAAGACTGAGCTCTGGAAGGGTTCCTGCTTTCCCCCTTCCAGGAAGAGAAGGCCCAACAGCCTGAATCACAGCCAGGAGCTCTTTAAGCCTAAAAGAGAGAATGTGGATTTGCCTGGTCAGCTGGGGGCAACCTAGCTCACCACAGACAACCAGGCAAGTGGCTATTTGCATGCCCGCAAAATGCAGGGGGGAGGGGTTAGGGGTGGAGGAAGGGATTCAGGATTGTAGGCGGCCCAGGGACAGACTTTCTGCCCTGATAGGGTGAAGGCCTGCAACAGAAAGTGCAGAATAGGATCACAGGCTGAGTTCTTAGCCTGTCCCCCAGAACAGTACCCAAGACTGAGTTGCCACACAGAGTTTCTTGCACATGTGGCCCAGGTACTCACATGTACATCTCCCCTAGTAATTTGTGGACAGGAAGCAGGCAAGAGACATCCTGAATGATCACTTTCCCGGCAGCTTTGATGGGCCGGTTGGCAGCATCTGTCCCCTCTCGCTTGCTGCTCTTCCATCTCCTGGATTTCTGCAGTAGACAGAGCAGCATTTTAAAAGCAGTGATGAGGGAGAAAGACTGCAGACTGAGGGCAGGCAGGGAAGCTTTGGAAGGAGAATATTCAGCCCACAGCCATGGAAGCTCTGCCTTAGGACCAACCAAGCAAACAGGAGCAGCTAATACACAGGGAGACTCGATAAAAGGCAGTCAAGACAGCAGCAAGAACAGAAGGAAGGAAGGTCTGTCGAGTTCAGTGGACAAAGCCTAGAGAAGAGGCAGCTAAAGCAGGAAGCTGCCTTATGGAGAGTCAGGCTCTTCATTGATCTGGCTAATGTGACCGGGCAGAAGCTCTCCTGGGTTTCAGACAGAGAACTCCTCCAGCCCTACCAGGAGATGCTAGGGATTGAATCTGGGACCTTTTGCAGGCAAAGCAGATGCTCTACCACAGAAGTAACAAGCTAATCCTTGTATAACCTTGGTGGAAAAGGCATAGTCCCAGCCACCAATCTGACTGTAGAAGGTATGTTCCATGTGGCATATGGAGAGTGAAAGTAAGAAAGATTTGGAAAAAGGAGACCTTCCTAGAATCCAAGTGGTTGTGGCCACATGAGCAGGCAGGGTGTGCTGGTGCATGGCCAGCCTGGCACGAAAGCAGCCTCTGCCAATCTGGTGCCCTTCAGAAATACAGCTCCCAACACAGCTGTGCTTCATGAGAGCTGGAGGGAATGAGCCTGGCAGAGGCCACACAGCAGGAAACGCTGTACCAGGAGGACAGGCAACGTTCACTTTCAAAACAAGAGCATGGGCTGCAAGCAAACTAGCCGTGCCCTGTGCTTACAGCCACGAAGACTGTCTCAAGTCCACGGTTTCACTCATTCCTTTGGCCAAGTTTTCCCATTTAGTTCTTAGATTTGCTTCTAGCTGCCTACTGGGTGAAGGGGAAGGGAGACACATGCAGAGTCGGGAAAGATGGAAGCCATGAGGTGCCAGCAGCCATGCAGGTCATTGGGCTTTCACTGCATCCACAAGAGCTGGAGGCTTCTCTGGGTCTCCGAGTCTCATGTACACCAGTTTATATGTGTCAATGATGCTAAAGCAGCTGGTAACTAATCTGCAAGATGTTATCAATAAATGCCTTATAGGGGTATGCATGGATCCCATTCCCAATCCAAGTTCATTCTCAGAGGGACTTTGGCTGAAAAGGTCCAGGCAACACTGATCAAGCTGTGCTTACTGCATGTGATCAAGCCATTAACGTCCAAGGTGGTGACTTGGTGCATCTCTCACAGAATAAAACGACACATGACCTCTACCTAATAGAGGGAATTCCTGCCTCCCACCCCTCCTCCCGTGCAAGTCCCTGTTGCAGATGCAATAATACGTGCAAATACACAAAAGCACAATTCCCTTGAAGTTCCCCTATTTGCACGAATCATTAACATCCAAAGCTGTTTGTCGGAGCAAAACAGAATTTATAGGGGGAAAATGTGTAGGGAGGGAGATGGGTGGGTGCACAGAGGAATGCACAAAGCCAGTTATGGTTCATGCACCTCTCGCCAGCTATTTAAAAAGCTGTGAGTTAGAAGAACATCTGGGATTTGAAGCCTGAAGGAGAGACCACAACCCTGAGAAAGCTAACCCTGAGAAACTGAACACTCAAGAGACAAACTCTGCACTGGCACAGCGAAACATCTGCAGAGGAAGCTTCCCACCCTGAGCGGCCAGAGGCCCAGGGGGCTCTATGATCTCAGAGGGGGAAAGTCAAGCAAAGTCATACTGGTGCCTCGTGGGGGGCACGAGTTCTTTCTCATACAGACTATACAGCCTGCAATTCCACACATTCACTTTGGAGACAAAAATCGAGGATTAGTACAAACTGGGAATGAGAGACTTGGAGATCATGCTGAAGAGGGAGTCCCCCAGGCCACTTTGTTCAGGCAGAAGCAAACACAAAGGCCTGTGTGTACTCTATACTAAAGAGAGAAAGAAAAGCAAGGTTCTGCAACTTATTCCAAACTAGGCAAATTTCACACATAAAGACTGGTTGTTTTCAGTCATTTTATTCTGAAGTCTGCCTGTCCCCTTCTCTTGCACTTGGGTGTCAGAGATTCCACAGGGCACGATTTCAAATATGTCTCCACAGACATAAGGGAGAGGAAAAATGTATGCTTAATATGAGGGTCAAACTAGATGTGACTTTCAGAACTTTCTTGAACTACATGCTAATGACTAACCACATCAGCTGCAAGTGTCCTGGTCTGGCTTAGCTGTTACTGATGATGTAACACTGGTACCCCATCCCCACAGAGCACCCTGTTTTCAACATTGCTTGGAGGCTACTATGCTGTAACCAGCTGCCCTGAGACACAAGGACAGGCTGCTTACACCTCCAATTTCATTATGAACTGCAATGCAATCAAATGGAATCCAGATCAGCATTTGCCAAGCCCTCCAGGTGTTTTGGACTGCAACTCCCTTCAGCCCTGAGCAACATACTGATGGGAGTTGCAGTTCAAAACACCTGGAGGGCACCGGCTTGGCAAGATACACACTCAGTGACTTGATAGAGCAAAAGAGCCACAGAGGGAATGAAAAGGCCAAGCAACCTCCTCAACTTCTAAGCATCAGGAAGAGGGATGTCATGGGATGGGGTTGGAAGCGGCAACTGCACAACGAGCTCACAACGAGCTGATGGTCTGCACCAGCACACGGGAAGGAACAGAGGAGCCATGGCAACTGGTTATGGATATATAGACATGAAGCAAGCCCAAGAATAAGCCACCAACCACTTTGTAGCAACCGCTGGGATATTTGCACAATCAGCAGGGTGTGGGGCTATGAAATCCTTCCACCCTCTAGTGACTCGTGTACACTTCCCTTTAGCAGCACATTAGATGGATGAAGCCTCAGCTGATACGTCAAGGGGTCAAGAATTCAAAAGCAACTTTTCACTAAGAATCTGCACTGCACCCATATTATGTCAAATAATGTTAGCTCACCCCTAAATCAAACTGGTCTGCGAAGGGAGGGCAGAGTCAGTTAAAGAGACTGAGGTCCCACAATACTCTGCTTTCTCCGTGCCAGTATCCAAAGCAAAGCCCTGATCACCTACCGTCAGTAAACAAGAGACACAAGACACAGCAATCAATCAGGATGGCTGGTTGGTTATCGCATTCTGGCTACTAGGAATACAGATATCATTTGCCCTGATCTGCTGCTTAGAAGTTGTGTGTGCGCACGCATGCACACATTATTATTTTTTTTGTTTTCTTCTCCCTCAACACAATGCAATGGAGCTTTATGACTCAACCATTGCCATGCAAATAACTTAGCAGCATCACCGATTAGTAATTCTCATCACTTCTTAAAAATAAGGTGCACAAATTGCCACCTGGCACAACATTTTGCTCCATGGCAGAGCTGGAACTTGGAGCTACTTAGTCAGGTCTGCAGGCTTAGGCCTAAGTCCACACATTCAGGAAGAATTAAGTGGTGAAGTAGACTATACTACATCAGGTATCTCAGGCTGCATCTCAAGTTTCAGACACATAGGTCAAAGCCAGGGAATCTATGGACCTAGGTTGCTGAACTACAATTTCCACCATTCCCAGCCACTGACCATGCTGGCTGGAGCTGATGGGAACTGGAGTGCAACAACATCAAGAGGGCCAAAGGCTCCCCATCACTGGTGCAGATGAAGATATAGACCTCAAAGAGGCACTACTATCACTTGAATCACGCTAACCTTGTACTATGAATGTGCTCTGGATGCATACAATGTGTGTTTGGGGAATGGGGTGGGATACCACACTGCTTCCCTTAATGCCCCCCACCCCGGGGCTGATATGAAACAGTAGCCCCCGCAGGTGCTTATCTCTACCACCATCAGCCAGAGCACAAGACAGTCTCAGTTGAACTGGCCCTGGGCAAGAAAACACTCTCCTCCTGCCAGCTCTCTGCTACCACCACCAAAGCCCATTGCCTGATGTGGAAGGAGAGACTGGTAGGGGGATCCATTCCTTTTTTAAAAATATAATTTTATTAAGACTTTTCAGCATACAATAAAAACAGAAACAAAACAAAGAAGCAAGCTGACAGAGAGATAAGAATAATAACGGAGTGTACGTGTGTGTGTAAGTGTGACTTCAAACTATCCATCTTTCAGTTGTGTCAACAAAAATTCCTCATAATAATCCAGTGTTCAATCCAGAGTAATGTCCAGTTATTCCTCCCTCTGCTAGCTGATGTTTTCCTGATATTAAATCCAGGCACCGCAGGTTCATTCCTTTTCCTTCCCATCCAATAATTCCAAAAGTTTGTCCAGTTATTATAAGTAAGCCTTAATCTTCCTCTAGTCCAATCTCACAACTTTACCTCCAGACTTAAAAAAAACATTCAGTCCTTATTCTTTATATAATAAGACAATATTCATAATTTATTAAAAAATATGTCCCTCAATGTCTTTGCTGCCCAGGCCTGCCAACTCTATGGGGCTGAGGTCTCTACAGCTCCCCACCTCAATGTCTGCTGGAATGGGACTCAGCCCCCTCCCCACAGGAGGCCTGGTGGGATGTCACCCCCCAATGTTGGTTGCAACTTAGCTGCTGCCACCTTGCTTAGAGTACTGGTAAGGATGGCACTAGCAGCATAGACTTGGGAAGGCGAAATACTTGCTTTGACTTGATGGGTCTACTGGTGAGTCTAACTGCTGACTCAGCCTTATGCTACACTTGTGAGTATTATCAGGGCTTGCTAACAAATTATGTAGACATTAATTCACAGCCCCTAAAGATGTATCCATATCTTCCAGTTCCATTTCCTGTGGCCATGGGCTTCCATCTTTGTCATTTAGAAAAAAAAATGATTTCCCACTTCCTGTATTTCCATCCTTTTTTCAAAAGTATTGCAGGAGGCATTGTCAACTTTTCCCCCTCAGATGATTTCAAATTGTACACAGAGTCCTCCTTCCATGAATTCCATCTCCTTCTTCAACATCATAGCTCCAGCATTACATTGTTCCACTCCTTCCAGCACTGATACTACTGCAAGAGGCTTAGTGGCTTTTCCTCCCAAAGGAGAACTCATTCCTCATACATGATGGCAATGGTGGCTTGGATGAAGGACTTCATAGAGAGGTGGGGTGGGGGTTCTGGAAAGAACACCCTCTCCTCAGACTTACTTACCCTACAGCTCTTCACCCCAACCACTGTTGCACAGGGGGAAAGCATATTTCAGGCTCAGGAAAGCTGAATGAAATGCTCTGTAGAAATTATGTAAATTAGGGAAGCTCACCAATTTGTAGAATTTGCTCTCCCAAGGAGGGGCAGGGATCTAGAGGGCACCCAAGCCCCATCCTCAGAGGACCAAAGATCTGAACAGCCACATGGATTGCAATCCACCGATCTGGTGGAACACTCTGTCACAAGAGACCAGGGCCCTGCGGGACTTGACATCTTTCCGCAGGGCCTGCAAGACAGAGCTGTTCCACCAGGCCTTTGGCCAGGGCACAGCCTGACTCCCTCCCTAGGCAATCTTCGTGGAGCTCTGGCCCAATGGTTGCCAGTGGCTTGAATTAATTAATTTTATAATGAATGATTTTAGAGTGTTTATGCTGTACTTTTGTACTGTTTTATTATTGTTAGCCGCCCTGAGCCCGGCTTCGGCTGGGGAGGGCGGGATATAAATAAAATTTATTATTATTATTATTAATCCACATGGATTGCACCACATGGATTGCACCAGGAATTTCCAATGAATCTTTCACAAAATTACTATCATAGAAATGAAGAGCGAGCATAAAAACTGGCATTCCTATTAATGCTGTCGGTCGTTCAAAGGGCTTCACGTATGCAAGCATATGATAATTCTTGCAACCACGCCGAAAGGTAGGTCAGTATTGTTATTATCCTTGTCTTGCAGATGTGGAGCAGACCAGGAGGCCGGCCACACACTTGCTTAAGGCTTTCCTAGTGAGTTCATGGCACAAACAAGATCTGAAACAGAGGATTGCTTGGCCTCTTAAACACCCTTAACAACTCTGGACTTGCCAGATCCAACATTCTTAAGAAGCTTGTTTCTACAGCCTAGACCACATACTGCATGGAAAAAAGGAAGCTCCCCACCCAACATCCCTGTCAGAGAGCCTATTCATAGGCTACTCCAATCCAATGCAGGAATCACAACTAAAGAATCCCTGAGAGATGGCCATCCATCTGTTTAAAAACTTCCAATGGAGGACAGTTCATGACCTTCTGAGGTAATCCATTCCACTGTCAAACAGCTCTTACTCACAGAAAGTTCTTCTTTATGTTGAGACAGAATCTACTTCCTTGAAATTTGAGTCCACTGGTTCAGGTCCTCCCCTCTGAAGCAGCAGAAAACAAGCTCACTCCATTCTCCATGTGACAGCCCTTCAGATATTTGAAGACGGCTATAATATCACCTCTCAATCTTCTCTTCAACAGGCTAAATATCCATAACTCCCTCAACTACTACTCATAAGGCCTGGTTTCCAGGCCCTTTATCGACTTGCTCGTCCTCCTCTACACAAACTCCAGCTTGTCAATATCCTTCTTAAACTGTGGTGCCCAGAATTGGTTACGGGACTCCAGGTGGGGTCTGACCAAGGCAGAGTATTATCTTGCTCCAATTAACACCAAGCATTAAAGCTATATAATCATCCTGGTTGTCCTAGAAAACACAACTGACTCTGGAGTACCACCTCACATAAGCACAGGATGCCTTCCCTCCCACTGCCCTGATTCCTCCACCCACCCAAGTCAGTTGTCCTCTCCAGCTACAGTCTGGGTTACGCAAAGCCAGGCAGGTGGCAGGTTATTCTTGGGCCCATGGGGAGCAGACAGTTAGTCAAGGGCAGCAGTAACACAGCAAACAGTACCGGGAAGTCGTTAATTGCTTGTATGGACCAACGCCGTCTGGCAGAGCAAGGCGACATCTGTGCATGAGAATGTTACGCCCAGGAGGGGAAGGAGGGAAGAAGGTGAGCCGTTGAGAGAAGGAGAAGAGGAAGAAAAGAACACAGAGCTGAGAAACTCATGAGCCAAGGGGCCTCATGCTGCACCAAGGGCAGAGGCCAGCTGTGGACCAGTCAGAGATGTGCCATTCCAGGGCAGCCAAGGGCCTTCTTATTCTGATTCAGCACAGGAAAGATGGAAAGGTCTGCCCTCTAGAGGAGTGACACAGTACTATCTACTCTGAGAGCCAGCACCTCTCCCAAGTTGCAGACAAAAGACTGCAATCTGCCATTGCAGGGGCTGAACCTGTGGCCCTCTACATACAAAACATACTCATGACCACTTCCCACAAAAAACACAACAGAAGCAAGTTTCCCCAAGATGTCATACAAATCCTCGCTGGTCCTCATATCAATCCTCTATTCCAGGGATAGGGAAACCTGTGGCACTCCAGATGTTACTGGACTCCCAACTCTCCCATCAGTCCAAGCCAGCATGGCTTATGGTCAAGGGAGATGGGAGCAGAAGTCTAACCACAGCTGGAGGGGCACAGGTTCCCCACCCCTGTTCTTCCTTCACTGCGGAAAGGGAAGTGTCTCACGCAACCAGCGCTGCTGACAGTGACACTGAGGTCAGAGGCCTTGAGTCCTCTGAGACACAGAGCAGTCAAATACACAGGCAGGAAGATCCTGCTGGTTGCACCCCTCAGGTGGTTGTTTCCCTTTCCTTATCTGTTTTTCCCTGTGGCTAATTTAACCCACACAAATTCCTAGAAAATAATTAGCTGCTAAGAAAGGGAGCTCAGATGACCCCCATCAGTGCGCAGCAAATGCTCAGCATCTAGATGTGAAGAGCCCTCAGCCTGTGCCAATCCCTCCACCTATCCAGGCTATCCATGGATAGCTTCTGGGGTGCTGGCATTTCACACACTGCTTCCGTACAATATTCTTCCCATGATTCAAATTAAATACTCAATTACTGACCCAAGAGCACAGGAATTTGCCACGGGAAAAGCCCTGTGCAACTCTGTTTTATTTCATCACTTTAAAACCACCCTGTCAGTTGGGCCTCCCAGTCCCTGTGCATTTCAATCCCCGAAAGGCCCCAAAATAGGCAGGACTAGATACAGCTTCAAGAGCAAAAGACTCCTTCCAAAATGAGACCCCTGAAAACTCAGCCTTCAGGGAACCTGGCTGGCTCAAAGTGGCACATGCCACGCTGGGGAGAGGGTCTCTATCTGCTGCATCAGGTTTTGCGAAGCTGCTAACTGCTGATAGAGCTGGGAAAGTTGAGCCTAGTGTGACCAGCTCAAAGAGCCCCAAGCCCCGATTCTAAGTGCATCAGCTCAGTTAAGTTTTTTTTAGCTCACTCTCAAGATCGTCATTTTAGGCCCCCATACAGTATATGATGACGTGGAGAACTCCAAGACTGCCAAGAAGGTAGTCACAGCTGTATCCTATGGGGTTTCATTAAATAAGGGCCATTCAAGCTCTTCCAAAGTGGGCAGGAACTAGATGTGGTAAGTCTGCCCTGGGACACCTAACCAATTATCTCTGGCAAGTGGAGGTGCTCAGCATGAGCCAGTCAACAAGCCCAGCTCTCAAGTAAGCGGGGAGCCGGAGGCAACGTCGTAGCCTTTGCAACCCAGGGGTTTGGCAGATTTCCACGCTCCCTGATGGACCCCAGTGTGACCCAAGTGTAAAAAGCCTGCCCTCTTGTGCCACACAGTCAGTCCAGATTGCTTGCACACAAATCCACAGAGCTGTCAGGCACCCCTATATAATTCTTGCATGGTCCACCCAAGGACCACTCAGATGCATAAAAAACCTAGCAGCTGGACAAGTCCCTAATTGCAGATAGCTGGCCTTTTTCAGTAAGTGAAGGCATAATGCTAAGAAAGGAAGAATCAAGAGCATCCCAAAGAGAGCCAGCAGCACAGCTCATCCAAGGTGTCTCCTTGGGCTTCTATTACAGGACAGGCAAATCCTGCCCTCCACCCTGCAAGAGTGCTGTTAAGGGCAGTGATCTCCAACAAGCGTAAATGGCTGGAAATAAGGCAGCGAGGAAGCTCCACAGACCACACACTTACCCTCTCCTTATAGTAGAAGGAACTGATGGAGACCTGCTCCTTCTCGTTGCGTGTAGGGCTCCCACCGTACAAGCGCAGGTTCCCAGGGGTCTCTGTACGGATCTTCATGGGAGTGATGAGGCCACTATGGTAGGCTGAGAGGGCCGACAGGGATCTGAACACAAGATACACATTCCTGAAAGCTAACAGTCAGTCCCATGCAGCATCACAGAAAGCAGGGATTGAGGCAAAGGGCACAGCAGAAGCATAGGAAACTGTCATAAACCGAGTCAGGCCATTGGTCTATCCCAGAGCTCACCAAAGGTTTATGGCACGTGGGCACATTTGCAAGCCTGAGAAACTATTATGGGAGCATCACACACACCACAACCTATTCTATACAACAGGATGTTTCTTTCAAGACTAAATTCTCAGCAGTGCAGGGGACCCTATGGACACCTGGGAAGGCCTCCGAGGGTGCATGTGTACCTGTGGGCACCATGTTGGTGACCCCTGTTCTATCTAGCACAATACAGTCTACTCTGGGCGATAATGCTTTCCTAAAGTCTCAGGCACAAATTCTTCCTGGCCCTGGTACCCGAGAGCCCAAGGAATGAACCTGGGACCTTCTATAGGCAAAGCATATGTGTTTCTACGGAGTCATGGGTCATTCCAATAGCCAAAACTGAAACTCCGTCTCCCTCATTCAGAGAAGAGGAGGAGGCGCCTGGGCATTGCCATGAGCACACCTCTTGCTGCTGAGATGGCTTCCACAACAGTCAGCTACCTACGTACTTACCGGGGGGTTGGTTCTGTAGGGGAGACTGCACGGTGCATCGTCATAGGTCGTGTGAAGTACACCAAGTACCCTGTGAAGATGAGAGATCCTGCACTGAAGAACACAGCTTCCAAAGTAATAGTTGGTACCACTTCTATAGTTAGAAAGGATGGTTATTTAAGTGTCTTCCCACAGGAAGGCAGCTTTAATCAGGGCTGTGTCTATTCTGGCCAAGCACACAATGCAGTACTGCAAAGCCTAGGGTCAAGGCTAGATAGAATCTCACAAGGCCAGCCAAGATCTCCAATGGCCAGGGGCTTTGACCCCTTGCTGCACTTTTCCTTTCCCCCATATCTTGCAGACAGAATTAATCACACAGTTCAGGTAAAGGCACATCTGTCCAACCTGCAACTTCTATACTAGATGTCAAATGCATGGCTCATATTTATCCTAGGGACACATAGCAAGCCAAGCATTATCATGCTCCCACAACTGCCCAGAAATCAAAGGTGGGGGGTGGGGGGAGGTTGCACTCTAGTCTAGAATGCTGTCAAGAATTCCTGTCCACATGCAAAGATTCCACAGCTGACAAATGGGTGGGGAAATTGCTCCCTGAGCACAGAAATCTGAATACCATTGCTCTAATTTGGGCTTTGTTCAGGGTTAGTTTCCTAAGCTGCTACCACTTTGCTAAAGATTAGGCAATTCTACCCATTTTCTGCTTATCTTTACAAGAAAGAACTATTTTATAAGAATGCAGGTTTTACTCAGCAAATCTGAGGGGCAAATTTGTTAAGGGCTTAAAATCGGTGTTTGGTAGGATGCAACTCCTTTGGCCAGTGTAGCACCCAAGCCTTCCCTACTCCCTGACAAAATCATAAATCTTATTCTGTCTCAAACAGGTTTTCTTTTTTTAAAAAAATACATAGAAATTTGCTCCCTTGCTATATACATAGATTAGTAAATAAACTGGAGGAAAGGGAACCTAATCCTGGAACTGGAAACCTAGAATATGCACTCAATTATTTTTATTTTTATTTTGCAAAGCTGCCAATTCTATTCCACTCCTGGAAACAAAGATTTTAAGACAAAAGATTTCTAGATGCCCAGAATCATGTCAATTTGTTTGTAGGGTTGTCCGCAAACCTCGTGAATTGCCTCCTTCATTTTGAGGGCAGGTTTCCTGATGCTGCACCAACAGCACTGTAGCAACAGCTTGCTGCGCAGGCGAAGGGAAAGGGGGTGAGGGCACAGTGGTGTACCCTTGCCACACTCACTCACACCCTTCTCCTCTTGGATAAGATCCGAGCTGGGAGCCCTGACCATTTCCCTGCCCTTCTTTAGCTTCACATGCTTAAGAGTCTACCAACCTGCCCCACAAAACCTGGCTCCAGAGGTGCGTGGAAATGGGATGTTGGAATCCTGATAGGAGCCGTAAGCATTCGAGACCCTGGGGAATGTTGGCAAGGGCGGCGTGACGGAGTTTGGGAGTGCATAGGGGTTGCTGGAGGAGCTGTCCTCCTGGTTCTGAAACAGAAAACAGATTAAGAATTGCATGCATGGAGCCCATCATCTTGACAACAGGGCTTTCGTCCTGAAACACCAACATGCCAATATGTCAGGGAGGGGGCATAGCTCTAAGCTAGAGCGCATGCGTTGCAGGCAGGCAGTCCCAGGTTCTATCTCTGGCAACCCCAGTTAAAGCTATCCCAGAAAGCTCTTTCTGTCTGACGCTCCAGAGGGCTGCTGCCAATTACAGGAAGCAAAATGGGGATGGATGGACACAGTATGACCTGGGATCAGGCACTTTCCTACATTACTGTGCAGGCCTGCAGGGTCAGCCAGGTCCCCTTTTAAAACTTTCCCAGTTTGCCATGTTTAAAGCGAAGGAACATGGGAGTAGCATTATTACTCTACCTAAGGATAGTAGATTTATCAGGCAGAATTGAAAACAACCAATTAGACAAAACAGACTTTCAACCGGTGTTGAGTTCATATACATACATACACACACACACACACACATATATATATATATATATATATATATATATATATATATATATTATACTATCCTGCTCTTTAACTGCAACATTATGTATCACTGTTTCATATACATGTTCTTAAGAGTTCAATATAGTACCATTTTCATATTTTGGATCTTTTTGTCTTGCATGCACTGTTATCTAGGGACCCTTATCATTGTGTATTTTTAACTGCAAGGTACAACAGGGCTGCTATTCCCCCTGGCCTGCAATCACGCTACTCATGTGGGAATTGAGTGTCTTGTCACCACACACAGAAACTCAGCGCTAGTCAGCTTTCTGCTTTTAAAAGGAAAAAGCATAGAGCCAATGGAGAGGTGTCTCTTAGGACTGGAAGGCAGCAGAATGAACCCAGATACATCATTTGTTGTTGCCATTTTCTATTGTGGTCTGTAAGGAGGGTCTCTTCCTGAATCAGAAAGCATTTGCCACAGTGGTAGAAGAACAAGGCCAAAGAAGAACACTTTGTGGCCAACCAGGGCTTAGTTCTTAAGGCTTAAGGGCACTTCTAGATGGGGATTTCAAAGCACTTCCAAATCCCACAGCAGAGGTGCACAGAGGTGCTGTTCCTGGTATCCCAGTCCTCAGTCTGCCACGGCGCATGCAACTTGCATGACTGGTGCCTGGTTTATAGAAAGGAGAAGAGGGCAGTGGAATATGCCCCCTTTGGGTTTGAGGAACATTTCCTGTCAGTGGAACAAAATGTTTTGCAATGCAGGAATCAGAACAATCATAAGATGAGAAACCTGCTACCCAGCCTCAGCAGCAACCCACATGCCAGTGACAAGGGCCAGCTAGCTTGAGAATCAGAGCCACCCCTCCCTGCGGATAGGCAAATTTTGGCACCTCTGTCCAATGTGGTTTCTATGCTTCTGCTTTAGCAGTACAATGCTAAAAACTGAAAGCATGCAAAGCTACTATGGAAAAGTTTTAAAATCTGTTGTAAAGCACTCTGGATTTGTAAAGAAAAAAGGGATACTAGGAGGTTTTTTCCAAACAAGGGTCAAGGAGCCTAGGGCAAAATGAGAAGATAGGTTGGCGCTGAAAGCCATTTCCTACCACAACAGACTCCAGGCAGGAGACCAGCTGGCGCAGACAGGGCTCCAGGCAGCACTGATTCCGTTTCACCTTCTGCATTGAAGTGTCCTTCAGGATCTGCAAGAGGCCCCCGCATACTATGTGAATGGTTTGGGTCATGAACACACACACCCCCAGCTTCTCCACACACTCAAACAATGATCAAGGCTCCACGACTGAGGGTTCCTCGAGACAGAATTCATGGGTAGGCAGCCAATGTGGAGACCCTCCCTGTTCCCGGACCTCCACAGCCTTCTGCCACCCCACCTGCCAGAGAGTTGCTCGCTTGCAGACCCACCTTCAGCAGCTTGGCCTTCATGGTGGAGGGGATGGTGGTCTGATTGACAAACTGGAAGGAGGGGGCAGCATTGTTGGGATACTGAGCAGGGAACATCACCAGCATCTTGACCCTGTGGTTGCTGCAGTGCACGGAGACAGTGCAGCTACGATTTACAGCATCCATCTGCCGAAGTCAATGGAGAAACAGAGGAGATGTTAGGAGAATATTTTGTTAATGGATCCAATTGCACTGACCTACTTCAAGGAACAGTGGAGGTCCACAAGGGGACCAGACTCGATCTGGACCCTGCAATAATCATCATCCTCAGTGGTGGCTGGTACCCATTGGAACTGGATTCTATTGGTGGAAGGCAGGGAGACCAACAGTAGGAGACCAGAGCAAATGGTGGGCTGAGCCAAGTGGTTCTGGAATTGTCCCCATCTTCCTTTCTGCTGAGTTCTGTAAGGTCAACACGGAGACTAAGGAGGAAGTTGACAGCCAGTGCTATCATCTAGACTAGTTGTAAGAAAGAAGTTGGCTGGGGGGCTGACTGGCTGTGGGAGACCGAGCTTGGTGGGGCAGTGCCCTATTCACCCTAATAAACCAGCCTCTCTTGATCATCATTACTGTTATTATCACAGAAGGTTCCAAGTTACATTTCTTTTTGTTTGTAAACTGCTGCTGCTATTGTTGTTGCTACACTTAAAGTACGTACTTAGCAAATAATTTAAGTGAAGTTCTGGCCTGAAGGCTCAATCTTTGTTTTAACAAATGTATCTTCTTCCTTAGACTTCAAAAACAGATTTTGTATACTGCTTAAAGCAATTTTGGAAAAGTAAATGAACTGTATTTTATAATGAAACAAGCAAATTCACCACCAGAGCAGTCTAAAAACAGATGGGGCTCAAGGTGAGGATGGCTGAAAACAATGTCACAGATCTACTCTGGGCAGACTCACTAAAATCAGGGGGCCTCAATGAGTCATGAGCATTAATATCAATGGGTCTATTCTAAGTAAGAACACTGGATGCAACTCAGTATTTGGGCTGGCTGCTTCCACATTCTCTCCCCCCTCCCCTGCTTTCTGCTTAAGTGGTACTCCAAAAAGTGAGGGCATCATGGATGCAACCCTGCCAGGGAAGTCTCTATAGACCCTTCCCTTGGCCTGTCAAGGAGTCATGGCCCAAGAAAGGCAGCCTGCCAGAAGATGGCAAACAATCCCCACCCAGCAGCAGACAGGGTGTTGCGAATTCCACCCTCTCAAGCAACAGCACACCCAACAGGAGGACATGGCTCCTCCCTCACCTACCTCCATGTTGACATTTCGGATCTGCACGTTGATCAGAGAGAATTCCTGCTGCAAGGTTTGAGGCAGCCCCAGCTGGTCTAGCTTTTTCCCCACCAGGAGACTTTTCTGAGAGTCTTCTTTCAAGGCTGTCAGGGAGAGAAGGCAGTGCTGAGGACCTGTGCCCTCCTCCTCCCATCCCCAGTCAGAGAAAGTGGGAAGAGGTGGGACAACAAGCTGAAAGTGCCAGGCATTTGGGGGTGATGAGGAGAGAATTAGAGTGGAATTGGACAGGGGCAGACAGGAAGAGTATTCCTTCATAGAAGTCTGATGGACTCTTTGAAGCTCTGATACTTCAGCAGTGCTTTTAAGGCTGAAGTGGGGAACGTTTCCTCCTGAGAGTAGCATTCTGTCAGGGTCTACATAACACCAGCAGTGGGTCAAAAGCGGGAAAGGGTGGAGCTAGACCCCTTTCCCTTTTTCTACCACCCCCTCTGTCCATCCCCCCCTCACACTTTCTGCCACCTCTTCTTCTCTTTGCCACCTGCCTAAAATGAGTCAAGGGCTACCATTGCCAAACTCTCTTCTAGGGTCTAAGTCCAGATATGCAACTCAGTTGCCATCTGCAAAGAGTGAGCAACTCCTGTAGGCAAGTCTTTGTAACTCAGGACAGAGCCCTTCCTGATGTTGTGGAGCCTTACCTGTGTAACTCCCACCCATTCGCCTGCTCCCTTTTATGCTATTCAAACACCCACTGAAGACTGTTCACTAACAAGTGCCCCTCCCCCCCCCACCAGAGCATGTTGTGTAGCATCCACTGAAGACTAATGGCTTAACTGCTTTCAGCAACTTATGTACCATCTCTACTTTTGAAGTAGAAACCCCCTTGCCTGCAAAATGCTCTGCTTGTTCAGCACAGATCTGTTGCTGGTAATCTTCTCTGTAGACATCCGTGGTGGCTGGTGCCCACTGTGGCTGTTAGGGTGGAGGGCAAGGCAGCTACTAAGAGATAGAGCCAGGGGTAGTAGGGCTGACCCTGTGACAGGGCCTTTTCAGTAATGGCTCACCAGCTGTGGAGTGCCCTCCCTAACAAGGTGCACCTGTCTCCAACATTATTAATTTTCAGGAGGAATTAGAAAGCATGGCTGAAGACCACTGTTCCTAGCAACCTTGAGATCACTGGATGCAAGAATGTTTTTAACTAACTACTTTTAGATGTTCTTAATTGTAATTGTTTCTGGAGTGTCTTAACTGTTTTAGAATGCTATTGCTTCCATTTTTGTTTTCAAATTCAATTTATGAATTAATAATAGTAATACTGGGAGGGAATGGGACATGGTTAGGGAGGCATCCACAGAGCGACATGCAAAACAAGGCACAGAAGAGTCTGCCAGCTCCACGAACCACCCAGGCACCCCCTCGCCTCACCTTCCTCTTCTCCATGGTTGGCATTTTGCTGGGGCTCAGTGTCTTGGGAAGGCAGGGCCTTGTCTGGCTCTGGCAGGAGAGAAATCCCATCGATGAGCTCCTCCACCCCTTCCAGGAGGTCATTGGAGCACAGCTGGAACAAGAAGCAGCAAATGCAGCAAAGCAGAAACAGAGAAGGCCACGGATGTGGCACAGCAAACATGGTGCAACAGGAAACATGCCCGCCCCCAAGTTGCAAATTGGCTAGGATTTCTGCACCATCCCTTGTCTAGAGACCTCACTGGCTTCACACTGCTTGTTCCAAGCTCCCACATAACCCTCGTCCCGGTTCATATAACCTCCACACCAGCTTTTCCCCGTAAGCTCCAATATGCTCCATCTCCTGGCAGCATTTCAACATTCTCACAAGAGTCAAGAGACCTCGCCTGCATTATTGCTTCCTTGCAACCATCCCAAAGGGATCACCACCCACACTTTGGGAAACCCTGAGCCTTGCTTGCTTATAGGTTTATCATCTGCAAAGGTGGACAAAACTGTACAGCTTCCCTGCTGGCACACCTTGCATGCCCCCTTCCTGTTGGGGGCAAGGGGAGCTTACACTGCAGTTTGAGGAATGCTGGCTTAGAGGAAAGAAGATACAAGGACAGAGTTATGTGTTTCACAACTGCTGAACCACCACCACCTCCACTACCAAAAGAAGACAGGCAGCTCTTGACCAGGGCCCCAAAAGGAAGGAGAAAAGGCCCACGTTTTGGTGAGGCAGCTGTAGGCTAGATTGAGGGAATGCTTCCTGACTCTAAAAGCAGTGGGATGAAGATGTTGACCAAGGACACTAGTGTAATGGTGCTTCCATGCTGATGTTAAAGCAGGTGGTGAACTTCTATCAGAATTAAGAGATTTTGCCAGTGCAAAGGGTTGATCCAGATACTCTCAAGGTGGGTTCCACTTGCTTGATTTATTCTGCTGAAACCACCATAAAGTCAGGAACAGGAAAGAGGTTTGATACAGAAGCACAGAAAGCAAACCCCATAACAGGAGATGGACCCAGGACAACAGGTACAGGAGGTACCTGACAATTTAGATGGAAAATAGATGTTTTCTGGTTTCTGACATCTGCAACTTTGAGCAAAACAAAAAAGGAAAGACTATGCCACCTGTCACTTACCCGTTGCAGCTGGCAATCAACTCGCCACATCCGAAGTGTCTGATCTCGAGACCAGGTGACCAGCTGGTAGTCCTTGGATCCTGAAAGGCGTTTTAGATTAAAGAGTTTAAACTCTGGCTCTTTTGAGATGGTCTGGTATTTTGAAGGCGTATCTCTGTGCTCTGCTTGAGATGTTTTTCTTTGAGGTGGACTTACTCATTCTAAACGCTTGGCCCACATTTTTGTACTTTTGCTCTCTCAAGGGTGGGGGAGAGGGAGAAGGGTGAATTTAGAATTATCTTTGTGTGATGTCTGGCAATGTTGGGTTTTGCTTGTAGACCCACTTCTGTATGTACTCTTTTGGTTTCACCTGTTTCGAAACTCAATAAAAATCACATACAAAGAGCTCAAACCAGCCCATGTTCCTTTGATATAAAAGGAATGGGTAGGTTGAAGTCTGTGTGAAATGCAGCTTAAACCCAATATTTGTGCCACAAGTGCCCAAGATCCTTTCCCTGCCTGTGTCATGCATGGCATTTTGTTCTGCATAGTTAGACCAAAGTTCTCAATTTCTTTTGGCCATCACAGATTTCCACACACACACCCGCCCCCAGCAAATACAGTTGCAGAGTGATGAGGGGGGGATCTCTTATAGTTTACTGCAATTTAATTTTAAATGAACTAGTAGAAGAACAGAGAGACATGACACAGAGAGGGAACTCAGAAAAGACACAATGCAATTGAAAACAAACTGCCTGAAAAGAGCCAGAACGGGCTTTAAGCTTCAAAGCCACCTCTGTGCTTTGTGGGCCAGACAGCCAGCAGGCACACTGAGGCCACTATGAGAAGGACACATCTGTCACGCACCTTCCTTCTGCTTCCGCCACTGGAATTCTAGCACAACATCATCATGCCCTACAAAGGTGTGGACCGGCGTGTTCAGGTCAAAGACATTCCAGAGGAGTAGGCTGTTCTCTCTCCGCAGCTGGGGCACCATCACTGTCACCAGTCCATTGCTGAAAGGCTAAAAGAAGTCACAGGGGAAGGTTGGGGGTTCAGAAACTCTGAAATGTTTCTCAGTTGCCCTTTCCCCACCAAAACAAGTTACAACATGGCAACACACATGCATCTTTGTAATGTGTGAGTGATCACATCTGAAAGACCTGACAGTTAGCGGAACACCCCTGGGTGTGTGCCCAGCTCTTGTGCTAATTAACAGTGCCAATGTATCAAACCTCAGTGATTTTCACAAGCTTTATTCCTTATGGCTCTTGGGTGGAGAGTGAAGCAGGCTGCAATCTCAAGTTGTTCATTTACTTCATTTACTGTTCTTCTCTCTGCCACCTCTGCTACTTCCTACTCCACCCATGAGGCAGAGAAGAAGAGGGTCTTACATCATCTTAGATGTAAACATGTGAACCTAGGAGTGTTGGAGGGTTGTTTTTTGCTTGGGATATATTTGTATGAAGGAGATACACAAACACCTTAGATTAAGTTTGCAAACTTAGAAAAGTCATTCCCACTGCAAGGGAGAAAAGGAGGAAAGCCTCTCTTAAGACATCCCTGCTGAGATACATATGTCCATCACCTGACAACAGATAAATATGCTTTTTCTCTTTGAACATTTGGCTTACCAGCTTTCTCAAGTTGGCTCTGTCCTTACCGTGTATCTGGCTTTCCAGACAGGAACCTGACATGCCAGGATGTTGAGGTATTTTCGGGGTTGTCGGTAATCCCAAAACTTCAACGAAAGAGATAACAAGCCAGTTCAGGAGGAGGAAGAAGCTTACCAGCAGCAACATACACACACCTGGGAGATCACAGCACAACAAGAGCACTACAACATGGCCAGAGTGGAAAGGACTTCTGGCCTTCAGTAAGTGTACATATGCTATTTGGAATAACATCCCACTGAAGGACTGGGGTATTCATGAAGGATTTTTAGTACCTGGGCTCCCCATTGCCCTTTCAGCATCAAGTTACCACAGTAAGATGACCAATCCTGCTCCAGATACCCAGGAGGCACCTGAAGCTGGGAATGCTTTTTAATCAACACCACAATACACAGTTGGGGCCCTCCTCAGAGGAAAAAGCCCTTGTCACCTCCATTAATGTACCAGTAAATATGTTCTGCGGAGGGCTGTCCTTGAAAACAGTCTGGAAACAAAATGCTGCTGCCCTCCTCTTGCTAGAACTGGGCCAAAGACACAGCTAAGTAAGAGTAGTGCACTCAGTATACCATCTCTCTGAAAGCTACCAGGTATAATTAAAAAATGAAAGCAATGACCCATAAAGTCCTATAAACCGCCTTAAGCTATGATGCTTTCAAGCAGGGGTGGGGAATGCCTGACCCTGCAAATGTGGCCAGACTTTGCCTCTCATCACCCCTGTTGGCCACATTAGGCTGGGGCTGATGGGAGCTGGAAACCAACTACACTTGGAGGGCCTCAGGTGAATCACCCCTGCATTAGGGGAAAGGTTATGTTATGCCGGTATGTTGCAGTGGTTAAGAATGTTGGGTTGCAACCTGGGAGACCAAGGTTCAAGTTCCTAGCCAGCCATGAAGCTCATTGGGTGACTTTTGACCTCTCAGCCTAAGCTACCGCACAGGGTCACTGCACATGGATGGAACTTCACAAACAAATATAAGAACACACACAAAAACAGGCAGATCCAGCTTTTGCAAAACAAAATGCAAAGATGCCCAAAGACTGCAATGATTTTTTAGCCTGTGGCAGCATCACACACTGTGACATGCAGCAAGGAGTATGGGAAAGGAGTCTTGGAAAAGACTGGTTGCTTATTCACCAGGACACCCCTTCCCTCAAAACAGGATGGTACCCTCCATTCATTTCCCAGTGACCCCCAATGGCTGTGAAGACCGGCAGGGACCAGCACAACTGGAACTCTCCACCTGCCTGGCTGGTGCAAAACAATTTTTAAAAGACATGCAGCACCTCCTTCGGGAAAATAAACAGCAAGTACCTGAAGGTGATCTAATCGCATTGATTCTGGCCATAGATGAACATTGTCCATGGTTCCCTGAGGACGGGACATGGGAAATTCCAGCATGGAACAGCATTGGCGACCACTTTCATGGCCATGGCCGCATAAATCTTCACGTCCTCAGTGCCTGGGCTAAAGTCCGTGGCTGCATGGCAACTCTTACGCCCAAAAACATCCTCTTGGCTTCGTTGCAACCACAACAAGAAACAGTCCTGAATATGCCTTTCATATATCCGGCTGCACCGCTTCAACCACCACCTTTTACTCCACCACGACCACCAGATTATCAGCCTCCGCCGACGCCACTGGGGACTGCAATTAAACAAGCAGCCCCCCTCTTAGGTCTTTCATCTGGCACGCCAGTGGCTAAAGTCATACTGCTCCCTGCGGATGCCACAACTCCTACAGATACTCCCTTAATTGCTGCTGCAATGCCTCTCACAGCTCAGCGCCCTAGAAGTTCACAGTCAGCCAGTTTGAAGGTAAGCGCCATGTCAAGGTTAATGCTTTATTAAGAGACCGAATGGTGGATCGCATAGACACTCTGCACAATGTGCAGTTATCCTTGGCAATTTTTCCACACCTTTGCTGCCTACAGCCATTCTCTACTCACAGAAATCGGCTGCCCCTCGGGTGTCAACATTGTGGAATGGATCCACCTTCCGCATACTCCACCGCGTAACATTTATTCCTCTCCAGCGGCTGTAATGGATTTGGTAATTAAAGGGCGCGCTCGAGCAAAAGCCCTCTCTGGGCTGGACGTTGAAAAAATTTACCTGCCTTTTCACTCACAGAAACACAACACCTGATTTCCACCTCCGTGGCTACTCAAGTAGCACTTGTGGATTTTGGGAACCATCACGCATAATCCCCCTCTGATCCACGCTTGGCTTTCTTTCTCAAACTGTCTATACTTTAAAAATGCTCTCTCTCCGACCCCCATCCCCTCTGCCCTTACCCTTTTCACTGATGGGTCAAAAACGCGGGGGTGGCATGGGAGGAGGGTGGAAAATGGAAAACTGAATTTACTGAGCAACAGAGGTCCGCCCAGCGGGCTGAACTTGCTGCTGTAATCCTTGCCTTTCAACTCTTTCCTGATAAACCTTTTAATTTGCTTGTTGATACACAATATGTGTATCGCCTTCTGTCTTCCCTGCCTGTTTCTTATATCACGCCTGCGTTAGATGCTGATTTGTTTGTTCTTTTTCTACCTTGCAGTATCTTATTCAAGAACGCCGTCATCCTTTTTATGTTGCACACCTTCGTTCCCACACCAATCACCCAGGGTTTTGGCTCAGGGAAATGCCGTGGCAGACGCTGCACTGCGATCTGAAGTGTTTTCCTTGTTTTCTGACCCTATTCTCTCTCATTCTACCTTTCACCAGCCTGCTAAAGTTTTGGCAAAAATGTTTAAAATCCCTATTGCACAGGCACGAGACATTGTCTCTCAATGTCCTACCTGTTCTAAGGCTCCAACCATGATTCCCTTTGATGCGGTGAACCCTAGGGGTACGTCCCCTCTTGCGGTTTGGCAGATGGATGTTACGCACACCCTCTGCTCGCCCCATTCTCAAAAGTTCACTTGACAGTGGACACCTCATCTGGATTTATCTGGGCCACCCCATTGAAGGGTGAGACCGCTCGTCACGTCATTCAGCACACCCTGCGCTGTTTTGCTGTGATGGGTAAGCCACAAAGCATTAAAACGGATAATGGCCCAGCCTATATTTCCTCTCAGTTTTCATCCTTTTGTGATTTATGGAATGTGAAATTAATCCATGGTTTGCCTTTTAATTCAACAGGACAGGCGATTGTGGAGAGGGCGCACTTGACCTTCAAGACACTGCTGTCCAAACAACTTGGAGGTCGAAATGCCCCCTCCGCCGAGATTCCTTCAATTGTGCATACTGTTTTATTCACTCTTAACCATCTTTTGTATCCCCATAATAGGGAATATACACCGGCTGAGATTCATTTTCGAAAAGCAGAGCCTTTGGCTCGGCCTCTTGTATCTTACAGACAGCTACCTGATCCAACATGGCATGGTCCTGTGCCACTCATCTCCTGGGGACGCGGCTACGCGGCAGTGGACCTGGATGGACGGCCTACCTGGTTACCAGCGCGCTGTGTGCGACCCTGGCGAGCTTCTGCCTCGGAATGAAATTTATGACTCTGATTAAATAATATAAAAAAAAGGAGGGCATGTGGGGATGCAATAGAAAAAACAGCACCCTTGTGCAAGATTGTGCAAGAGGAAGCATCTGCTGACTTGTTCCCCCCCACACGCCTGGGTCACTGACAAGCTGCCTAACCGCAAAGCTTATGCGGCTGTCATGCTGTCTGGAGTTATGTCCTGGTAGAGAATAGTTATTCTAAGAAATGCAAACCCTAGCTGTTTTCCACCCGAGTGCTACACGTGTATATGCAACATGATGTAATGTGCGCAAGGCTAATAAACATGCAAGGCTGCTGGGAGAGAGAACTCACTCCTTGCTTAAACCTTCACCCATGACTCTTCGTTATTTTCCTCCGCACCTGGTGGGCTGGTTCCCCGACAACTCTCCACCTGCCTGGCTGGTGAAGTTCACATTTCAGCCAGTTTGAAAGGTAAGCGCCATGTCAGAATTGGGCTTAAGGGCCCTCAAAACCCAGCCCCACCCACCCACCTACCCTGACAGAGTTGTCCTGGCTGGACGTAGCCAATATGTTCTCATTGTCTGGGTGCCAGTCCAGGCCATGGATTTTAGAGAGATGAGCAGCCAAGTACTCCACCGCAGTGCCGGGTTTCTGCAAGAAGAGATTTCATTTGAAAGCTTGCACAAGAGATGACCACAACCATCTCCCTTAGAGGGGCAACAGTGACTCACCCGCCTGTCCCAAATGCGCACATCCCCGTCATGGCTGGTTGCCAAGCAGTGGGCATTCTTCTTATTCCATTTTACCTGGGAGGCACCAGCTGCAGAAGGGACAGAGCACACACACAATTTAAAAGAACACCAACATGCCAATAGGTTGTATGGTCAGGTGAGTATGACGATGACACAGCAAATGCAAGCGAGGTGTCAAGTCAAGCCCAGCCTGGGTATTGTATCTTGCTGGGCACAAATAATTGACAACGAATAGGGCAAGAGCTTTCGAAAATGGAGTGGTCACCAGAGGCGTAGTACGGAATGCTGCAGGGTGCAGCCCAGCCATCCGAGAAGGCCAGCCCAGGGCACCAGTCAAGAACCAAGCCAGCTCATCTGCAGCCTACTGATGCAGCAGGCAACTGTCTGGGAAAGTGGGACATGGGTCAAGTTTGAAAAATAGGCTATCACAGGTATAGGCAAAAGGTAGATTGGGCTCTACTGGAAGACTCCTAGGTGATTTGCAGCAGATTGCCAAGAAGCTCTGGATCACAATGCCTTAGCAAGAACATCAACAAAATGACGCCCCTGCCCTGTCCTAAATTATGCTGCTGAAATAAAGTCTGAGTAAGGCAGAAGTTGACACTTTATGCTAGCCTCTCCCAAGCTGGTGCCCTCCACATACTTAGGGCTACTACTCCCTCCAGCCACAACCATGCTGGTTGGGGCTGATGGGAGTTGTAGGGTATGACATCTGGAGGGCGCCAGGTTGAGGAAGGCTGCTTAATACCATTGCCAAATCTGCTACTGCCTGCTCCAATAGTGGCAGGCATGCCACAGGTTGGACACCTTGTGGGCTACTGGAAACCAGTGCCAAGACCTCTTCTTTGAGGGCACTTAACACCAACTACTGAGTGAAATACTATGCCAATATTTCAAATTCCACCTAACCAACTGGTACTTACCGACAGCAGAAAGTGAGACAGTAGGTTTCCGAGTGTCCCTGAAATACAACAATACCAGCATAAGCATACATACTGTTCCCTCTCTATTCAGGTTAGTACCTCTCAATTTTTGCTTCTCCAACTTAAAACTGGAGACACAGAGTTCTTACACTCAGTAAGTTTTGCATTTTGGGGGTAACAAACTTCACTCATTTTGACCAGTGACATGTGATACAGAGAGGCAACAGCATTACTTGCCTCCAGAGAAGGTGGACAGAAGAGGGCCAGGCCAGGCCAGGAAACTATGCAGAGACAGAGCAGGCAATCTTCTCTGCAGTTTAGGACTCTGAGCTTTCATTAATAGTTTAATTAACTTTTTTTCTTTTTTCTTTTTTTCTATTATGTTTTATTGTAATTTATATTCGGTGTTAGCCGCACTGGCCAGGGAGGGTGGGGTCTACATAAAATTTTATTATTTTTATTTTTTATTTTTATTATTATTATTATTATTATTTGCTCATTTCTCACGGCAATGAATTTGAAAACGACTGACCTAGGCGGATAACAAATCATTCAGCCACCACCAGCTCCCACAACTGAAGCTCAGCTGCATGGTAGCTTCTGCACAATGCGGCGGGGGGGGGGATGGACTACGCTAGTGAGGCAAAGTGCAGAATGAACAGGGGCCTTACAGACACAGGCTGCTGGGGTTTCTAGTTCACTTGCCTGGGGAGTGCTCCTTCATGATCCCAAATATGAAAGAGCAAAACCCATTCACCAGGAGGATATTACTATGGACAGCTTCACCCTTCCAAACTATCCTGCTCCAGTGGCAGCAGTCCAAAGTGCCACACGGGCATTTGCTCCCATAAAGACCAGCAATATCTTTCCCAATGTACCTCTGCACTTACTTGATATCCCAGATGTAGATGTACGTGTCAACCGAACTGGTAACCAGCAGGTCCGGCTCAAAAACTGCCCAGTCCAAATCACTAGAAAAGTTGCAAACAAGGGAAGGGGGGGAGCATCAGCAAGAGGGATCTATCTTGGACAGCTGCAAACACCAGACTCTGCATGGTCATTAGTAATTCTCTTGTTCATTGCCTTCTTAACACAATGCCCCATTGGCCCAGTTTCACAGCTCCAAAGACCAGCTTTTCCAAAGACAGAAGGCGTCATCCAGGGAGCTTTAGCTACATGCCCTTTGCTAATTTTCCTGGCCACTGTTTCTCTAGGGCAGAGGTACGGAACCTCCAACCCATGGGCCAAAGGGAGCTCCCAGGACCCTCCCCAGAGTGCTTTGGTTTGGATAAAATATGTTCTTGAAATATAATACCTCTTGGAGGATGGAAAGGGGTGTGTGGGGGTGTGGGGGGTGTAAAACTCACTTGTGTGGCTGGAATGTAGCACATTGTACAAAAGGCAGGAGTCACATCTGCTGATCCACCCACTTTTACCCCTGGTTCCATCCACCACTGGATTGTGTCCACCTCATCCCACAAGATTGCCCATGAGATTAAAATGTTCCCCACCACAGCCCTGGAGCAGAAGGTTCCACAAAAACAAGATCCATGATGGCAAACAGTGTTCTTGAAAAACAGCTAGCCCACTACTACTGAGATCTCCCTATAACACAGCCACAGAAAGAGCAATATTGCTTAACATCTGTATGATGCTTCCTATACATTAACACCCTGCAAGGTACATCGGTATTATTATTAGCCATATTTCAAATAGGGAGGCCGTGACCAAGAGTGCTGTTTGCCTAAGGTCAGCTATCGAGCTCATGTCAGAGGTGAGATTCAAAATGGAGACTTCATGACCTGTAGCCCAGTCCCTTAGCCCTTACGCTACCCCAGCTCCCAACAGAATTTGTGTCCTGGAATATTCTTCTGAATCCTCCGTAATGCAAAGCAGTTTCACAGAAAACAAACTGGCATGCAAAGAGGTAGAAAGTTTGAAAAGCACAGCTCTGGGGACTAGGGGAGTTCCAGCTCACCAGAGAAAAACACCCTGTTGCTGCTGAGACCATCATTTAATCAGGATGAGAGGGGGGTGCTTAATCTTGTTCTCCCTCTAATTCACTGCATGAATATTGAAAATATGTCCAGACAAACTCAGGATTTGCTAAGCTGGAATATCTGGGCATGTCCGCAGACAGTTGGTTAGATTGTGGTGCTGATAACGCCAAGGTTGCAAGTTTGATCCCAATAAGGGACAGCTCCATACTGCAGCACTGCAGGGGGTTGGACTAGATAATCATCAGGGTCTTTTCCAACTCTATGATTCTATGAGACCAAAGTTACTGCAGCAGTGACTGATGCACTTCATGCACTCCAAGCAGGGAGGGCCAAAAGGGGGGCTTCAGAGGAGGGAAAGGAGGGGGGGGTCCAAGCATCAAGCTCATCACATCAGGACTGAAATTCCCAACACCATGAGCCAGTGTGCAAGGCTCACTGGCCCGCATGACAATGGAGTGCGCTAGGGCTCCCCAGGGCCGTACCTGATCACACGTGTGTGCCCTTGCAAGGAAGTGCCAACTTCCCCATTACCATCTTTCCATTTATACAGGTCAACTCGTTGGTTGCTCTGAAATTAAACAGAAGACATGAGAAGCCACAACACGGGCAGCAGAGTGCTATGTAACTACAGAAGTGCTCCCTAGCATTGGAACACTACACCACCCTTTAAAAGCAGCAGGAAAGGCCCTGCTCTGAAGCACGTCAACAGGAGAAACTAGCTTGCCAGCATCTTTGCTACAACAGCTCTTCCTCCCTCCCAGCCACACCACACCCCCAAGAGTCTGAAATGAAATCCCCACAGAGATGCATCAATGCACCACCCATTTAATTTTTCCTAAATGATGCAAGACAACTTACGAGAATTGATTTGGCTGCTTTAAGTTCTCCTTTATTTACACCACCTCACCTGTTTTTAATGGCTTGCTGGTTCGTTTTGATCCTCAGAATGCTTTACTGATTCTGAAGTTTGTTAGTTGCCTTGATCATCAAATAAAGTTTAACAAAAACAAGTTGTGCTTTGGTTCACACATCACATGAAACCATCGTTTTAAAAAAACCTATGGTTTAATATGAACAAGCAGCATGTGAACTGCTGAAAAGCTTCTGCTCCACTCATTTCCTGCTCAAAACTGGACTTATGGTTTGTTTCCCTTCTGAGGCTTATTCTTTTCTTATGTTCTGATGACTGCAAATCTTCTGGATGACCATTTTGGGAAAGAGGAGCACCCTTTCCCACCAGAAAACATGTTTAACTTTTCACACAACCAAGAAAAGTTAGCATTTGTAAGAACACCCAATGCAACTACTCCACTGCAAACCCTTGAAGCATCCTGATTGACAGGGTAAAAAGGGCAATATAGAGTCATTAACTGTGCTGCCTCCTATCCCTGTCCATGAATGAAGATGTCCTGGCCACATACACACACATGACTTGGGATCATGTCCAACGTTACATTTCCCTCACCAAATGTTTAAAATGCTTGGAGGGAGGTGGCTAGAAGAGAGCTGAATATGTGTTTTTATGTGTAACACTGGAAAGGGCCAGATGTGGGCAAGCTTCCAAGAAGTTCTGTGGAATTCAAGCAACCTGTCCCAAGAACTGAAAGGGGCTGATTATTGCAGGTTGATTGCAGAGTAAAGGGGTGTGTGGAATAAACATGATTGTTGCTATTGTTATTTCTGTTTAGGGTACCACGTGCAGAAAGGTGGGACTCTGAACACCAGCATAGCCCCATTCCCACAAGCTAGTTGGACAGATTTGTTGCACTCCTGGGATCCAATTGGGAGGAAATGTAATCACAGGATCAGGGCCAGCATGGAGCATACCGACGCAGCAAAGTAGTGTGAGTGACTGTCATGCGGGTTCCACTGCACAGCTCCTATGTCCCACTTGCTCTGGCGCGAAATCTTGCGGTGGCCATCAGAAGGTGCATCTAAGTTAACAATGTAGAGGAAGCGGCGTCTGCAAGAGACAGAAACACACAAAGAAGACATCAGCAGCATCACACTGGAACCAGCCTGTGAGTTGCTGCACCTACGATTTCCAAAGCACCAGAAGAATAGAGCACAGTCGACCACCTACAAACTCCATCTTGTTTCTGAAACTGCTTGGGGGGGGGGGCGGAATCTTTATCGATGCTGGTCAAAATGGGTAAGCTACACTCCATCATGAGTGGAGTGCAGATTTTGCTCCCATGAACAGCTCAGACTTTCCCTGAAAGCAATGGGTGGCAGCCACTTAATTCAAGGATGGTTCTGAGGCTGGAGATAAACTTTCTTTCCAATAACCCCAGCCCCTGGTAAACAAGCTAAGCTTGATGGGATTCTGCTATTCAGTCACACCAGAGTATTGGGAACCTCTGTAAGGTCCATGAGGTTGAGCGAGAACCATGCAGCATCTCTTGTTAAGCTTCACAGCCATGACCAAAGACTTGAATATGGGCCTCCTTGCTCAGCACTCGAACCACAACCCTACACTGGCTCTGCGACATAAATCGTGAAACGTTAAAGTGAAAGAGATGCAAATTAAAGACAGCCATGAACAAGAGGACATTAACTTTGCTACTGCAGAACTTCACAACAGCAAAATCCTATATGACATATTCCAGGCCAGGCTAATGCAAACTGCCTTAGTTGGACGCCAGGCTTGTGGCTGGCCTGGTTCCTCCAAGGGACTGACGGAGGCGCTGGCTGACAGCAATGTAAGGCTACACGGTCAGACGGCTTAAAGACACAAAGTCCTACACGGTGTGTGACATTGCGCCAGAGAGACTGACAGGGAGGGCAGCTAGATCCACCACCATGGAATGCCTCCCAATAGGCTTAAAAATATCACAGAATATGATATGGAGACAACTATGTCCAACATTCCTTTCTCAGTCAGGATGTCGGCCTAGTTTCTGCAAAGAACGGAAGGGAGTGTAAACATGTGTCTGGTGTGTATCACTTCAGACTACAGGTGGAGCTGACATGACTGAATGCTCTTTCCATGCAAACGAGTAAGTCAAGGCAAATGATCCCAACTAATTCTATGCATGGGGCTTTTGGAAAAACAAAAAACAAAAAACCCTGCATGGAAGAAGCAGCCTTCCAGTTAGATGAACTCATACCAGTCATCCTGAAACAGATTTACTGCCTCGTCTGTGGCTTGCAAGAACTAGGTCACAATTTAGATGCTTGCCTGGCTTGAGAAGCTGAAATCAATCTCAGATTTTTGACCACAAGGTGATTCTATGATGCCAGCCTTTACCTAATAAAAAATTAATTTGAACGTGCTCTCACATGGCAAAAGCTGGCATTCACCACCTATGGTATATTCACTGAAAATAAGCTTGTCTCCAGATGATAAGCACTGCAGTCTATCAGGGGCAGGCACATTTGAATATAATATTTACCACAAGGATAATGTTGTCACATCAAAATATAAAATGAGAGTTACGAAATATCACTCTGGGAAGGCAAGAAGGAACAGGCATGAACCCCCATGCAGAGTAAATGTCCAGAGACTTAGAAACAACCTGGGGAACGGCTGGGTGCAAAGCTGCACCAACTTTGTTCAGATACTCTGCCAGTACACTCTCAATCCTTTTTTCCTTTTTTCCTTACTGTTTTTATTGAAAGTTTTTCATGGATAGCAAACGTACATATAGTGACTACGTTTTCAGTTCATGCAGTCCTATCTACATTTGGTGTGAGATAATGCTATCATAGGCATTGTGAGGATTGGGGGGGAGAAAGAGGTGGGGAGAGAGAGGTGGGAGAAAGAAGGGGGTAATGCTTTTTTCTTCTTTTGCATAGTGTATGTGCATGGTTTTTGTGTCACTGTCATGTGGATAGGTTCTGCATCTATTCGTTTATTAATTTCCGTTGGTAGTGGGAGAGATTGGGGAGCCCAGGGCATGACTAGTTGTATTCAGTTGATTGCAGTGAAGGGTGGGTTCTATGCTGTTGGAGGGTTTATGTTGGTATCTTGTTGAGCTGTGTATGAAATAAAGGGCAGCCATACTAGAGTGAAGGCATCCTTTTGTTTGCCCCCATGCTAATTTCAATTTTTTTGATGTCCTGACCTGGCATGGAGGGGGCAGGAGGGGCAGGGTTGGTGCAAGTGCAATCAATCCACATCTACATATAGAGAACTAATGTCTGCATAGGGCATTAGGGAAAGAAACAGCATACAAGGATGAAAAGAAGAATGAAGGTTAGACTTTGGAAAACACACAAGCAGGAGGACATCAGATAATCAAATTAGCAGAAGTTGAAGGTCACTGAACAGAGCTGAATACATGCAAGATGGGATTAGGGATAAGACTGAACAAGGCTTCAAACATCAGCAACATGGAAAAGAAGCAGTGTGGGGAGAGGCAAAGTGTAAGACTCCGAAGTCAAGGCCTCATGATTTTGGATCTGAGCAGCGACCTGTGCCTCAATTATCTTTTTTAAGACTTTGCCAAAATAAATTGCATCTCATTAAAAAAATCTGCTGGGAGGGAAAATATGGCATAGACTCAGCATGAACAAAGTCTTTCTTCATACAACATATAATTGACATATGGAATTCAATGCTACAAGGTGTAGAAAACGTTAGTAACAGACAGCTTTTTTAAAAGTTCACAACCGCCTCCCCCACCTCGAAGTTTCAGACTACAGCTCCCATAGTCCCAAGCTATCATGGGAGTATTGATACTGGGGCTGATGGGAACTGTAGCCCAAATCCTTTGGAAGGGGCTAGACTGGGAAAGGCTGGTATGTACAAATTCAAGGAGGTTAGGTTTTATCAAAGGCTATTAGCCCACAACAACTAAATGGAGCTTCCACCTTGGCAGACAATGTGCTTCTAAACAGGACATCCTGACAGCAATCAGTGGGGTGGGGTGGGGGTTGCCTTCATGCTCTGTTTCCCAGAAGAGGCTTTTGAATGGCCAGTCATGAAAACAGGGCATTAGACTGAACAGATCCTAGAGTCAGATCCAGGAGGGGTCTTTTATGCTTTTGGCGCTTGAACTTATGCTATCAATCTCTTCTCTTCTGCCCCACTGAGAATGTGAAGCACTAGGAAGAGGAAGAACATCAACCCAAGAAGATGTGTCCATCTTCCCTCCACATCCACCTTCAAGCAGCTGCCAGGGCTAACTGCAATTCTATCCCAAAGGTGTTGGCACTCACCCAGAAAGCACTGCATGCTGCCCAAGACAGTCCACGGACATTGCAGTTGCCTGCAAAATACGAGAGAGAGAGAAATAAAGTCCCTCACATTAGCTTAGCTTGTCGATACATTCATTGCTTAGGAAAAAGAAGAGAATGTTAGGTTGGAAAATTTGGTGGTGGGGAAAAGAGACCACTAGAGTCAACCTGATAGGGATGAAATAAACCTGATTAAACACACAATTAGGAAGGAGAGCTACACACACTTACTAGAGAGTAAGTGCCACTGACAAAGCAATGGATCCAAACTACAAGAAAGAAGATTCCACCTAAACATTAGGAAGAACGTCCTGACAGTAAGAGCTGTTCGACAGTGGAATTTGCTGCCAAGGAGTGTGGTGGAGTCTCCTTCTTTGGAGGTCTTTAAGCAGAGGCTTGACAACCATATGTCAGGAGTGCTCTGATGGTGTTTCCTGCTTGGCAGGGGGTTGGACTCGATGGCCCTTGTGGTCTCTTCCAACTCTATGATTCTATGACAACAACAGGATTTACATTCACGTGGGCACGAGTAGGGTTGCACTCTGAGGAAAGGAATTCAATTTAGAGCAGAGGGGGAGTCAAGTGAGCTCTTGCCTGCAAATGCACAAATCACCTGCTCCAAAGATACTGAGATTTAAATATATATACTCAGTATGCTTAAATCCAAGCATACCCAATTTAAAGGGCTGCAGCCCTTCTTCATGCCAAGGGGTTTTTTTTGTCCCCGTTTTGCAAGTTCCACATAAGTAATGGAAGCAAAGAAAAGGGAAGGGCAGTAAAATAGTACTAGTTGTTACTATTAAAAAAATAGTTATCATGAAAAACTAAAAAGGATTATGACGTTTTGGTTGAAAACAACCTTTTTCAGGAGCACTAAAAAACAAGCATATTTGCAAACCAAAATACACACAAGCACAATGGAAAAACCTGTGATAAGAACCTGAAGTAGACAAGACATATCATAAAACCTAAAATTGCTAAAGGCTTTGGTATGCAGCCTGGGAATGCTATTTGATTTGCCTTTATCCCTTGAAACTCAAACAGCCTGAGTGGCAGGAATGACCTTCTAAAACTGAGCATAATACACCGTGTCCACCCCCTCCCCAAGGAAAGAGATAGCCTTGCCAGTTATCCAAGGCAGGATTGCTGCAATGTGCTCCCCTTGAAGACTGTTCAGCAACTACAGCTAATCCAAAATACCTGCCCTGCTCTTCAAAAAGGGAGTTGGGGGATGTCACTCATTTGGTCAACACTTTAGCTTAAAGCTAGAGCTCTGCTGTGCTACCTTGTCTTCAAACCAGTAACCCGACTTCTATTTGGCTGCTGTAGTAAAATTTAGCATAAAGCTTTTAATCCCAACAAGCAAATCAATACTGGAGTCCAAGTTCTGAGTCCGCCAGTAAGACCTAGGATAGTAGCTCTGTGGTAAAGCATGCAGTAGGTCCCAGGTTCAGTCCCTGGCGTCTCCAGGCAGTGCTACGCAAAGACCCATCTCAGATTGGAGAACCACTGTCAGTCAATGTAGAAAATACTAAGCTAGATGCATCAGTGGCATAACTCGGTATCTACCTAACAAGGATCACATCCTGCACCCCAACTGCTTTGCTGCAAATTGGCAGTGAATCAAGGCAGGTAAAGAGCAGCTACTACAGTGTTTTGGTAGTACTTTTCCCAGAAAGGCATAGACAAATGGAATGAGCCTGCAATGCAAACTCAGTAAACTTGTTTTATTAAAAGCACTTGATCTGCAAGCATATTGCACTGCTCGATAGCAATCAGACTACCTTGAAATGAAAGAGAAACACCATGAAAGGCAGCAAGTGATTAGAAGCAGATGAAACGCTTGCCTTTCCAGCCTCTCTTTGCTGTGCTTCTACACTGTCAATGTGACAGACTAGGTCAGTAGGTAAACACAACAGCTGTTGGGAGGAATGGAGAGAAAGATGAGCTCAGTTCTGGAAGGAGAAATTCCAGCATCAGAAAATGCCTAAAGGGCTTGGCCTTCTGGGAAAGATTTCTTCATGACCTCTGAAAGTCTGCCCAGAGCCAAACAACAGCGGAATCTCCTTCAAGTGGGTCCTTGGGGCATCCGTAATTGCTCCCATTATAGAAATACCTGCTAGCAGACTTGCACTGAAGCAGCTGCAAAACTTGCAAGGAATCTGGAGCCACTACAGGACTCCAGCAGCTCAGTAACAATTTTTAGGTTTGCTGCAAATTCCACTCAAAAGATTCACATATCTCTGTTCCTAGAGCCCAACTAGGCTCCATGATCTAAGTTTTTGGAAAGCAGAGATCCAATTGCTGTTATCCCTCTGGTTCCTGCAAGGTCTTTCCTGATTGAGATTGTTATCTCTTTTGAATGTTTATGTACCCCACCTTTTGATTGAAGGGTCCTCAGGGTATTTGTTTCTCAATAGCATTAATGTGTACGCATTTACTCCTAGAGTCTTGGAAGACTAGGATTCAACAAGCAAGGATCCCACATGCTGGTCTATACTATCAGATGTCATCATGATGCAATTAAAAAGGCTTCATTGCATACTTTGCTGCAATCAAATATTTACAAATAATAGTCAACTGACCATCATCCTAATCCTAGTAAAAAAATTTATTAGTACACCATTTGCACACATATTTCCATGAAGTTTAACTACTTCCATCCCCCTCCAGTTTATGTGCAGAAAAGTATTGTGACTTATGTATTGGGGATGCTGCACTTGAAAAGCCTTTCAGGAAGAGAGTTTGCCAGTCTTATTCCATAACATACTGCACAGATACTCCTCAGTAGATATATCCACTATTCAATTTAATGAATTGGTTCCCAAAACAGTAATATTCTGGAACGAGGGGCTTCCACACAGGGAGCATTCACACGTATTCAAGAGTTTTCTAGGATGTGGAGGAGAGATATTTTATTTTTATTTATTTATACTTGCCTCTTCTCATGCTCCTAGTTGCACACTTAAGCCTCATTTCAAGTAGAACAAGATGACAGGAGAAGTTCCCATACCCTGAACCATTCTGCAAAGAGCACACATCCTGCATGGGTCTCATCTAAGCCTGGACAGGTTAAACAGAGTTGTCCAAAATTCCTGTCAAGTACTGTCTGCTGCAGTCAGATACAATAGTGCTGAAGTGCTAAATGATGAAAGGACATGTTTAGTCTGTGCTTCTTCCAACACTAAATGTAACCTTTTAAAGTATGTAAAAAAAGGCCCTGTTGGAACAGACCAACGGCCCATCTAGTCTAGCTTCCTGTTCTCACAGTGGTCAATCAGATAGACTATGGGAAGCCCATAAGCAAAACCCAATAGCAACAGCACTGCTTCCACTTGGGTCCCAGTAAATGGTATAGAAAGATAAACTGACTCCAACAGCAGTCACAATGGAACATGAGATATGACACAGCTGCCAAAAAGGTTGCATGCTAGATGGCGACGAAGATTCTGTTTCCACCAAGCTTTGAAAGTAGGCACTGGTTAAGTGCAGCATGCCTTCAGTCTCTTTATAAGAAACACAAGTACACTTATTTTACATTACTTTAGAAGTGGCACTCCCCAACAGCTGTATAGAATAAATTAGCAGGAACAAGCTATATTCATAGAAACTGCCTACGGCATACCCCATTGCAATATTCAGGAAGCCTTAACTACAAATGTTAAATTTCCTCAACACTATTTTTAAACCAATCAGTATGACAGATCGCTGTATCTTTGTGTAAATTCAGTTCTCACATGACAAGCTTTTGATTTTTTGAAACTGAACAGCAGACCACAATCAGTTCACCATCTACAAGATGGAAACGACGGCAACTTACTGTACAAGGATGCTGTACAAGTTGAGCACATTACAAACGGAATTTTCAGGTGGTACAGAGATAACACACTGGTAAAGGGTCTCATTTTAGCTGCAAAGCTATTATTGCAGCTCTGTAATAACAGCTTCAGAAATGAATTAATAAAAACTACCACTATTGGAAAAAGGAAGCTTCTTTACCCTCCGCCCAAAATAGACACACATCCATCTAGCTGATAAGCAGAAGCCCAGTATCCTGTTGGGAGATGGGGGAGCTATTCCCCCCTGGCAACAACACCAGTAAGAGGAGTAGACAAGGGCACATTATTCACCACTTAATAAACTTTCAACAGTTACTGTCCCTGGCTTAAGAGGTCTCGGGGCTGGAAGTAAGTGATACTATCTGCCCAAAGAAGTAGCATCATGAGTGGCACCACAGGAACATCTGATAGACTCCATACAGCAAGGATGGGGAGCCTGTGGCTCTCCAGATGTTGCTGGACTACAACAAGAAACAACACTACATGAAGGCAGACAACATTAACCCCGCTATGTGGAAATTCCTTGTAGACCACCACAGTGCCTGGAGTCAGGTCACATATCCACAGCAGTGACCAGATGAGAAATGACCACTGGGAGGAGCAGAGAGAAGAAACACCATGGTGCATTTGTAACAGTGAAACTGGATACCTTCATCTGCCCCAGCTGCAATAAAGCATGTATCTCCTGTATTGGCCTCTACAGCCACAGGAAATAACTATGCAACAGTTTGACTTCACCCCCAATGGCACACTCTTCCATTGTCTCTTGTCTTGAGACAGATGCCAACAATAAGAAAGGAGATTCTGACTAAGCATCAGGAAGAGCTCTCTGACAGCAAGAGCTGTTTGATGGTGGAACAGTCTCGCTTGGAAAGTGGTGGACTCTCCTTCACTGGAGGTTTTTAAGAAGAGGTTGGATGGCCATCTGCCATGGATGCTTTAGCTGAGATTCCTGCATAACAGAGGTTGGACTAAACGATCCTCAGGGTCCCTTCCAACCTTACAATTCTATGATTCTATGAGCTAACATCATCATCCATGACCACAGGACATGCTGGCTAGGACCAGTAGAAAACCAAGTCCAACATCTAGAGAGCCACATGCTCCCTACTCTGAAAAACACCTGTCCTTTCCCCCGCCACTTTTCAAAGAAACACAGAGCCAAGAATCACATGCTGTCAATGGCCGGAACCACTGGAAGCACCTACTGTTCCAGAGGCAGGGAAAGGGAGGCTTGTTTCTCTTTCCTGAGTAATTTTATTTGGTAACAATGCAGGAAATATCTCCCCCAGTGCCTGCACATGCTTTGCAGGGAATGGTTTCACAGACCAGCCTGAGACTTGGGCCAGGCCTAATTAATCCCAGAGACTGCAGGTTGGCTATCGTAAGGATGCTTGCCTAGATGAACCATTTGCATGATACACCAGGGTGTTTCTTGTGGGGAGAAGGAGACAGGTGGGTCCTGTAGCACTAACAAAATTATTTACTATGGCGTAAGTTTCCTGAAAAGTGGGCTTATGTCCACAAAAGCTTATGCTGCAATACAATGATTTTTTGGTGGACTACCTGAAAATTGCTGAGGTTTTTGGTCAGAGCGCTTAATAATCTTTTTTGCTGCTGTTCTACAAATTGAAATATATAATGTTTTAATAACCACAATTGAGCCTTTCTAGGGAGATGAGTGAAGAAAAATAAAAACACTTTTTCTTCAATACCAGCACCATCATGAAAAACAGCACCTTATTTGTTGCATAATTCTGAAGTTAGTTCTTTCACTTCTTCTACCTCCACTGTTCAATGTCAGCTGCTGGGAATCCCAAGTGAGAAGAGTTGCTGTTGCACTCAGGTCCTGCTTTCAGGCTTCCCTTTGAGGCATCACATTGACCACTAGGAGAACAAGATGCTAGACTAGTTTGGCCTTTGACCTGATGTTATTATGAAAAACATGGGCCCTGAACGCCCCTTAAGCTGGCAAATACTTTCAGAAAAATTAGTAGACCTGGTATCCATCATCAGGAAAAAAAGGTTATTATTAAGCTTATTCATGACCTTGTAGAAAAGCAACATACAGCATAAAAAAACACTAAATACAAACTAAGGTCACACTACTATTTGAAAACCCCTCATATTGCTCTTTTTCTAAACAAGTTGCCCTTTCCATTCTATTGTACCTTCAAAAAATGCTTCCTGTAACAATCTTATGTTGAGAGCTTTGTGAGGTCTACCTAAAAAGTGGTATATAACTACTGTAAATAAATGGGCCTCTTAGGTGACCACAGGACTCTTAGACCTTGACTACAGCCTTGAACTCAGCCACGCTTAATAAATTATGTTCTTAAAAACTCCCTACACACACACACATATACACTTGGGCTTGCCATCAAGTCTGGTGAAGAGTTCTGCAGAACTCGATTTTTTGGCAGCGTTTTGGTTGGCCTGACAAAGAAAGGTGTTGCCCAAAACTGGATTTGGAAGTTTTCAGTTAAGGTGAAGCCAGCCCTCTTCAGCAAACCACGAAGGAAGGAGAGGTGCCCCAACTACACCAGAGGACGCCCCCCACCCCGTGTGACGCGTCAAGGGACATGGGTGCACCCCACCCATGGGTGGTAGGTAGGAAGAAACAGAGGGGGAGACAGCTGCTGCCCTCCCCTCCCAGGGAAGAAACTTGTATGGGAAGGAAGAGACCTCAAAACAAAAGCCCCGCCAGCCATCCCGCTTCGGCGCAAGCCGAGGAGACCCGGTTACCTGCGAGTCCCGAAACTCCACCACAACATTCTCGCTACTCCAGCGCGCCGCCATCTTGGACTGCCCAGGAAGCAGCTGGAGCAAGGGACGCCGCAGGCGGGCGTGACGCAACGCGCGTCGCGCTCGAGGCCTGCCGGGAAATGTAGTCCAGCCTTAAGGAGGCCTGAGGAAGAGCGTGTGGCTCGCCTGTAGCGTTTTATACGCTCCGGCGCCCCACCCACCCCACCTGCACCGTCTCCTCCAATAAAATAAAATAAAATACAGCCTTCCCTCGCTTCTCGTTTTGGGACTGGGTGGGGTTTAAAAATACGTGGAGCCAATATTCAGTTTCTTAAATTGCAAGGGCTAAGGAAGTCACATCTTGTGGAAGCCAGATGTGCTGGGGTTGGTTGGGAGTGGGGTGTACTTGCGGCATGCTCAGAAGCTCGTTTCCTCATATTTATTAATTTGTTAATTGGTCTCTTAAAGCCGCTTTCCTGGTCCAGCTCATCCAAAGCGGTTTGCAACATTTTAATACCCCACAATGGCTGAACAATAAACTGGACAACCAATAAAGAAGCCAATTAAACAGCATGATTTCTAGGCAATAAAACAATATCACAGGAGGGAGGGAGGGAGGGGTGAGAAGCCCAACACTATTTCCCAGGTTCGTTGGAAGCTGCCTTATACAGTTTCAGATATTTGGTCTTACGTGAACTTGGGGATGTGGTACAGTGAAAGGCTTTAAAAGAGAACTGAACAAATTCATGTGGGATAAGGCTACCAACGGCTACAAGCCACAATGGCTATGTTCTGCCTACACTGCTGAAGCCACTGCGTCTTTCTTGAAAACCAGTTGCTTGGAACTGCAGCAGGAGAGAGCGTCCTCGGGTTCAAATCTGGTTGGCATGTCGTTGGCCACTGTGAGAACAGGATGTTGGACAAGATGGGCCACTTGCCTGGTGCACAGCAAGCCTTTCTTATGTTCTTGTGTCCCTCCAGCACAGAAAGATGCAGTAAAAGTATGTTCATATTACACTGTAGCAGGCTTATTTTACATTGATTTCTCCTAACAGTTGAAAACAAGCTCTGCCGTCTAGTGCCCCCTGGTACAAATGTTAAGCCCCGGGGGGCATTCAGTTCCTATCCATGATGAAGGGTTCTGAGATGCACCCGCTATCTACAGTAACAAAACTCCAATAGAAGAGCTGTTTTATGCTGCAGCAGCGCCCCCTCCCCTCGCAAAGAAAACCTGAAATTGGGCTTAATATCAGAGTATTAAGAATAAAAATTGCTCAGAGGAGCTCTACCCTGTAGATGCCTCTGAGACGTTAAGATAGTAGGCGGCTTTGGAGTGGGTGCAGCTGCTCTATAAGCAAGAGAATTAAGTTTCAAAAGCAGGCAAATGAGACTATTGAGCAGCAAAAGATCTAGGGTTGAGATCCATTGGGCCACCCCCTAACTACACCCCTGGTTATGGTTCACACTGGAGAAGAGGGATTTAAAGTGTTATATGCTAATGTTCAATGTTGTTGTCCCCCCAACACTGGCTTATTGCTGCACATGGTCACTGTGTTAAAAACCAGTGAATCTTTACTTTGATCAATGAATTCCACAAGCTGATTATGGGTGTTCCAGACATCCTGTTCATTGAGGATCCATCCTGATTTGTTTGCAAAGGAAGCCAGACGACGTTGGTCATTTACTAAGCAATCAGCCATTTTGGGGGGGTGCTAGGTAGTGGCTGTGTACACACCATACATTTAAAGCACATGGCTTCGCTCAAATAATCTTGGGAACTATAGTTTGCCCTCTGCAGAGCTACAATTCTCAGCACCCTGAACAAATAAGTTTCCTCAGAATTCTTTGGGGCAAGTAATGTGCTTTAATTGTGCGCTAAATGTATGGTGTGTACATGGCCAAAGTTGCGTCAAGCAAATGTTAGCCTGCACTTTCCAGAGATTTTCCCCATCACTTTCCTTATCTCAAAAAGTCTGATCTTTTGAGGGAAGCAGGTTTATTGCACAAGACCTCCCAACCAACTGTAATTGCACTGCCTGAATTTGCCAGAATGTGACGGAATCCCACTAAAAAAAAGTGACAGACTGGGGAGTGCCCTATAAAAAGAAAACGGGGTTCTGCATGCAGATGGCAGTTGTGGACATGGACAATCCATTTCCACAACTTTCTACAACTAGGTGTATTCCAAAGAGCAACCCTATCATTGGATGCTGGGCTGTAAGCCTATTGGCCTGAATATAAAGATACAGGTTCAAGCTCACTTCCTTTGCATCAGGTGAGCTTTCCAACCAGCTAGATGAGCTCTCTAGCTTTTCTGCTATGTGTGTCAGTGGCTATTTTTTAGAGCCCTCTTGGGCATGGAAGTGAGCCTGGAATAAGATCATTGGAAAAACAGACAAAAGGTGGGTTTCCTCTCTGCCACCAGCACTGTTAGCCACAGCTTTAGCAGAATCCCTTTCTTACCTTCTGTACAGAGCGCTTTATGCAACTCACTGTGAATTTGCTGGACAGAATTTGGTCCTTTATGCATTCACACTCTGGCCTTAAAGTTCTGGGGTCTACAAATATGGGAGACTGGCCATCAGGGTTGACTTGGGCAGGACTAGGTAGAAAGGCAGATATGCAGTAGATCAGCAAGGATTCTGACTCTTAACAGCCCCAAAATGACCTCTGGACTCCCCACTGTTGAAACCAACAAAGGGCGGGGGGTGTCAGATATGTGGAAAGACACCTAATTCAGTTCTGATACCCTAGTTCCTGGGCACAAAATTGTAAGTCAGGGGAAGTGAATATGGTCCCTACATCTTGTTGGATTTCTCTCATTAGCTCCAGCCAGCATAATCAATGGTCACAGATGATGGGAGTTGTAGTCCAGCAGCATCTGAAGGCCACTTGAGGTTATAGTGAAAAATGATGGAGTATTTGCAAGCTGGAAGTCTGCCCACCCATGTTTTAGCATAATTGCCAGTGTGAAGAGTGCACTTACCTTGCACTTTTATGAGACTCCCCTAAAAACACTGGACAGAATGGCTGTGTCCTTGCTACAGGACTGCGGAGCAATGTTAGGTGAAATTTGAGAATACATACAAGGAGCACAATACAAAATGAAGTGCAAAAAATATGGGAGTAGAACAGGATAGGTTATGCATCTGTGGCTTCATCTTAAGAATGTAATCTTCTGGGGGAGGGAGATGGTGGTGGTGCTATATAAATAATAATTGATTCTGTGTACTTGTGTGTGTATGTTGGTACTAGAAAAGAAGAAAGTGTTCAAGAGATGTGGGGGATATGCATGAACTCCGTTTTCAAAGGCCAAGAGGGCTGTCTTCTGTCCTTGTTCCCACCCAGTGTTTCACACCACACATGATCAACAGTGCAATCCTATACAAGTCTACACAAAAACTCCCATTAAGAACAATGGGATTGACTTCCTAGTAAGAGGGTATAGAATTGCAGCCTAAAACTCAGGAGCACCTATATAGCTGGTCAACTACTTAGGTCTGCTATTTTTCGCTATTCTTATTAAATATCAAATTCCCATCTGAACTAAATATGCATTTCCAAAAACGTGACTGTTTTATATTTGTGCTTATAAAATTCCTATTTATTATTCGATTTTTTAAAAAGTTTCCACAACAAATGTTTGTGTAACACAATGGAGCACACATTTGCTTGAAAGTATGTCTCACTGCAGTTTCAAATAGAGTACCGAATTATTTTGTAACCATCTTTAAAAAAGAAACCCAAAGCAGTCCTGGGACCCTTGGTGTGAATCAACCCCCCTCCCCATGGCAGGACCTAGTATGTGGTCAGATGGCACAGAAAGCCACCATAGTTCCTGAAGCTAAGCTGGTTTGGGCCTGTTTGGTACCTGGATGGGTTGATAACAGGTATGCTTCTTTGGGCTCCTTGATGAAAGAAAGGTGGAATATAAATGTAGAAAGTATCATAAAATCAAAACCCTCTTAGGGCCACAGAAGAGTGTAACTGGGAGCTGTATGGTGGAATGCAGTATAGCTTCAAATCAAGCAACATCACTTAACATCTGAGAACCTGCTCCTCTTGTTCCTTATGACTTCAATCATTTATTTTATTTATTTATTTCATAAAATTTTTACATTGCTTGATAGTAAAAAAACTTCAAAGTAGTTTACAAAAAGATAAAAGAATCAAGTCAAGAAAAATGTCCCTCCCCCACAATAGGAGTCAATAACCTCTGGAACATCCGAAATAACTCCGCTGGACAGCTACTAGAAGATGCAACGCAAGCTGCAAAATGAGGCTTCTTTGCAGCCCACACTACCACATGGTAGGCACAAGTGTGGGCACATGGTTAGGCACAAGCGAGACTTGCACCACTTGTGTTCCAGTCTTCATCTGGCCTGTTTCAAAGTCCAGAGCTCCTCTGAATACCAAGGAGCTAGTTGCTCAGACTCCAAAATGCCAGAGAGGATGCTCAAGAACGATTGTGTCTGCCACCCATTTCAGCTCGCTATTCTATCGCAAGACCAGGGTTTCACCAGGACCTCCAGCTTTATCCGCTGGAAAATCCCCCAGAGCATTCAGGAACACATCAGGTTCCACCAGTCTCCGAGGGTGGGCTGTCCTAATGGGCCCACCACACTTACAGGGAGGAATTGCTGTTGTCAGTCCAAGCATAACCAGATAATGGGCTGACCATGCCAAAGGTGTACATTGCATTTCTCCTATCTTCAGTCCATCCCACATACTACTAAGGGCAAAGATCACATCAAGGTGAGTCCTGCCTGGTGTGTTAGACTGTTGACCCTTTGAGAGAGACCCACAGTTGTCATGGGTCTCAGGCTTGTCCAACAGCAGCCTGTGTGTGGATATAGACGTTGTAGCATCCTCCAGCAACACCTCAGCCAGCTAGATCAGGGTTGCTGCTGGGTAACAGGGCAGTCAGTAAACCAGCAGCATCCCTGATCCGTCTTTCTGGCCCAACACCAGGTGCAGACAATGTAAGCGCATCCCAAGGTCAAGAGACGTCCTGGTGAAGGAGATGGTGCTCCTATAGCCAATAGCAACATCCTTGCCTTGACCCCTTAGTCTAACCTGGTGCAGTACCAAAAACCCAGGTGGGTATACGTAGGTCAGGTCAGGTCCATCCAGCTCACTCACTCAAGTCTCTGTAATGCAAGGGAGAGAGGCCAGAACAAGGAATAGAGACGGAACACCTATGCCACCCCCCCATAATGGTCAGCACCCTGCACCTCACCCAAACAGTGGCTCCCCATGCCCAACACCACTGGAATTGGAGGAGCATCTAGACCAGCATCCTATTCTCACACTGGCTAAACAGATGCCTGGGGGAAACCAGTAAGCAGGAACGGTGCACGAGAGCATTCTCTTCTCCTATGGTTCCCAGAAACCCCACTTACCTAGGAGCTAGTCCCAGTGGCCTTTGTGCTAATTACTCCCGAGTAAACGTGCGGGGAGGGGGGGGTGGCGGTTGGGCAGCAGTCCGACCTTGCGCACAGTTTTCCCAGCAGCAAGCCCCAGGAAAGTAAGTGCGCCCACTAGGACGACGGCAGCCGTGCAGCGCGCGTTTACCGGGGCATCCCTCCCCGCTGCTTTTCACGGGGCCCGACTCCCCCGACAGTTTCACGCGAGGTGGGGAGGGAATCCTGGCGGCCCGCCCCGTCCACGCGCCCACCGCTCGCCCGCCCAGCCCTTGACGCAACCCCGTGGCGGGGGCGGAGAGAAGCTCCGGCGCAGGCGTCCTGCGCGCCTCTATTGTCTCTCCTCCGGCAGCCGTCAGGAGGGCTGGCTAGCCGGACGGACGGAGGAACAGGCGGGAGGGAGCCCGCCAGCGAGGACACCCCCGCCCCCGACGGAAAGTGGCGCCTGGCCGAGGAGCGACGGGGACGCCGGCAAGGCCGCGCCGAGGCAGCCCTCGGGCGGGCAGGGCGGCAAGGAGAGCCAAGGGAGGGCCTGCGCTCGCTCGCTCCATGGCTGGCCGGGGCGCGCCTTGACGGAGCCCGCAGCAGCTGGGGCTGCTGTTCCTCCTGCGAGAGGCCGGCCTCGCCTTCCCCGCGCTTCGCCTGGATGCGGAGCGGCAGCGCCAGAGGACCCGCGCACAGAGGCCGGGGCCCCAGCGGCGGCGTCTTTCTTCCGTAGGGCGGGCCCCGGAGGCGGGGCAGCGCTGGCCCTGCTGCCTTGTCGCCGTGGATGAGCCCGGGAGGAGCAGCGGGCCGCCCGGTGGGGCGCGGCGTCGGACGGCGGCTGGGGCTGTTGCTGCTTGCGCTCGGAGCGAAGGAGGAGCGGCGGCGGCCGGAGCGGCGACGACGGCCGGGAGAGGATGCCCGGCTCCGGGGGCCGCTTTAGCTCCTAGTCCCCGGCGCGGGTGCCCCTGCTCGACCTCCCCGTCCACGGCGCTGCCGCCGCCGCCGCCAGCGGCATGGGCGGCAAGCAGAGCACGGCGGGCGCAACGGCCACGGGGCGCTCCCGGGGCGGGCCCTTGGCCGGCGTGTCGAGCGACGACAGCGCGGTGCCGCCGCCCGGGGAGCCCCCACTTCGGGCACTACTGGGGCGCGGGCGGCGGCGGAGGGCCCGCCATGGGCTTGCGCAGCCGCTCCGTCAGCTCCGTGGCCGGCGTGGGCGTAGGGCTGGGCATGGAGCCCGCCGCCGCCGGCAGCGTCCCCTTCGGCCTCTACACGGCGGCGGCTGCAGCGGGGGCCACCACCACAACGGCAGCCGCGGCGGGAGCAGACTCGGAGCGGGGTCCCGGCGGTGGGTCGGGCGCGGACTCTACCCCTTACGCCCATGGCAACGGTTTCCAGGAGACGGGAGGCGGTCACCACAGAGACGGGATGCTCTACCTGGGGTCCAGGGCCTCGCTGGCTGATGCGCTGCCTCTGCACATCGGACCCCGGTGGTTCAGCTCGCACAGCGGTGAGTGTGCTCGTTTCCGCGGCCTTGTTTCCGGGCCTCCTTTCAGACAGTCATGGGGAACCGAGAAAACGAGAAGGGGAAACTGTGCAAGAAATACAATCCTGCAACATATCTATAGCATCATTTATTTATTTTTTGAGGGGGACCCACATGCATCCTTCTTCCCTCTTGCCCCAAACACAAGGCCAGGGTCCTATTAGGTAGGCAGCAAAGATGCAGGCTTATCTGTGGTGAACTTGTCTTGCGCTTGGAGGTTCTGGGGGTTAAGTTTGCTGACACTTGAAGCCCTTGACTGGAGATTCAGAGTCCTTTGTTTTAAAGAAGGTGAGGGTGGCTGTTGTCCTTGCTTGGTGGTGGTGAGGAAAAGGTTTACTGTGAGCATGTTTAGAAGCATTCCTGTGCTCAAGGCCTGGCAAGTAGGTTTCATTTGTTTATATAATTTATGAAAGTACTTATAAATGGTATGTAGAATATCAATGCAGCATACAACCACATTTACAAGTCCCAAAAAGCATTAAATACAATATACAATCATAGAATGGTAAGGGATCCAAAGGGTCATCCAGTCCAATCTCCTGCAATGCAGGAATCACAGCTCAAGAATCCCTGACAGATAGCCATTGAACCTATCTTTAAATACCTTCAATGAAGGAGACTCCCATCAGCTTCCAAGGGAGTCTGTTCCATTGTTGATCATGAGAAAGTTATTTCTAATGTTTAGTCAGAATCTCCTTCCTGGTTATTTAAATCAGTTGGTTTGGGTCCCTGCTTTCTGAAGCAGCAGAAAACAAGCTTGCTTTGTCTTCCACGTGACAGCTTTTCAGATATTTGAAGATGGCTTTCAGATCACCTCTCCGATCTTCTCTTCTCCAGACTAAACATGCCCAACTCCCTCACAACCACTCATAAGGCTCGGTTTCCAGGCCATTAAAAATCCTGGTCACCCTACTCTGTACATGTTCTAGCTTGGCAATATTCTTCTTAAACTGCGGTGCCCAGAACTGGAGACAGAACTCCAGGTGAGGTGTAACCAAGGCAGAATAGAGCCGTACTGTTACAGTACTTCCCTTGACACACTATAGGTTCATAAAATGACTGGCTCATCTTTGAAAAGTTCATACCAGCAAATAAGCCTTTTGACAGGAGCAGCAGTGATTTGGGGTCAGTTTGTGCCCAGGCGGCACTTTGGAGTGCCCACCTGTTTGTTTGTTTGTTTGTTTGTTTGCTTGCTTGCTTGCTTGCTTGTTTGTTTGTTTCTGTTTAGGGTTGGGGTGGGGCCTGCTTTAGACATACAAGGAGATGCACCACTATTTAAGTGGTGTTTCTTTCCTTTCCCCCCATAGGAGCCCAGGGAAGCTAATAAAAACTGTACAAATAGAATTGTCAAACAATAATTTAACCCCAACTATAGAATAACAGTAACGCTTCAACTGTTGAACTCCACTCCAGCTATTGTTGAATTGACACTGTGACTTGTCTGGTGTAGCAGCTGAGGAAGTGATTACTGGGGTGTGGAGAGACTAAGGTAACAACCTGTCCTTTCTTACAGATGGCTGGCTATGGCAGTTTTGCAAGTATGGTCTGAGGCTTTGGCACATCACCTATCAATGCAAAAGAAACCTGCCCAACAGACCGTGTTATTATTTATTAAATTTATATACTGCCCTTCAAAGATCTCTGGGCAGTTCACAAGATAAAAATGGTAGTTCTCTTGATTAATGGACAGTATTTTTCTTTTGCTCTTGGGAAAAGAGCAGGCTTTCATTGTATTCTCCCCCACTCCACCTCTCCCTCTGTCTTGGATTAAAGCTAGAAGGGGAATGTAGTAACTTGCTTTCTCACCAATATAAGAAATGATTTGCAGCTTGTGGGCTCCCTTCGGGCATCTTGATGACCCATTATGTGCAGGATACTGGACTTAAATGGGCCCTTGGTCTGATCCAACAGATTTTTTGTGGAGCATGTTAACTTAGGGCTGTGTTTAATTGGAACAGATTTTAGAGTTGCAGGAATGTATGGCCTCTGTAGGCTGTTAAGAAGTTATGGTAGGTAATTGAGGGTGATTTTAGTTTTCAAATCTCACTCTTTGTTCCTTACCAAATTACCTGAGTCTGGACACTTGTTGTTAGTATGCAAGACACAGAGAATGAAGATAAGATCTGTGGGGCCTTGGAAAGTGGTATTTGGGCCTACTGCCCTCAGAGGTGTGTAGAACACATATTTGATAACTCATCTGGTAGAATTCTAGATAGGTGAGCACCCCAAACAACTGGGGAGGCACCAGGTTAGCGAAGGCCATTTTAAGGGGAAGCTGAGAAAAGAAATTATCTGGGATGGAGAGTACAGAGATTTACAGTCCTGTCTTCTACATGTGAACTTGGAGGCAAGTCCTGGTAGGTTCCATGGGGTAAACTCTGATGTGTGTGTTCATAGTTTCCCTTCCACTGTGCTGCAGGGAACAAGTGATGTAAAGATGAAGCAGTGCCTCCTAGCAAGGCAATTTGCAACCAGGTTCTGTCAGGAAGTGGAGGAAGTCCCTTTCATCTTGCGAGATATTTTAGTCATCTATCTATTGCCTGCCTAATTGATTAAAATATCAATTAGGCTAAATGATACAAGCAAATCTGATGAGTCCTGGTGCTTTCCAAGCTCATCTTCCTCCCTGTTAAATATATTTGCTACTTTGTTTTGCTTTGTCACCCTTGCCAATCAAATTCCTTCATAGTTAATGTAGTTCCTCTCCAAACCTTATGACCTGTCTTGTTTAAGAGCAGCAATGCTATATTTCTGTTTTTACAAAAGAAGAGCTCCGTGTAACTGAGAAGCTTTACCATTTCTAATATTGCTCCATTCATGGTGTCTCAGTTGGTCTGTGTGTTTTGCACCTCTGCAAGAGCAGTATGGCTACCAAGACATGCACGGAACCAAAATATTATACTGCTAGTACAGATTTGTGGTTAGTTGATGCTAATTTTCTGTGGACCAGCTGGCACAGACAAATCATGTATTGTTTGGAAAATAATTGCCTGGACCAAGTGGAGTGCATAGATTGTTTACAGCCACGATGTCTTCTTCACAGAGTGCAGCTCAGAGAGAAATTATTTAAAACCCATGTATTCTGTGTCCAGATAATTAGGTTAATCTTCCAATTAATGCTTTCCATCACCTTGATATTTCCCTGAACAGCAGGGGGCTTTTCTGCTTGGCTGTAGCTGTGTTGCAATATTCTTGATACCCTATTGCTGGAGGGGGAAGCTTTTCTTCCAAGGGGGGAGCGGGAGCAGGAGCACTGTGAAGGTCACAGCGCACGGGACTCATCTCCACTTCACTGGCTGCCTTTACATCTCTGACAGAAGATATCTGTGTTCATGGCTGTAAGTTCTTGGATAAAGAGCAGCGGACAGCTCCCACAAAACCTTAGTTCCTTTGCGATGTAATTGCAGCACTGCCTTGTGTAGCATTCAGAAAGCTGGCTCTTGAATTCACTTATAACCTCCCTGGGTATTTATTTTATTTTATTAATTAATTTACTCTGGAAAACGCATGAAAAGCTGCCTTACATCAGCTCAGACAGACTGTTGATCATCAGTATTGGCGACACTGACCGGCAGCAGCTCTCCAGGGTTTCAGATGGGGAACATGCATTCCCAGTCCTACCTGCTGATGCTACAGATTGAAGCTGGGACCTTTCATGTGCAAAGAGGATGGTCTACCTCTGAGCTACAGCTCTTCCCCATTTACTGAAAGTGGCATGCCTGGGTTCCCCAGGGTTTCCCATCTAGGTGCTGACCAGCCCCAGACCAGTTTGGCTTCAGCAAGGCTGCTGCATCAAGCTCCTGAAAGCCTGAGTTAGTTACTACTCCTTGATTCTTTGCCTGGGAGACTAACTCCCAGTCCCCCATTTCAAGCATCTTTATTAGTCACTTTGGTGGACTCCCCAAACTCAGCCTTGTCAATAAATTGACAAAAGAGAACAGCCTGCAAACTAGTAGTTCACCTGCCTGCACATGCCCAAGTTTAGTCACTTGTGACCTAAAAGACAGGTGGAGGGCCCGGCGTTTCCAGGGAAGTGTGTTGCTTACTACAGGTTTCCAGGCAAGTGGCTATTTATAAGCCAAACAGCTGGTAGCCCCTCCCTGAAAGGAGGCTTCATTGCTAAAATGGACCTTGCAGAGAGCTGGGTTCAAGCAACTTTTCAAGGGTGGTTTCTCTTGCTCAATTGCCCTCCCTAAACATAAGAACATAAGAAGAGCCTGCTGGATCAGACCAAAGGGGGCCCATGTGGTTTTGCATCCTGTTTGTGCTGTGGTCAGCAAGACGCCTATAGAAAACCCATAAGCAGGACCCCAGTACAAGAGCCCCTCTCTTTCATTTTCCAGCATCTGGTATTCAGAAGCATTGCTGCCTCCTGCTGGGTAGGCACAGCATAGCCCATCTCGGCTTTTGGCTTGCCTTTTGCAAGGGCTTAGCCTCAGTGTTTGGGGCTAAGTCCTCAATCTAGCACTTCTCTTATGAGAAAAGTCACTTGACAATTGTTGACTGTCTCTAGGTGGGGCTTCCTTGAGCAGCAGTTAGAGCTGGGTCAACATCTGTTTGCTCAGAGCCAACTAACCTTTTCTTTAGATGTCTGTGGCAGCAGAAATGGGGCAGAGGTGAACATCTAGCTAATAAGACAGCAGACCTCCAAAAATGCAGCATTCCTGTTTTTTAATTAGTCACAGTAGGCGTTGTAGTGGATCCATATGGGTGAGTTTGAATGCTGTCAGACAAGCAGTTATGGCCATTTCTTCCCAGTGAGTAGTATGACAAGGGAAGTCTCTCTCTCTCTCTTTTTTAAGAAAAAGAACAGTCTGCACACACAAACACTAATTATCTGACCTGTTGAGCCAGTGTGTTTGAGGCATACCATTTACTGTGGTATGCAACGGAAGTTGGGTCAACCTTGCCTTCAGGGCTTCATCCTGTGAGCTTAGCCACACAATTGATAGAGGAGGTGGTGCTTTTGAGCCATGTGGAGAGTTTGTTTTCCTCACCACTAAGTACCATAAAATGGTGGATTTGGAGGGACACCCAAGGGTCATTTAGTCCAACTCCCTGCAGTGCAGGAATGAAGCAGCCGCAGCTTGACCTCTTGCATCTAGGAGTGGAGGTGGGGAGCTGCTAGCACCACCTCCAAGAGAGATGCCTTGCTTCCATGCAGGTTCATTGCACAGAGATATAGCAAGGCCTGAACTTCCATTGTAACTGAAAGCTTATGGGTGTAGAGCAGTGTCGCTCCAGATCCTAGCATTGCTCTGATGGAAGCTCTGCTTACCTTGCATTGGAGGTTTGAGTGCGCAAAACCAGTCGTAGACCCGCAAGTGCCTTGTGATCACCATTGAGGCGGTCCCGTTTGGTGGTTCCTTGTGCTGAGCTGTTGGACAAGTGGAAGAAACACTTGCCAACCTAGCCTTCTGCAGTGTGTCCCTGTGGTGTACTGGGGATTGCTTTACAGTACAAGAAACTGCATATGCACACTAGTGAGCCATAAATAGGTCTTTTAAAAAAGAACTTGTATGGAGTCTTCTCTCGAGCAAGACCTTCCACCAGCCTTCGCCAACCCGCCGTCATCCAGCTGTTCTGCACCACAATTCCCATCATCCCCAGTCAGCACAGCAAAGGCTGGAGCGCACAGGCAGAGAATAACTTCCCTAGACTTGCTGTGGCTCTTCTCAGCCTTTCGCAAAGTTGGAAACAGCCCTTCTGTGAGTAGAAGAGGCTCTCTTGGTAAATGGAAGGGCACCTTTGGATCCAAGCTGTTATCTTTGTTTAAAAATGTATTCTTATTGTGTAACTACCAAGGCTGGTGGTGTTATTGGAGATGTGAATGGATATGGGTCTCGGGAGAGAGGGTTGGCCCTGGGTCTGGGTGTGAAAAGGGCACTGTTATTGTTGTTTATAGTTACCACTGTTTATGTACAGTGTGCCAACTTCCTAAAAATTCAGGGCATGATCTGAAGACCCGTGATGCAGCAACTGTAGGCCAGGTCTGGTCAGCTTCTGGGATGGGTGATTGCTTGGAAACAGTGGTGGACTTTGGGCTCTCAAATTCCAGTGTCACCCTGGGTGCTGCTAAAATTCAGCATCCCCCACGTCTAGTGGTCCATTCTACAGCATTGTTTGGCACCCTCTGCAGCATGGTGCTCTACCCTATAATTCCCTCTGCTAGAAAACCCTTGGATAGTTTGCCTTGAGTTCTATAGAAGAAAGGAAGGAGGTAAATACCTTCCTGATAGGTATTTAGAGAATGGATTCGGTTGCTGGTGCGTAATCAAGTTATAGATTTCATCAAGATAACGTGCAGAATTCTAACTTTATATGGGGTGTCCAACCTCTCAGCTACACACACGCAGCCAGCCATCAAAAGCACATTTGCTGAAGAGTGTTAAGCTGGTGTAGCATAGTGCTGGAGTGTTTGACTAGGCCCTGGGTTCAAATCCCCATTCAACCGTGAAGCTCACTGGGTGACCTTGGACCAGTCACTGTCTCATAGCCTAACCTATCTACCAGGGTTGTTGGGATGGGGTGGGGATGGGGGAACGAAGGCATGCCAGTTTGAGCTCCTTGGAGGAAAGGTGGGATAGAAATCAGATGGATGGATAAATAAATAAATATAAAGGCTTTGTGAACTAGATGTGAAACATGGGTATACCACTGGCATAGCTGTGCATTTCCTTGCTTGGAAGAAGGGGTTGCATGTGGAGCAGGAGGCAGCAGGAGTGTCCTTGGCAGAAAAAGAAAGGAGACAGGAGTCATCTACTTTCACATAGCAAGGCCGTTTCTGGGGTTTCTGTTTTCAGCATCTGTGCTCTGCAGGAAGCAGCGGCTTGTGTGTGCGGCTTAATACTTCCTATGGGAAAGGAAATGAACAGCCTGCCAAGAGAAGCTGCAAGCTGATCATTACCTGTTTGTTGTGAACTCATTGGCTGCACCTGGTGTGCCAGATACCACCGTTTCTGAAATTTGCCTCATTTAGAGAGTCACAACCCTCATCTTAAGACGGGGCTCTTCCTATGAAGCAAGGCTGGGGAACCTCTGGCCCTCCAGATGGGACTACGACTCACATCATTTCTGGCCAAGGACTCTTCAGGCTGAAGGTAGACATAATATGGAAGGGGGACATGACTCCTGCAGTGAAAGCCCAGCTTTGCTATGTGTGGGACAATACATTCATTTTGTCACGCCTAATGGCAATCTTGCTACACTTCTCCCCAACCTTCAGGTGGGCTGCTTGCCTTGCAGAAAGCAACATGCTCCTACAAAAAGCTGTATTTTTCCACTTTTATGAAGTACACATTCATTTTTAAACACAAATATCTGGCAACGGAGAGGCCTTGGTATCATGAGTGGTAGCTGTTGAAGTGGTTTTGGCGGCAGCTCACCTTTGCTGCAAACCTTCAGGAAGTTTGTTCAGCTTCTGCCCTGGAGAGGGCAAGTTGCATTTGGGCAGAATACGGCATCATGCGTGTCTCCAAACAGGCACAGCTGCTTTGCAAATGATGCATCTTTCTAAGATAATGTTGAACCAAGATTGAAGACTGCTGCCTGGTTCCATCCAAATGTACAGCTTTCGGTTTGAATGTACAGCTGTAAAACATTTAGGCCCGAACCCTGCATGGGCTGAGTACAGCACAGCATCAATCAAATGAGCACAGTGGGAGACCCCTCACAGAGATACAATTCGCAGAGTAGTTTAACAATCAATCCCTCTTTCAGGGAACTCCGGGAATTGTAGTTCTGTGCAGCAAATGGGGTCTCCTAACAACTCTCAGCGCCCTTAACAAACTACAGTTCCCAGAATTCTTGGGGGGAAGCCATGACTGTTTAAAGTGGTATTAAAGGTAAAGGACCCCTGACAGTTGTCCAGTCGCGAATGACTCTGGGGTTGCGGCGCTCATCTCGCTTTAAAGGCTGAGTGAGCTGGCGTTTGTCCGCTCCACAGACAGTTGTTCCGGGTCATCTGGCCAGCATAACTAAGCCGCTTCTGGCACAACGGAACACCAACACCAGAGCAGCGCACCTTCCTGCCGAAGCAGTACCTATTTATCTACTTGCACTTTTTGGGGTGCTTTCGAACTGCTAGGTTGGCAGGAGCAGGGACCGAGCAACGGGAGCTCACCCTGTCGTGGGGAATCGAAACGCCGACCTCCTGATTGGCAAGCATGAGAGGCTCAGCGGTTTAGAGGTGTGGATGTGGCCTTGTCTTGTGGCAGTGGTGGCCTTTCTGCCACATCACTGCTGGCTGAACATTTCCTCCATGAGAGGAGAAATATCCCCTGACTCTCTAGGAGCATTTATTTATTTTGGAGATAAAGATTCTGCATCTTCTTTTTCCTTGGTCATCAAGCCACTGCTTTGAACCTTTTAACAAGGTTGAACCAACCATTCTTCGCCCACCACAAAATGCCAACAACCTTGCAGGTGCATTTCTCAATGTTATTGAGCACCACCAGCCAGACATGCCCTTCATTTGCTTACCTTTCTTTCCCCTCCCTTCCCTGGTGTGATACTGCTTCCTGCAAACACATTGTACTGGCAGAACCAGTGTGGCATAGTAGTTAGAGTGTTGGACTAGGACCCAGGAGACCAGAGTTCAAATCCCCACTCAGCCATGACTTTGCGCCTGTCCCTATCCCCTAAGCCTGACCTTCCTCACAAGGTTGTTGTGAAGATAAAGGGAAGGGGGGAGAATTATGTACAACCACCTTGAGGTCCTTGGAGGAAAGGTGAGATTAAAATGTAATAATAAATAAAGCATAGACCCCTTTTTAAATTCTTTTAATGTAATTTTATTATTGTGAGCTTCCCTAGCTGCTTACTTCATAGAGAAAGAGTACCATAAGTTGTCAGTTTGAAATAGATAAAGCAATTTCATGTTTGGCTTGTTTCTGTGTGCTGCTAGAGTGGTTTAGAGCAGCAGGCATCAGGTTGCCTATAATGGACAGCTTTGGCTGCTTGGTTTAGCACCTGGAGGCTGGGAAGTCAGCTACTTAGGGACCTACAAAATACAGGTCACTTCCTGTCTGCATTGCTGTGCTGTTGTAAACACATGTGCTGGTTGGCCAACCCTAATTCCACACTGAACTGTGGTCACAACTTGCATTGCAGTTTTGAGGGCAAGTGTAGGTAATGCAAAGTGCATGAATGGATCTGCTATGGCCAGTGTGTATGTATCAGATGACATTGGATCACTTTTGCACACTAAGGAGGGCCTTTACAAAAAATCCATTCTTAAGATTCCAGTTTAACACTGAAGATTTCCATGGAGAAGTAAATTATATGCCTGCTCGCATAACACAGCTGATCCCTGCTGTTCTGGCTATTTTTGGAGGTGTGATCCTCTCCACACAGAGGCAGGGGTCCGTGCAGGTTTGGCTTGGTTTGTAAGTAAGGAGGAGCGGAGAAGTTCTGGGAAAGATGTGGGCATCACCACAGCTGTGTTCCTGAGTCAAGGGGACCCACCTTGCTTAGTGCTTAGAGTGCAAGGTATCCTAACATACTGTTTATTTACTGCACAGATATCCCACCTTTTCCTCCAAGGATCTCAAGGTGACATACATGGTTCTCCCCTTCCTCATTTAATCCCCACAACAACCCTGTGAGGCAGGTTAGGCTGAGAGGCAGTGACTTGCCCAAGGTCACCCAGTGAAGTCCCCTGGTCTCCCAAGTTCTAGTCCAACACTCCGGCAGCTTTTAAAAAGCAGCTTGCTAGGATTACACAGAGCTTGCAGAAGGTGAGGAAAGCCAGCCCCCAGCAGGAAATCGGGTTAGGTTTCCTGTGTATGGATCAAGCTTCATATGGGACAAGTGGGAGTTGTAGTCCAAAACATCTGGAGGCAAGATTGTGATGGATGGATGGGACATCCATAAGTTGATGACAAAGTTATTGTAGCCTTGAATTGGGAATCCAGGAAATGAAGGCTTCTAAGAAACCAGTTTGCTTTGAAGTTGAACTTGAGCTGTCTGGCATATCAATAAATTCTATTTTTACAGGGTGCTGGTGCTTCTTTTCTCTGCCCTCCCTCTCCCCATTGCTTACTCAGAATATTATGCTTAAAAATAACAAAATCCACACCAATCCTCTTAGATCCCCTTTCTTTTAATATGATAATTATTGTGTATATTTTGTCCTTTCTTAGTCAATCAAGTTACCTCTTATAAAATAAACATAATTTTTTAAAAAATGAAGCCGATTGCTCAGTATACCCCAACCCCTTGTTTACAAATTACTTGTTCTCTGCTGTGTGCTTAGTATTTTCCTTGTTACAGAAGATGAACAGGTCCATAATTTCCTGAATTACCTTTGTCCCTAATGGGCTGACAGTGGCCTGTAACAAGATCTGGGTCTGTTAGGCAATATGAATCTCTGACCCGGAAGGACTTGCAGCCAGATTTAGTACTGAATGAGAGAAAGGTGTTGGCGAAGGGCTGGGGCATAAAGGGCATGAGACTTAAGTTACTGCAAGCAGGGGCATGGGGTGAGATTCAGTGCCTTGTTGCAGCAGCCCTGTTTGTTGTTCTTTTCCTTTTACAATCCAAGGTGGTTAACGTGAGAAGCACAGAATGCAAGAAAACTAATAAGAATAAGGAGCCAGCAGGTTAAAAACCACCAAATACCAGCATAAAAAATGTAAATTTGATCTGTGGGAGTGATACTGATGTAAAAAGGCCTATGTAGTACAGTCAAGCTTTTAAAAGGTCAAAAGCCTTTTAGTACACACAGATCTTACTGGCTTTCCACTGCAATATCAACACAGATCTCCTGCCCAGGCAGGGAGTCCCAGAGCAACAAAACAATTGTGAGCTTCGTAAGCTCCCTCAGATCTCTCGCTCATAAACCAGATCCCGTTGGTGGAGAAAATGGCCCGCTTTAATCACCATCACATCTTTGGAAAAGGCTTTCTTTTGCCTGCTCTTTCCCAACAAGCTGATCACTTATTGCATCACAGATTACCTGTCTGCGCACAGCCCCTGTCACACAGGCATCTGGTTAGCCTGAGCCTGCAATTCTTATGGGTGATGCTGTATTGTTGCTGCACACATTCAGCATAGGGTGTGTGTGTTATTGGGTTGTTTTTGTTTTTATTTTGATTATTAATTTTGTGTTTTCATATTGTGTTATTATCCTGGGAACCGCCATGAGACCTGCGGGTCCAGGGCAGTATACACATTTTAATAATAATCTTCATGCTGCAGTTAAAATAACCGCCTATTGATGGAATGTGACAGCACCTTACATTTTTATGTATATAGGAAGATATATACAGTACATATAATTATCATTATTTAGTTGGAGGTCACTTTATACAATTATAACTTTAAAATGAGTGTTTTATACATGATAAAACTCTAAGCCATTTACATAAAAACAATAAAAATACAGCAACAATCACTGACATTTGCATCCATTTGTTGTGTCTGCTATAGAGCAGGGGAGGGCAGATCATCACGATTATTTATGATTATTGTAATATCTCATGTTTCTTCCAAGGAATTCAGAGTGGCATGCATAGTTCTCCCTCTCTCCGTTTTAGCCTCACAACAACCCTATGAATTAGGTTAGGCTGAGAAAGAGTGACTTCCCTGTGAGTTTTGTGGGAAAGAATGTCAGAGGCCGGCTTCTGCTTCAGTGATGAGCATGTGGTTCTTGGTATATTGGATAAGGATTTTTCCTTAATTTATTTAAGCGATTTTTATATTGCTTAACTGCAATCGTCTCTAATACAGTATGGAAAAGGTAAAAATCAGTTAAAACTTTAAAATCAGACTTCAGTTAAAATGCCTGCTGGAATAATAATTTAAAAAAAAATCAGTAAAACACCGAAAGTTCAACAGGGAGTGGGCCAGTTGTAAATACTGGTAGCTGCTTTGAGGGCTGTAGCTGAGAAGCAGGAAATAAATCTATTAAATATATAGCAGAACCAAATCTATCTTCTACCCACTCCTGCGACACAACAGTATGCTCTTGACACTGAGCTGTGACACAGGGTCTCGCCTGTAGTTGTTTACCTAAGTCAGAAAGGTACCTACTGGGTTGTGTGTGTATTTCTGCTGTAAAGGGCTGACAATAGATAGGATGATCAGAAGTGTCCCTAAGCGTGACAAGGGACGTACTGCCAAAGGGATGATTTGTTGGAATGTAAGTCTGCCATCCAGTGTTGTGCATCTGGTTGTCAACAAGCATGATTAATCCTGCTTGTGGGTTTCCCATAGGCATCTGGTCGGCCGTTGTAGGAAACCGGATGCTGGACTCACCAAGCCATTGGTCTGATCCAGGGGGGCTTTTTAAATTATCCCTTAAGAAATGTATGGTGTGCAGACCATCATGGAGATCTCCAGATGACTCCTTTAGCAGATGACTCCTTTACCATCATATCACGGCACCATGGCTTTTTCCTGCTCAGAGGCCAAAGAAAGGTCAGCATTGCTGTGGGCTGTATGCACGTGGTGGTGGCTGTGATGGCACCACTGTGCAAAACCTAAATAAACTCTGCCTGGGCATGCCAAGACCTTGTCCCTGGGCTACTGGCCAGCATTCCAGCCTGTGCTCATCACCTGGGGGTGTCAGTCAAAGCAGCGTCCTAGCCCTGCCCTTAGGGGAATATAGCATGCTGTTGACATGGGCTGTTGGCTTTTTTAAAAAGAGTATGTGCATCCTTATTTTTATCCTGTGTCCCGATCCCAGTTTGTGGCAGAATGAGCAGCCTTTGTTTGAACTTGCACTTCAGGCGAAAGCAGCGCTGAGCTTTCCCCTCTTGGATGCTCTTTCCCTCCCATTTTGAGGGGAATCTCCTTTCCTGCTCTTGGACTGCTCACACCTCTTTGCGTGTTCCAAGGAAGCAGGAGGTGGGAGTCAAGTCAAGGTAGCTTATCCTGAAATAAAATGTACAGGTAAATGGTGGTGGTGGGTAGTTAGCCATGCACTCTGCATGCTTACCCCAAAATCACTCTCACAGATCCGATGCTCCAGCTGCACTTGGTTATGCTGTGGGAACTGAAACTCACAGACCTTGTTGGCAACGGCTGTTTCACTTCTGCAATTAGTCCAGCAACAATCCTGAGACAAAAAAGGGGCTGGAGACTGCGTTTGAGGATGTTGAGGGCTTGAGGGCACAATTAACGCACAGTTAGCAAAATATGCATGTACACCAGGAGTTGGATAATATAAATTTGGATTTTGTTGCAGGTGCTGTGGCTACCACCCTCTGATCATGTCTCTCCCTCCCTGCCCCGCCCAAAAATCAAAATAAAATCCCAGATCAGCCCACCACCGAGAGACAGACTTTACTTTTCCAATTGATCTGGATAAAAGTTGGAACCAGAAGAATTAATCTGTTTCTTGAAAAGCAGATAGAGCTGAAGTGGGAAAGAGGGTCAATCTTCCAAGTTGCTCCTTCAGCATCTTTGTACTTCTCAGGGGACAAAAGGGTAGCCATTCTTACACACCTCATGACTCAGGGGGCAGTGAGTTTGTAGGGACTCAGAGGCCTTGAGGATGTCAAGAGTGGTATGGTATGCACGGCCGCCTATTGGCAAGCCCTAATAATACAAGTGTAGCATAAGGCTGAGTCAGCAATTAGACTCGCCAGTAGGCCCATCAAGTCAAAGCAAGTATTTTGCCTTCCCAAGTCTATGCTGCTAGTGCCATCCTTACCAGAACTTTAAGCAAGATGGCAGCAGCACAGGCACCAAGTTGCACCCAACATTGGGGGTGACATCCCGCCAAGCCTCCTCTGGCCTCTAAGATTGGGGGCGGGGGGCTGAGTCCCATCCCAGCAGACATGGGGGGGGGAGCTATAGAGGCCTCAGCACCATAGAGTTGGCGGGCCTGGGCAGCAAGGACACTGAGGGCAGAGGCAGCCAGCATCTGTCTCCAGCCACCTTTGTGCCAAAAGATTGCGTGTCTGCATACTGGTTGATTTCTTGATTAATAAAAAGACTGAGGCAACTGTGTTGCTTTCAGGGCTGTGTACATCTGCATTTGGATCTGGGAGGAAAAAGATAGGCTTCAGAGCTATAAAAATAGGGGATGGTTGCTGGGTGACAGAAACGAGCCGCTCCTGGTTGCCCAGGTGAAAGCCAATATCACGTGTCAGTTGTCTCTTCCTCGTCAGCTTGGGTTTGTTTTCAATGGCATTTTCGTTGCTACGTGGCTGGCATAATGTGTGCATCAGCCTGGACTGCAACCTGCTTCTAAAAGGGTATGGAAATACTTTGTGTCTCAAGGCACACCGGCTTGTTGATTTTCCAAGTCTGTGTGAGAACCGGGAACAAAATGTTTGCCTCCTTTAGAGTAGCTGCAAGTGATGCTGTGGCATCCCTGAAAATGATCTCCCCAACAGCAACACTAACATGTCAAAATGGTCTGTACAGTGTGACACTTAGGTGTCTAGAATGTCAGCCATGAAAGTGTTCAGCATCTCTTAGGTGTCCATGTTGTAACTTCTGGGTTAGCTGTATTTCACCAATAATGCTTCTTCAAGAATTAAAACTGTGTAGCTTCAGCTTCACCACCTTTTGAGCTCACCTCTTTTTTTGTGCAACTGTGGTCTGTGGTCTGCGAGTGATCCATGAACTTTGCTCAGGTGATCCCTATCATGTCTGCAAATATACCATAAAAAATCATACCGCATCAAGCACAGTGCAGTACAGTTGATGCTGCAGGTCTGCCAACCACAGCTGTATACCATACAGTTGTTGCAAGATTCATATCCTGAAATGTGGATTTTAAGGGGTGCAGGGAACACTGCATTTACACACACACACGCACACACACACACACACGTGCACACACACCCCGGGCTTGGAACTATCATATGGAAAATTCTAGATCAGGCTCATTTTCATATCCCTTTAATTGATAAGTTACTAGAGATTTAATTGATTGGGGAGTGCAGATTGTAATAAATAGAGCTGCAAGCAACTAGTTTGCTTATTTGTTGGAACCACTTTAAACTTGCTGTATTAGTGAAATGAAAAAGAGAGGGAAAGATATTGCGAGAAGTGTACAGAAACTAAAAGCTTTAAAAGGTTTTTTTACAGCTTAAAACACTTTCAACTGTTATAAACATAGTCTTTTGTAATATGCAAAAGCTTTTATGATATGCAGAATTATTCTAATCAAAGTTATTGTCTGCTTTTTAACAGAGCATTTAATCTTCTGAAAAGTCTTTAATTGGCTAGCAGCCCTTATTTCCACACATCCTAATGAGGGCTTTTAAAACGGGAACAGACCTTCCTCATTATCCCACAGCTAGAGGAACTATTGATCTTGCAAAATTGTAACAAATATATTTAAACAGCCTCCCATGGCTCAGTTTATAGAAATCCCCACTTTCTTGCCCCACATCTCTGAGTTCCTGAAAACTGAAGTTCCTGATGGGGAGGGTCCATGTTTGCTACATAGCTGCAGAAAGGGGTAGCTTTATGGATTAGCATTATTTAGAGTGGCCTTCCCCAACCTGGTGCCCTCCAGTTGAGGCCATGATGGGAGTTGCAGCTCTAAGGCTCTTGAGGGTATCCAGCTGAGGCTGAGGCTGGGTGTTATCTCTGAAGGTTCCCAGGTGACATTAGCCATTGCCTCCAAAGGCTTATGCCATGCAGAACACTTCCTTGGGGGGCATGGGTGAAGGAAGCAGGGAGTTGTTTCCTTGGCAGTTTGTGACAGGCATAAGATGGCATAAAGGTGAGCAGTTCCTGCTGTGCTCACTCAGGACACCTGGCATCAGAAACCATTATTCGTACAGTGGTACCTCGGGTTAAGTACTTAATTCGTTCCGGAGGTCCGTTCTTAACCTGAAACTGTTCTTAACCTGAAGCACCACTTTAGCTAATGGGGCCTCCTGCTGCTGCCACGCAGCTGGAGCAAGATTTCTGTTCTCATCCTGAAGCAAAGTTCTTAACCTGAGGTACTATTTCTGGGTTAGCGGCGTCTGTAACCTGAAGCGTATGTAACCTGAAGTGTATGTAACCCAAGGTACCACTGTACTGCGTTGATTGACAGTCCTTGGTGTTAACCTTAACCTGCCCTGGCTCTTTCTACTCTTGTTCCTCTGGTCCCGTGCTAGGAGTAAGTTCCCATTTGGGAGCCTGTCCAGCAATTTCTTTCTTAGCCTGGGGACTTGACAGGCTGAAGCTTTTTTTTTTACTTGGAGAGAGATGTGTGTCCAAGAGGCAAACTTTTGGACCCATTGCACTACTATGTTCCATGTTTGATAGAAAAGCATAAAATTTCTGTAGCCAACTGAATGCAGGGGGTTGCTGTTGTTTTCCCGGAAGTGCACATTTAATTTTGCTTCTGACTGGACTAAGAATGTTCATCTCTAGACCCAGCTCAAGTGAGGCATTCACAATAAAAATGAGTACTGCACTACAGGTTTACTTTTTGTTTTATTTTGTGTGTTTCTAGTTCATGTCTCTTTTGTAGGTTTATGTGAAATGAATTTGAGTTTTCAAAAATATTTTTATTAAGGGAAACTTAAAGGGAAAAATACGCCTCCACAGTTTGCACGACCCATAAAGACAGACACAACCTATCAGTCATCTATTGTGGCCCACCAGGTATTTGGCAACTATCCTGTGATCCTAGTCCAGGAAAACAGCAAACACTGGAGATTTGTAGGTCCCCTGATAAGCTGGGAATTGCTTGGTGCGTCACCAGTTGTGTAGGCCTGATATAGATTTATAGTATATATGTTCATGGTAAGAAATAGAGATATTTGTAAGACTCGTAATGTGACTTTATTTTCTACCTGTCTTGCTAATATTCCTCCTAAGAACACTAAACTTCTTTCATGGGCAAAGGCCAGCCATATGTCCTGGTTCTTCAGGGAGAAAACAACAGAGCATCTTGTCACCCCTTAAATACAATGCTGCAATAAACTTGTTTGTCTTTAAAATGCTTCAAGACTCTAGTTTTGCTGCAACCCCTTAGCTTAGGCTAATTCTCCGGAAACATTCATAGGGGGCATCCAGGATCAGGTGCTGCCTTTGCTCATACGTGAGCATGAAAAGATTGCGCTTGCTTGCTTCTTGTTTTTCAGGAAAGCCTTGTGGCATATTCCAGAGTTCTCTCCTTCCGTGTCCTGTCCTTCCTTCCTGTGCCCTCTCTGACTGCAGCTGTCTGTCTCACACGGCCGAAGGGCAGCGCAGAGGCATTTCTTGGGAGGTGCACGTTCTTTCCCTCTGTGGTAGAAAGATGCCAGGCTGGAGAGGGCCTGGCCCATGAGACGTTTTTGAGCATGTTAGGAATACAGTTACAAAGTCATCCACAAAGAAAATGATTACAGAGCAGTTGCTCATATGCAGAAGGTCCCAGGGTCACTCTTGACGTGTCCAGATAGGGCTGAGAAAGGGTTTGGTTATGGAAATCAAATCTGGCACTCTTTCAGCTGCACCTTCCCTTACAGGGTTGCCTGACATTTAGTACATGTGACCTCAGTGAGATTTTAACTTCATGTCAGGTCTGACTTGGCAGGAGGCGGCTTCCTGTGTTCCTAAGATGGTGTCAGAGTCAGCATCCCTCTCTAATCCACATGTCCTTCTCTTTTGCTCCTTTGTAGGTTTCAAGTGCCCCATTTGTTCCAAATCCGTGGCTTCCGACGAAATGGAAATGCACTTTATCATGTGTCTGAGCAAGCCCCGCCTCTCCTACAATGGTAAGTGGGGGCTTTTGAGCCCCATCTGACTTGCCTGTTGCCACCTTGTGTTCTTAACCAGCTCACCTTTCTCAGCATCTTTCATCCAAGCCCAAGGGTGAACAACCAGACTTGGTTGGGACTCCAGCTCCCACCAACCCGAGCCAGCATGGTCCAATGGTCAGGCAAGCAGCAGCTGGAGGCACCAGATTCCCCAGACCTGAGGTCAGCTGTCCAGCAGCAAGCGTTGATACACCATGTCGCGTTCTTCCAGCCTGGGCTTTTGGTGACGTCACCTGTGCTCCTCAGAACTGTGTCGGCTTATGTGCTAAAAAATACAGAGAGAAGTATTAAAAACTGCTGCCTGGAAAAATAAGTACTAAGCCATTTTTTATGCAATGCACTCTCAAAAGATGCAAACTGAGTTTCTGGGATTTCCCCCACACCTGCTTAAATTCTTCTGAATTAACTCTGCAGCCATAAGGACTAGAAACTCTACAATAGAAGGCTTTTATGTACTGGGTATCAAATCCTGTTCTTAGATAGTGTTGATTGTGAGCGCATTGTGGGGGGTGGGCGTGCACTGCCCTGCTTTTGCTGCTGGAGCAAAGGCAGTAGTCTAGCGCTTGGGTGGGTGGGTGAGTGTGCATGCATGCATGGTTGGTATAGACCAAGAACCCCAGGTGATTTCTTCAGCCTCCTTTGCAGAGCCAGTGACCCGCTTCCCTCGCTCAGGGCACTCCCTTGCTTTCTGCTTCTCACACAGAGAGCAGTGCAGGTTTTGCTCAGGGCTGCTGCAGTCACTGCTTTGCAGCTCAGCTGGCTCTCAGCATGGCAAGGGGGCTGGCTGCTCTCTCCCGCCCCCCAGGAGTGATGAGCCAGCCTGCCCAGCAACCGGGGGGGGGCAATGGCTTGACCGGCACCTGCTCCAAGCTGTCGGTGCCAGGCTGCATTAGTCCCCCAGTGTCCCTGACGCTACACAGGATCCGCCCAGGCTGTGCTGGCAGAGACGGCGCCAGGCAGCTCCTGAGGCTGCAAGCTAGAAATCAGGTCAGGAGGAGGAGCTGGTCGCTCTGCATCACAGCTGGGCCTTCCCCAGCCTGCCTGACAGCAGCCTGCGATAGGGAAGGCAGCTCCATCACTCCCTCCCCACGCAGAAATTTCTCAGCCTGCCAAATTGAGCATAGCCAGAGATGGTGCACCTTACGCAGTGGTGCTGGAAGATTAAATCCGAGCTGCCTTCTCTGCTGCCCTCCCCACCATGAGGATCCCTGTTCTTCAGCACCCCACCCCACTACCCCAATAAGCCCTTACCATGCATTCAGACTTCTCTTACGCAGGGTTGTGTCAGGTCAGGCAGCGGGGTGAGGGTGGGGAAATTGGCAGGGGATTTGTGGAAACAGCAGAACTGCAGTGCTTAGCAACTCATCCAGTGCTCCCCCCTTGTCCTCACCTTTGTTGCCTATTTTTGGAGCTGTGAAGCAAAGGAGGGCTTTCACAGAACTGCCTCCAGGCATCAGAGAGTGGGATGCTGGTTTCCTTTGATGCCTCTCAGTGTCAACCTAGCAGCCTCTTTGGCCTGCGTTTAGTTCAGAGGCTTCCAGAGGAGAAGAATATTGCACTATTTGTTAGGGCTGTCAACCGAGTAATGATCTTCACCGGCTTCCAAGGAACTAAAGAATTACATGATTAGATTTATGCACACTTAACTAGTGCAGTGGCACAAAAGGTGCTTTTAGCATGGCAAGCGCAGGTGGCAATTTCTATTTTAGCATGCAGACTCTGCATATAAGAAGAGAGAGAAATGTTACCGCTTAATGTTTCAGACAGTGATTTTTACCGCTTTTGCTCTGGATCCTCTTAGTTTTTGTCAGCTTATCTGGTTGGAGAGCACAATAGCAGCAGCCTCCCAGAGTGAGTGTTCCTGAAAAGAGGAGTGAATAATCAAAATGAGTTCTGCAAAATAAACACTCCTTTGTAATGTTATGTTCTGATTGCAGTAGGAGTGTGATATCCAATTCAGACATCACACTAAACCGTGCTTAGTCTTCCATAACAATGGTTTGTCATGATATCTGAATTGCATTTAATCAGATTTTCAAGACAGTGCAACTTCTCTATATAATAAGCTGTCCAGAGTGTGATGAGGAGGGAATGGGCCTTTTTAGTAGCGCCCACCACCAGGGTATATGGAATGTTCTCCCTGGAAAACTTTCCTGCCATCAACACTGGTATCTTTTTAGCACTAGGCAAAGACATTTCCCAGGCATTTGAGTGCTATTTCTTTTCATTTGACAGCAGTTGATGGGTGTCTCCTCCCCTTGGGGGTGCTCTGTGTGGTTGGTTGGACAGAGGGATTGTTTTTCATAGTACAATAATCTTGTTTTGCTTTTAATTATTTTGTTTACTACTATTTCCAAGATGTTTTAAGACATGGGTAAAGTGACTAATAAGCTGAAATGATAATCAATGTGAAAATATTGCTTGGGCTTTTCTCTTAGCACTTGCCTTTGACTTCCTTTGGCTTGGATGTCTTATTCCTAAAGCATACAGCACAATCATTGTTTGTTTTGTAGGTAGCAGTTGGGTTATTCCCTTTTCTCATTTCGTGATCATAAACAAACCTTCTGTTAACCTCAGCAATTTCTAGAGATGTGTCTGGAGAGACACACCACCGTCTTTGGTCCCTCTGAGTTCTGTTTTGCTTTCCTTTCCCTTTCAGCAGGATGCTTCTTGTAGCGTGAGCAAGATTGGTCTGTGAGACTAGCAACGTAGTAATAAAAACTAGAATAGAAGCAAGCCACCCTGACATGCTAACTCTCTGTGGGTAGGAATGCCTTTTCTCAAGGAAGTGTTTATGGTCCACCACATGAGCTCTACCTGTAGTCTGAACCTAGACACAGGCTTACCATCTCTATGAGGACTAGGTCCCAAGTCTCTAGACAGATATCCCATTGCCTTTTCGTAAGGTCCTCCCTCCGAGAGTGGTCAGGAACAAATTAGTTGGCTCTCACATTCAAGATCTGTACAAAGAAGCCAGCCCGTGTCCCCAGCTCACCTATCTAGATGTGCTGGTGGTAATCATTTGGTGCCCTAAAAGAGAGAGGGGATCTCTCCTGCTTGGTGGCTTGGAGACGATTCTTATCTGCACAAATGTAAGTGACTGTTTACAATATGGCCACTGTTGGGCTCAAGATGACTACCTGTGGAACTGCAGTGTAGGGGAAGGCATGCTCTCTGCAAGACCAAGGTTGCATGAGAAGAGGGACTTAGTAGCATTAGCCCATGGACAAATCCAGGAGTGAGAAATTATGTCTCTGTTATGAGCCCTTACAATCTCCTTCTTGAGGCTGGTTGTCAAGGTGGCACAGGAGGGTAGAAACCCATTTCTGCCTGGTCCTCATTGCTCATCCGCCTTCTCTGACCTTCATTCCCCCCTGCAGATGATGTCCTAACAAAGGATGCAGGCGAGTGTGTCATCTGCCTGGAGGAACTCCTGCAGGGGGACACGATAGCCCGGCTGCCCTGCCTGTGCATTTACCATAAGAGGTAGAGTATGAAGAAGACCTGGGTTCAGCAATCTCTCCCCATACAGTTCCATTGTGGGACAGCAGGGCTCCCGCAAATGGCCAAACCTGCCCCATGGCACCTTCATATGGGCTGCAGAATTCCTTGGATGCTTCTTCCTCCTCAAGCCCCTTCTGCTGGGCACATGTGGCCATGCTGCTCCTCATCCACGCCCCCCCTTGTGGAGTTAGGGCAGGTACTTGGCCTCAAGGATTCCCCTGTTGTGGAGTCTAATAACCACCTTTTCTTCTTCAGTTGTATAGATTCCTGGTTTGAAGTGAACAGATCCTGCCCAGAACACCCTTCGGATTGACCCTGGCAACGCTTGCTGACCTCTCCCAAGGTGAGGCTTTGCTTAGAAAGCTTCTCTTGAAACATCTGGAGGCCTTAAAACACCACCCACACTTCTATTTATTACCAAGTTTTAGCATGCAGTGTTTACAAAAAAACAAGCAGAGTGCAACCAATCAACAAACGCTATCAGTTTATCCAACACTATATTTTAAAGATAAGAACTAACCCCTGAGTCATTCTTTACCCAATAGATGAAATTTTAAAACAACCAAAACATATTAAGCTGACAGAACTTAAAAGAGGTGTCAGCCCAACAACAAGATAAATCTGATTGATGAGTAAAAACCAGGATATTCAGAAATAGTTTTGCAGTGGATGAATATGACTTGTCTGCACAAGCTGCAAGCCCTCATAAATGCCCTGATTTTTATTTGCTTGTATGTGTTAATCTCTGTCAATTTCTCTACTTAAACATGGAACACATTTCTACAAACTACTGAGCCTTTCAGGGATGTCATCAGCAAGCTGTTTACTAGTTAAGTCAGCCTATGGTGCTGTTAACAAAAAGCAAGACACCTGTAGTCGACTGTATACTTTTCAGAATTATTTCTAAAAGTAGCATTGGGTCTTCTGCAATAAGCCAGACTTTCATTAATGTGGAAAAAAAGCCCAGGCAAGTATGTGTTGTGTTTCTTTGCAATGAGGAGGGGCCTTTGATGTTCTCAGGGTATCATGTTGATGTACTGTCTACCAGTTAAGGTGACACTCTTTGGTGGGTTGACAAACCACATTTTACAAAAAGCCTTGCCACACAGAAACAGTTCCCTCAAATTTTCCTAGACTACTTTTGTGTTTAAAAACACATCTTCTGCATGCATATTTTTATAGCATCTACATGATGCTTCTCCTATATCCCCTGCAACCTCAATTCAATCCAGATTTTCCATTTCCAGGAAAAATCCCATAAAGCAAAAAAATAATAATTTTTGACTAACAACCTATTTGTGATATTAAGCTCCTGTATGGAAGTTTCCTTTTTTCTTTCTTTCACTGAAAGGGTATTTTACCCATTTCAGAACATGGAGTACATTTGTAAGAATACCCATAATGGATTTCTTATCTCACGTGGAAGAATACTCTGGTTTTGTGTTAAGTTTAAACTTCCCTTATTTTGTGGGGGTTAAATGTGTTTTTCCTCTGGGTTGGTGTTGTCAAGAACTTGTTTCCTCGACTTGGGCTCTGCGCACATGGCAATCATTGATCCTGTCATTTCTCTCAACAGGTCGTCCCGCCATCCATCTCCCCTCCCCCACCCAACCTCCTCTGAGCAGGCTCTGGACCCCACTGGGACGACAGTGGGGACGAGGGGCTTGTGTTAACTTCTCAACTTAAAAGGGCAGACAAGAACCCACCCCAAGAGAAGCTGCTGCCCTTGCAGGGCTACACCTTGGCAGCCGCCAGCCTGGGTCGAGAGGAGTGCCCGGTGCCAGAGCCGGCGGCCGTCGCCCAGCGGCGCCATGATGTTTGGGCCAGACCTGGTTGCTAGCCAAACGGAGCATGAGAGGGTCACCCACCATTTGACAAGGACTCGGCCCTTCCTGCCATACGCGGGTCACACTTTTGCACTGAAAAGGTGATTTCCCAGCCCCACTCCCCTTCTCCTTTTCACCTCCACCCCTTGGAAAAGGAAGAGGAAACAACAGACCCCCCCCTCCCACCACGCCTGCCCCCTACCCTCATCCTGCGGAGGAAAGGGCATTTTCTGTCACGTTTTTGAAGGCGTCGTAGGTTTGTCTTTCAAGTGTTTACAAAACAGCCATTTCGTGTCAACTGATGTGTGTTCCTGGTGATGTTTACAAGACTGCATCCTCTTGGCCTCCTGACTCGAGCTGCTCCAGCAGTTGAGGAGCCAAATTTCCCGAGACCCTTCTCTTCTCCCTCCTGCCTCACCTAGGGACACCCCCCACCTTCATTGCCAAAAGTCCCCTGGTTTCCCCTTCCTCCCTCCCCTCCCTCCTCTCAGTAAGTCTTGGTTTGAACTCCTGACTCTGGGGCACCTTCAGGGGCATATTCTGAAGGGCTGTTTGCCACTCACAAGTGTCCTGCTAAGATGCCTGAACCTTTCTCAGCCCTGTGTGGAAAACAAAAACAACCGATTTTTATTAAAACACACACACACACACACACACACACAAATGCGCGCACACAGACACACACACACTCCTCCCTGATCCACATTTGAGCACGAAGCGGAGACCGCCTCAGCCATGGGAAAAAAGCCCCTGCCCCGGTGACCTCCATCCAAGCAGGAAAAGGTATCTGTATTTATATAGTAAAAAATTTAAAAAAATAAAAAAATAAAAAAAATATTCAAAGCTTGGGAAGGGAAGCTTCCCCTATTAGTCAAGGTGTTTTGATATGGTATTAAATAATGTTCAATAAAATAGTCACTGTTATTTTATTTCAGTTGTATTCTTAGTTGTGTAAGGGCTTGGGATATGGTAGGTGTGCACTTTTATCAATTCTTTTGAGTCCGCAGCTCTTTTTGGTCATTTGTTTCAGCTAGAAATGTTGCTACAAGGTAAGAAATCCCCAAATGGCAAAGTGATCGCTTGGAGTGAGAATATCGGAAGGGGCTTCATGGAAACGAGTGGTCCAAACCATGGCTTAGTGTGAACAAGCCAACATGTGGGATCCCGGAACAAAGATTGTGGCTGCTGTATTCTTCTGCCATTGCTGCTGTGTGACGTGGGGCTAAGCCATTGTTTCATTGCTTGTTGCTGCTAAACTATCGGTTGGCCTAGCATTACCTGTAAAATGGGGTCAGTGTGAGTTGTACTGCAGTATGTAAATGTGTGACATGGAAGCTTCTGTCACTGATTGGCTAAATTGCTCTGATGGTATGGACTATGAAGTCCAGAGAGCAAGGCAGTTTGCTGTCCAAGTTCCATGAGGGATGAAAAAGTTGTAAAGTTTGGCTGGGATTAAAACTTCACCCGGGGTGCCTGAGGGCTGGAAAGAGGTTGCCCTTATTTAAGAGAAACTGAAAAAAAGATGCTCGGAGCAAGAAAACCAAAAGAAGGGCACAGGTAAACGAGGCACAGAAGAAATTTGTGGATGAAGGAAGAGGAGACAGAATAAAAGGAAACTGGGAATACGTACAGAGAAGGCTCTGAAAAAACATGTCAGAATGCTTAGGAGCTGGAGGAGCAGCAGGCCAGGGAATGGAAGTGGTAGAAAGTGCCAGGGGAGCCTGTCAAGGGGCAAGGCTACTAGAAGAATCAGAGCAAAGATCTTTGACCATTACCTGCAAATCTGAGATTGTGCTGAGGGCCCAGGAACAGGAAGAGCTGTTCATTGTTGGTGGAAAAGAGCCCAAGGGCATAAGAAACCTGTCGCTGCGGCATAGTGGGCTGGCAAGCTGGAGAAGGCAACAAGGGCCAAGAAGCTGTGCAGGAGGGGCTAAGGTTTTTTTTTAAGCCAGTTCTTTGGTTGCAGTCTTGTAATGTCCACTGGTGCTGCTTCAGTAGCCAATTGGTGGAGCTGCTGGGGTGGCTGAATGCCTCAGGCCTGCAATTCCCCTAACTGGGACTCCTCTCTCATTTTTAGGAAAGCCTGGCTGCCACAGCCTGCATATATTTACACTGGTTAAGAATTCTCCCACGTGATGTGTATACTGCTGGGGGTGGTAAAAGGGCATGTGGGGCAATGAATCCCCGTCCCTCTGGCTTTTGACGACTCACTAGGTGTTACCTGCAGATCTTCACGCTGGCATTTGCACCCACGTTGCATTTCCTTTTAAGCTACAGCTGAGGATCTCAGGAAGCTGAGCTGTGCAGCTGCAACCACAATCTTGAGGTTTTCTGCACAGAATTGCAACTGACGCACATCTTTGCTTGGGGCTGTGGTATCACATATCAAGTAAAAAGGCTGAATGTTAAGGTCCTTTTTTTTTTTAGAAATGGCTGCATCTTCAGATAAAAATGAATTGCAGGTAACAGGCAGTCCAAGCCTCCCTCTTGCTTGTCTCAGTGTTGTCCCTTGTAGAGCTCAACAGGTAGGAGGATGGGGGCAAAACCAGAACTCGTTGGCTCTGGTGCCATCTACTGCTGGGTTCTCTGGATAGCAGGAATGGGGAACCTGTGGCCCTTTAGCAGTTGTTGGACTCCAGCTCCCAGCAGCCCTAGCTTGCCTGACCAGTGGTCAGGGATGATGGGAACTGCAGTCCAGCAACACAGCACAGGTAGAGCCGCAGGTTCACCCATTCTTGGTCCATGGAATTAAAGGAACTGCATCTTGTGACATGGTTGAGAGCAGGAGCAATACTTTCCCCCCCTCCGCCTTCTATAAAACAGTGGAGGACCAGAAAGATGACAGCACTAGCCGCAATTTCAAAAGTGATGTGTTGGACGTGCCCCTCCACTTTCCCCGGTACTGATGAATCACTGCCATTAATTTGACTGCCTTTGTATGCCACCTTTCTGCCAAGGCATCTGTATTTGTATTAGTGTTTTGAAACCCTGAAACAAATGGTATAAAATGCAGTGACAAGAGTTCTATTAGGCCAAGCGATGGTACAAGCTCTTCTCTAATGGCTTTTGTCTTCTCTTAAGAGCACACAGGTTTTGCATAGCTCCAGAGAAGGTGGAGGAAAGGCTACCCTCCAATCCTATCAGGTCTCTGGCTGGGCATCCTCTCTGCCAGCTTATTAATTGGGGATAATGTTTTTCATTTTGTGAGACGCTTGCAGGAAAGGCAAAATCTGACCTTGGTGCTAGGAGGCCCAATTCCCATTTCCAGGGTTGGCTCATGCAGATGAAATCTGTCACGTGTGTGACGTTCAGATCCTGCACCCTCACTGCTTCTCCTGTAGTGTAAAATACCCCTGTGCCAGCATTCCCCAACCAGTGCCCTCCTGCTGTTGCTGCCAGATTCCAACTCCCAACAGCCCTGAACATTTGCCATGCTGGCAGGAGCTGATGGGAGGTGGGAGTCCCAACAGCTGGTGGTCCATAGGCTGGAAAAAGCTGTTTAATGCAACTGGCAAGCCTACACACACTTTCCCTACCTGTTGTGAAGGCAATTTACTATTGCTTCATCTTGGTTAAATGGTGGTGGTAATGGGGGCAGCTTGAAGTCCTTGATCAAGGGTCAGCAAAAATTTTCAGCAGGGGGCCGGACCACTGTCCCTCAGGCCTTGTGGGGGGCCAGACGGTGGCAGTGGTGGGACGATGAGCAGCGCGCAAAAGGGCTCCAGAGAGGGGCTGCTTTAAATGGTGGCTGCTCAAGTGATCACGCTGCTGCTGCTGGCATCAATCAAAGCCCAGCCCTCTTCTTCCGCAAGGCAGGGAGAAGCCAGGAGAAGGGAGGGAGGAGGCGCCACCATGGTGGGGGGGGGGGAAATGGCACAGCCCGATCAGGATCAGATCCACACGGCGATTCCTGGACCGTCCGCGGGCCGGATCCAGAAGGCAGTTGGGCCAGATCCAGCCCCCGGGCCTTAGTTTGCCGACCCATGTCCTTGATCATGAGTTCTGCCAGTGAATTGGAAAGTAAGAAATGAAAAAGCAGATGCCAGAGGATTTGCAGAGGAGAGGAGTCAAAAGAGACACGCATACAGCTGTCAACCTGTGTAGGTAGGAAAATGGATTGAGAAGGCAGCATGCAACTGCAACTTTGCTTCCTGGAACTATAGAGTGAAGGATGAGTAAGAGGTAGATACCTCTTTGATTTGAAGTACATCAGCAAGGGTTTCTGACTCTCAGAAATGTCATAACAAAATGACTTTTCCCCCATCTAGATTAGGCTGCTGAAACGAAGAAAGCTGATCAGCAGTGGGCCTTGGTGGGGAAAAGACAGAACAAGTACAGGTACTGAAAATGATTTTATGTGATTAGAAGCCACCCTGTTCTTTCATTTTAACTGGGTGCCTTTGCAGCTGGCTCTGGTTGGTAGATCTTGGGGCTCTAGTAAAAAAACCCCAAAGCAGATTCATCAAGCCTGGTTTTTGGCAAAGGACAAAACTTTAGGATTTTCTCCACTGGAAAAGCGTTTCTTCAGAGCCCACATCCCATCCCAGCTTCTACCCATGTGCTTTTGTAACACCTGCATAAACACCTGCAGCTCCATCTGCTCCACAAATGCACATTTGTGGCTCATTTCAGCTCCGCTTGGCAAAACAGGTATGTAATACGTATTAAAACACAGGTGGCTGTGGAGTCACCTGAGCTTGCCTCTCCAGCCAAGGTCATGCCTACCTAACAAAAGGTTGCCACATTTAAAGCATCTTCAAAATCAAAGCTTCCATCAAGGAACCTTAGCAGTGGCTAAGATTTCTCCGCTATACCGATTCCCCTTTGGGTAACTACAGTACTCTGCATCCCTTGAGAGAATGGAAAGCTCTGGTTGAACTGAACTTGTTTAATTTTTAAGATTGCAGTGCAAATGAGCCAGAGATGGTAGGCAAGCCCCCTTTGGAAGGGCGTATGTGGTGCAGCCTCCGCAACAGATGCTTTCAGTCAAAGATGGAGCTTTCGCCCTGTATGGGAAAAAATGCTGGGCCTCATGGGAGGACACTCCAAGCGTCCTTATCGTGTGTCCGTAACGGTTTGCGCTCATGATGGTAGCGGAAAGTATATACACAATCCCACTTTCAATACTGTGCCCCTCCAGATGGCAGTGATGCAATTAACACTGGGGAACCATCACAGAACAATTCCTAAAGTGGACTGATGTGTGTGGACGGTTCCATGTAAATCCACTACAAAGCACTGTTATTACATCTGCGCAGACAATCTCAGGCTCACAGCACCTTTCCAGGGTTCATGAGGTTTTTAGGGTCCAGCGCCACCTTGATCTGCTGCATGGTGGACAGCGCCACCTCGTCTACTTCCTCACGCAAAAACTGGCGTTTGCCCAGGCCTATGCCATGTTCCCCTGTGCAGGTGCCGTCCATCGCCAATGCACGCCTGGAGGAAAATAATAAAAGCACAAACATTGGATCAAAACATAAGAACATCTGTGCTGGTACGTAGTTCCCAGTGTTTGCCAGCCAGCATTTGCCTCTGGTCCTCTTGTTAAAACAAGGGGCAGCAAGGATACAAAGGGGCTGTGAGTTTTGCCTCACCCCTTGGCTTAGACAGCCCCCCACATATTGAAAGGTTAACTTACGAAGCAGAAAGACTCTTCTATTATCACCATCATCTCATTCATTGGAGGCTCTTAAGCAGCAGTGATTCCTGCATACCACAAAATATAGAATCACAGGGTACGAGTTGGAAGGGACCCCAAGCATCATTAGTTTAAAGGAATGACAGCTCCAGAATCTCTGACAGACGCCCATCCAACCTCTGCTTAAAAACCTCCAGTGAAGGAGAGTGGTGGACTACCTTCCAAGGTAGTCCACTACCCTGTCAAACAGCTCTTACCGCCAGAAAGTTTTTATCAAATGTTTCGTCGGAATCTCCTTTCTTGTCATTAGAATCCACTGGTTCAGGCCCTCCCCTCTGAAGTAGTAGCAAACAAGTTTGCTCCATCTTCCATGTGATAGCCTTTTAGATGTTTGAAGATGGCTCTCATATCCCCTCTCTCTGGAACAACCCTCAACCATTCCTCATAAGGCTTGGTTTCCAGACCCTTGATCTCCAGTCAGATCCTTACCTGACCAGCCGTTGGGAAAACTCTGCCACCCTCCTGCTTTCTTCGGCGTCTTCCGGATCAAAAATCAAGAGGCAGTGGAAATTCCCATCACCAACATGGCCGACAATAGGGCCTGAAAAACCAGCAGCGGTAAAGAGATCATTGTTTGCCATGATGCAGGATGAAGATGAGGCCAGCCTCCCTCAATCTGGTGCCCTTCAACTGGACGAAAACAGCTCAGGACCCCAGTAGCTCAAGGACCACCTCTCCCCACACGCTCATCGTCATCCAAGGCTTCCTTCTTGAGCTCCCTTCCACTAGAGGTTCAGAAGTGGCAGTACAAAATCAGGCCTTTTCAGTGGTGGCCCCCCCATTTCTGGAATGCTCCTCAAACAATATTCTGCCCACCTGTGAGCTTGGACTCCAGTAGATCTTTCTTTGTTTCCAGCAGGATTGCAGGGAGGCGGGAGATTGGAACACAGACGTCAGTCGAGTATCCCTGCAGATGATGCAGATGGGAGGAGGGAAAGGGTGGGGCAATGCTTTTGAGGAGGCTTAACTTTCTCCCCTTCCTAGCCTTTTGACATCTTTTTGAGAACCACCAGGCCTCAAAATGCCCTTGCCTAGCCTTCAGCCCATCAATACCACCCCACATTAATCAGTCTCTGCAACCCTCCAGGCTACTACCCTTGTGTGGCTCCACAGCAGCCTAGTCACGTTGCACCAAACCCTAGTTTCACTACACATGCAGCAGAGTTCTTTCATCAACAACTCATTCTCAGAAGCAACCTTGAAAAGAAGGTAGCCAGTCAGCCAAACTCAGGAACCTGCTTGTAACTCAACCTTGCGATCCTCGTGAACGGAGGTGGCGTTCGGAACAGGGTAAGTGAGAGGTGAAACGAAGCATAATGGAGAGTGTTCTTCATAACTCAAGCAAAGGAGCCAAATTGCAAGGCAGATCAGATTTCTTTCTTTCTTTTTAAAGTGCTAAGCCACCCACCAGAGCTTGCTCCTCTCCCCTCTTGACTCACCTTCCGGCCTGGGCGAAGGGCCAGCGCAGCATACCAGGCATTGTGGCGTGCGGCCCACAGCTGACTGCGAGCCTCCTGCTCCCGTGCCCACACAAAGTCCGAGCCCCCATTCGACTGCACAATCTCCCCTGCGAAGATAGCCTTGTGTCAGAGCCCCACCACTACCACCTCTGGTGAGCCAGCGTGGTGTAGTGGTTAAGAGCGGTAGACTCGTAATCTGGGGAACCGGGTTCGCGTCCCCGCTCCTCCACATACAGCTGCTGGATGACCTTGGGCCAGTCACACTTCTTTGAAGTCTCTCAGCCCCACTCATCTCACAGAGTGTTTGTTGTGGGGGAGGAAGGGAAAGGAAAATGTTAGCCGCTTTGAGACTCCTTTGGGTAGTGATAAAGCGGGATATCAAATCCAAACTCCTCCTCTTCTTCTCTGCTGCCAACCATAAGAAGAGCCTTCTGCATCAGGCCAATAGCCTATCTAGTCCAGCATCCTGTTCTCACAGCGGCCAACCAGATGCCTGTGGGGAAACCCATGAGCAGGAGCAGAGGCCAAGAGCCCTCTCGCCTCCTGTGGTTTCCAGCAACTGGTGCTCAGAAGCATTGCTGCCTCCAACGGTGGAGGCAGAGCATAGCCATCAAAGCTAGCAGCTGTTGATCGCCTTCTCCTCCATGAATCCATCCTTTTTTAAAGCCATCCAAGTTGGTGGCCATCACTGCCTTCAGTGGGAGAGAGCTCCATAGTTTAACTATGCACTACCACCACCAAAGCCTGGTGCCAGGCTGCTGTGCCAAACATATCCCGACTCAGCCTTATTCCCAGGCTTGTCTGGCTGCCAGGCTTGGCCCGGCTTCTGCAGAACCTACCTGTTGCTTGGACCTGCTCCTCCACGCTGTTTTCAGTGCCGTGGAACTCCAGGAAGAGGGTGGGCAGCTCTGCGTAGCTCAGGCCACTGTGGCGGTTGCAGGCGGCCACCATGACATCATCCAGGAACTCTGGTGGCAAAGAGAAGAGGGGCACTCGCCATAGGGGGACATCACAGGAGCAGAAGGGAAAACCCAGAGCAAGCAAGGCCACTTCAGCTGCAATCCTCATCCAGCTTACACCCCATTGAAACCAATAGGATTTACTTCTGAGCTGACATGGTTAGGACTGCACAGTTAGAGGGCAATGCAACACACACCTGGGAGGAAGCCTCTTGGAACACCATGGAGCTTACTTCAGAGTAGACTCACGTGGGATACTTAGTGTATGAATCAATGGGAGCAGCCTTCCTGCAGCATCAAAAAACCACCTCCACACCAGAGCAGTTTTGAGGCGAAGAAAGGAAAAAGTGTGTGTGCGTATTGGACAATGCAAGGAGGTGAACGCAAACTTACATGAATAAATTTGTCTATGGAATGTATTTATTTGTTTCAAAGGCAAGGCTCGCCTTGTGGGAGAAAACACGACAAGAGATCCAATTTTTAAGGTAACACTTGTGGTCACAGACTTGACTGTTTTGATAGCCAGTGGTGGTGTAATGGTTAGACTGTCAGACTAGGACCTGAGAGAGACCACAGTTCAAATCCCTGCTCAGCCATGAGGTCACTTCCTCTCAGCCTAACCTAACTCACAGGCCTCTTGTGGGGATTAAATGAGGAGGGGGAGAACCACGTAGTTCACCTTGAGATGCTTGGAGAAAAGGGTGGGGTATAAATGCAATCAATCAATTAAATGGACATCAAATCTTTTACTTCTGGCCTTCAGGCCTTTTTGCTCCTAGATGGCATGAGGCTCCTTTATCTCACTTCTACCCCCCGCACAAACACACACATATGCCAGCCATTAGCCCCTCTACTTCCCAATTCCCCTCTAACTGCCCTCACTCCCCGTTCTTCCTGCTCTTATGTCCTGGTTCTTCCACCCAGCTGTCCCATTCCTTCCCTTACACAGCACCTGCACTGACCTTTGCATTCCATGTCTAACCCCTTCCCACCCACCCCAGCAGTTAGACCATTTCTGAACATTCCATGCCATCCCAACTCAGCCAGTGGCAGAGAGGAGTCCTATATATACAGCACAGAGAAGATTCAGGCTGATGAGACCATTACGAGGCCTGATCTTGCAGGCTCCGGAAGGAAGCCTTTTGGCCCACCCTGTTCTTCTCCCTTGTCCGCCACCGCCTGGGGTGCCCTGTAGTCCTGCTTACCAATACGGGCGATGGGGATCCCAGTTTGAAGAACCTGCACAGTGCTGTCCACAGCTGCTTGCACGCTGGGAAAGGCGCAGACGGCTGCCACGGTGGCCTCTGGGGTGCCATGCAGGCGCAGTATGGCCTGCGTGATGAGGCCCAGCGTCCCCTCGGAGCCGACAAAGAGTCCTGTTAGGTGGTAGCCAGCAGCGCTTTTCCTGCAAGCAAAAAGCAGTCCGTGAGTTTCAAGGGACCAGGCTGGGCCCTGCACTGATCAGCCTCTTCCCCTGGTGTAAGCAGTCAGCTTCCTCCTCCCAATGAGCACATGCAATGTATTCAATGCTGTATAAGGTCACACAACCATCAGGATGGTCGCTTTTCTGTTGGGCTAGCAGCTTAAGAATATAAGAACATAGGGAGAGCCTGCTGGATCAGGCCAATAGCCCACGTAGTCCAGCATCCTCTTCTCACATTGGCCAACCAAATGCCTGTGGGAAACCCACAAGCAGGATCCGAGCACAACAGCACTCTCTGCTCCTGTGGTACACAGCAAATGGGACTCAGAAGCAACAGTGGAGGCAGAAATTAGCCATCATGGCTGACAGCCATCGATTGCCATTTCCTCCATGGATTTGTCTAATCCTCTTTTAAAGCCCATCTCACTCCTGCGGGAGTTAGATGACGTTGCATCAAACCAACATTATCCCATACTTACTGGTGTGTTCCCCCTCACTTCCCTTCCTGCAAAACGTCTCATCTTTTGGAGAATTAACCAAATGCATTTTAACTGAGCAAGCTGAACTTGCTGGCATATGACTGAACCCCATCCCAAAAGAGCAGCAGCCTGGAAGCGGCCAAAACCAAGATTTGAGGAAAGGCGCAGAAGGAGCTTCAGGACAGCAAGAGTGATTTAGCTGGGTACCTGGGCCTCCGGCTCTTGCCGGCCGTGTGGAGGACCCTCCCGTCAGGAAGCACCACCTGCAGGTTGAGCACGTTTTGGCGCATGGTGCCATAGCGCACAGCATTGGTGCCTGAGGCACTTGTGGCCGCCATGCCGCAGAGAGAAGCATCAGCCCCAGGGTCTGAAGAAGGAAAAGGCACAGCCGGGGGAGCAATTAGGTAATGGCAAACCAGGCCACCCCCCTCCTAATGCAGGTAAGATCAAAGCAGCAATGGCTTGCCAGCCACTAGGCTGGTCCGCTACCACATTCCTTTATTTCCCAGAATGCAACTCCACTGCACCCCTCCCAGAATTGTACTTAAGGCAAGCGTACCTACAGGAAACCAGAGTCCACTGCCCCGTAGGTAGCTGTTTAGTGCCTTTCGGGTCACACCGGGTTCTACAGCCACAGTGAAGTCCTCTGCGTTCAGCTCAGAGATCTGGTCCATTTGGGTCAGGTTAAAGCACACACCACCCTGTCCCATGGAAAGAGACAAGCACAGGGTTACCAAAAGGGGAACACAGGGAACCCAAAGAGGAGGAGTCTGGCATGGGGGGCAGGGAGGAGCAGGAGTCCCACCTATTCCCCAGCCTTTAAAATCCATCTCCTTGCCTCTGGAGAGCAGCCAATTTGTTCATTTACTGGTGTGATGGCTTATCGAACAATAGTCAAAAACAGGCAGGGGAAAAGGAGCGATTGCCACACACAAAAGCTAAGGCCCCATCCACACCATCTGTTTAAAGCAGTATCATACCACTTTAAGCAGTCACGACACCCACAAAAGAATCCTGGAACATATAAATTCCTAAGAGTGCTGAGAGTTACAAGGAGACCTCTATTCCCCTCCTGGAGCCGCAGTTCCCAGAGTTCCCTGGGAAGAGGGATTGATCATAAAACCACTGAGAACTGTAGCTCTGGGAGCAGAATGGGGTCTCAGCACCCTTAACAAACTACAGTTCCCAAGATCCTTTGGGGAAGCGATGACACTTTAAAGTGGCACAAGAGTAGAGTGCTTTAAATGTACAGTGTGGATGTGGCCTCTGTTCAGGCCTGGCCTCACTTGGCACTCTGTCCTCCCCCAAAGCCATACCCTGCACCCCCACTCACTGCTCCGGCAACCTTTCCCCTGCCCCCAATCCCCGTTCCCATTTCGCTTGCCATTCCCCTCCTTACCTTCACGGCACTCACGCCCCCTTCTAGGCCCGTTCCTGTCCCGAAAGGGATGATGGGTGCCCCACGGCTGTAACAGGCCTTCGCCAGCAAGCTGACCTGCTCCACGTTCTGGGGCCAGACCACCGCATCTGGCGGGCGGCACCTAAAGAGACGGTGGTGGGACAACATAATTTATCCATCAATTTTGCACATGTATAAATGCCTCACTGGCCGAAGCTGTGAGTGCACTGCATAGTACAATAAGATGTGGGGGAAAGAAAAGTTAAAGCCATTTCAACAAACCCTAAAAACAATAAAAAGTTCTCCTTAAAAAAAATGAGAATCAATTTCTAGTATTTGTAGAGAGAAATGAGGTAAAATGTGTAAGCACTATTCTCCTCATTGGTTTTGTGAGGAAATGTCACTGTTTCCTCCTTCCAGTTATGCGTCAGAACTATGATGGTGTTGTTGATGGTTTATTAAATTTATTTGTCGCTTTATTTGCCATGGCAACTCAAAGGAACCTAGAAAAAAAAACCTGCATTAAAACCAGGAAGAGAAGATACATTGAAACATCCCACCCACTCTAAAAGGCCACAGATAATTAAAAGCCAAAGGCCTGATTAGAAATGAAGGTTTTGGCTGTCTCCTGAAACAGAGCTGCCCATGAGGCAGAGAAAGTGAAGCGCCCACCTCAGGTGGCGGAAGTGCTAGAGGAGACACTCTGCTCAGGAATCTCTTTTGCAATCTCTCGGAGGATGTTGGGGTACACCTCTTGGGGGTACAGCTGCTTTAGTGGGCACAGCAGCAGCCTGTCTAGGAGGCCCTGCATTCTCCCTCTGCCTGAGCACAACCAGTCGACTTTCCTCCTCTTGTTCTTCCGCTCTCTGGTCAATACCCAGGAGCCAAGGACAGCCATCTCATGCAAGCATATAGTGCTAGTAGGAACACAGGAAGCTGAGTCAGAAAATTGGTCCATCTAGCGCAGTATTGTCTGCACTGACCGACAGGCTCACCAAGGCACTGACCGACAGGCTCATCAAGAAGCGGAATTCTGGGAAGTCCCACTACATACCTGTGCATGGACTCGTCATGGCCATGTTGCTCACAAACTGGGGTGGCTGTGGACACATTGCTGCTCCCCACCACTTCTCTCAGGGAATCTAGGAAGTCCTCTGTCAGCCAGCCCTGCAGGAAAGATATAAGGCTGGGGGTTGACAAGACAAGCAAGGAAGCACAGTTGGAGACAGATGGGCAGCCAGAAGTGCAGAGGGTGCAAGTGGATGTCTACGCAGCCGTTACTGGTACTGAGTGAACAAGGGGTGCAGACTTGGGGTGCTCAAGGAATAAAGAAACAAGAGAGACACAAGGATTTCATAATAAAACCTTATAGACTCTCCGCCTGCTTCCATAGGTTCCTTCCCACATGCCCCAATCCATATACAGTGGTACCTCAGGTTAAGTACTTAATTTGTTATGGTGGTCTGTTCTTAACCTGAAACTGTTCTTAACCTGAAGCACCACTTTAGCTAATGGGGCCTCCTGCTGCCGCCACGCAGCCGGAGCAAGATTTCTGTTCTCATCCTGAAGCAAATTTCTTAACCCAAGATACTATTTCTGGGTTAGCGGAGTCTGTAACCTGACGTGTATGTAACCTGAAGCGTATGTAACGCGAGGTACCACTGTAGATTAGCCTTTGCCCTCCAGATGTTTTTGGATTACTACTCCCATCAGCCTCAGCACTCATGGGTGTTGTAATCCAACATCTCAAGGGCAACAGGTTGGTGACTGCCCACACAGTCAAAGCACAGGTCTCCACTCAAAGAATCCTGAAGCTACAATGATCAGCACCCTTAACATTTTACAGTTCTCAGAATACTTTGGGCGAAGCCATGTGCTTTAAATGTGTGGTGTGGATGTGACCTTATTTGGGATTAAGACCCACTGAACACATATTTGCTTCTGAGTATATGTGCATGGGATTGTCTTGCTCTACACCTTAATGGCTATTATAGTTCTGTACCATTATCTCAAATATTAATAGGTTGAAACAGTTGCACAATGGGCAGAAATTCAACAGGTGAACCTCCTCTCCCATCCACTGCCTCTCTGTGCCAAGAAAGAGTTTTCACTGGCTGAATTTCTGCCTCTTGTGGCAACTGTGAAAGATTCAGAGGGAAGGGGGGGGGGAAGCAAACCTGAGCTCGTTTTGAGGCTCCAGGTGTTGGAGAGCTGCGCCTGATCTCACCCACCAGCAATTTTCACGGAGACAAACCCATTTCACAGGTGCAGCTGCAGAATCAGCTGGACTTTGGCCACTTCACTCGACAAGCTTCCCCCTGCCCCACCCCCGGGGAGAAGACCTATATGGGTAGCTTCTAATCCCGGTTCAGCACTAGAACCTTCGGACACCTTTTATATGAATTGGCATTTGTAAGACAACCCTCCTCACAAGCTTGGCGGATCAGGAACTGGACCTGATGAGCAAATAACGCTAAGTGTTCTTTACTTGGACTTCGTTCTTTTAACCTACGCGCAACTGTACTCCGTGCCTATTTTATAGTTTTGTTTTTCATCGTTTAATTTCCACCAGCTGTCATAACTGTTCTGTTTTATATACATTATGACTTTTTTTTAAGCTTTACCCCCGCCAAAAAAAAATATTATCATGGTTCAGCCAACTATCTCCCTGTCTTGCTATTTCCACCACCACCCCGGCATTTTATTTTATTGAAATACGCATAGGCCCCCTATTAAGTAGGAAGGAGGAAATTAATCTCCGTCCCATAGGAGAAGTCCCCAGACCCCCAATTCTCCTCTCCCGCAGCCCGAAGTGGTACAGTCCAGGCAAGGCTTTGCAAGCCACCGGGTTACACGGGCGCGCGCACTTCCAGGGGAGCTCCGGGGCGGCTCGAAGGCGAAAGGTCGGCGGGTTACCTTGGCTGCTGCTTGCGAGTAGTTCCGGACCGCGAAGCCCAGCGTCCGCCGCGCAGCCATGGCGAAGGACGGGCGAAGGAGGCAGGGGAGGCGGAGCAGCCTCGGTGCGGTTTAAGGTGGACCGGCGGCGGATCCGGAGCGCGCCTCCTTAGCCCACTTCGCTGCTCTCAGGAGAGGTGCTGCGGCGCAGCCTGCGATGCCTCAAGGCCGCCTCCGCCCCCGGGATGGGAGGTGAGCACTCTGCACGTGCTCAACGGCACGCCCCTTTTTCTCCTCGCACCTCCCCTAGACCACTTTCACGCATTTCAGCGAAACGAAACGGTTCATGGAGAGGTTTATACTGGAGTCTTTTTTACCTTCTGGGCTGCAGGTCGGCGGGGAGGGGGAGAAATAAGCCCCACTAAGCTCATTGGGGTTGTAAGCGTGTGTAGGATTGAGGCTTAAGTAAAATTGAGTAGAAATCTTGGATTTTGAGTAGTCACTTACGAGTGTGTTGTCAACAGATGAAACGGCCACTCCAGTTCACTTCAGTTATCATTAAGAGTTACACAACCAAGGGCAAGTAAAGCACAGCACTTACTAATTAATTAATCAATTAATTGGTGTGACCAGAGCCACAATACTCTGCAAGAGGGATGCACAACTCAGTTAACTACCCTGTGTCACACTTGCCATAAAATAAATTATAACCACTAGTTTACACATTATGTGAAATAAGATGGTAGAATTCTCTGTAGAATCATAGAATTGTGAGGCTTGAAGTGACCCTCAAGGATCAAATAGTTCAAGCCCCTGCAATGCCGGAATCGCAGCTCAAGAATCCCTGAGAAGGGGGCCCTCTGACATCCGTTTAAAAACCTCCAGTGAAGGACAGTCCACCACCTTCCAAGGTAGAGGGAGTGCAAAATAATAAATAAGGAATTGTTGTAAAAATAAGAAATATTTTTCGGGGGGGGGGGGCGCACCAAATACTGTCCTTGCACAGGGCGTTGTATTACTAAAGTCTGCCCCTGCCTAGAACTGATTACAGTGGTACCTCGGGTTAAGAACTTAATTCGTTCTGGAGGTTCGTTCTTAACCTGAAACTGTTCTTAACCTGAAGCACCACTTTAGCTAATGGGGCCTCCTGCTGCCGCCGCACCACCGGAGCACAATTTCTGTTCTCATCCTGATGCAAAGTTCTTAACCCCAGGTACTATTTCTGGGTTAGCAGAGTCTGTAACCTGAAGCGTCTGTAACCCGAGGTACCACTGTACATGCAAAGAGGTTTGTTTGTTGGCATGGGTTTGCATTCAGTGTATGAGTCACGCCACACCTGCAGCTAATGTGATACAGGCCAGAATTTTACCACCTCATGCTATGTGTGGCATTGAAGCTCAAGCATGTAAGAGCCTTCCTGCTGGGTCAGGCCAAAGGCCCATCTAGTCCAGCATCCCATTCTCACAGTGGCCAACCAGGTGTCTGTGCGAAGCCTGCAACCAGGACCTGAGCGCAACAGCATAGAAGAAATACAAACAATGGTGGCAGACGCTGGTTTTATTGTTCTGAAGTCAAAGAGAGTTAAGTTAGTTCTTAGCTAGCGTTTCCTCAATAAAGGGAAGGAGCTCAGTCACTCGGGCATAGACCCCTGGGCTGGATGGGGAGCAAGTGCCGCTGCCCCAGGAGACAATCCCGACGAGGGTCCAGGCGCCATCCTTCTGGCACACCAGGGGGCCACCAGAGTCACCCTGTAGGGGAACAACCAAAGCAGGGTGTCAAAGGAGGTTCTGTAGGAAAGGAAGGCAGAAGCTGGCAGATGTGTCCATTTTGGTTTCTCACGTTTTCCAATCTTAAGTTCAGTTCTCCACCTTTCCACATCCGTTTGCAATTGTTTTAAAGTCCTCGTGAACATTCCCCACCAGCATTTTTGTTGGGATTTCTCCTCATATACACATTTTTATTTTTTTATTTTTTGCAAAACCTGTGCCCCCTACTGTTTATATTTTCCCAGATCTAATGGTTCGGTGTGTATGCTGTTTTCACTAATATGTGCATTCTGAGGCACACTTTGCTTTTTAGTACATGCATTTTTGTACACCTGACTTGGCGCAGCAAAATTTGGATGAGTGTGTTTTGGTTCTCAAATGGCTGTGGAGGAGGTTCTCAAATGGCTGTTTTCACTAATATGTGCATTCTGAGGCACACTTTGCTTTTTAGTACATGCATTTTTGTACACCTGACTTGGCGCAGCAAAATTTGGATGAGTGTGTTTTGGTTCTCAAATGGCTGTGTACTTAACCCCAGTCAAGTTAGCAAAAATTTATCATCTGCCTGATAATAAATGTTGGAAATGTAAAGAAAACGAAGGTACTTTTTTTCACCTTTGGTGGACGTGCCCAAAGATCAAGGCCTTCTGGGAAATGATATATAATGAACTAAAAAAGGTATTGAAATATACTTTCTTGAAGAAACCAGAGGCCTTCCTCTTGGGCATGGTCGGCCAATTGGTGCGAAGGGAAGACAGGAATTTCTTTATGTATGCGACAGCAGCGGCAAGAATACTTATTGGGAAATACTGGAAGACACAAGAATTGCCTACCCGAGAAGAATGGCAGAGAAAAGTGATTGAATATATGGAACTGGCTGAGATGACCGGCAGAATTCGAGATCAGGAAGAAGGGTCGATGGAAGAAGATTGGAAAAAATTTAAAATATATCTTCAGAAATACTGTAATATAAAAGAATGTTAGAAAAGGTTGGAGAAGAATATTAGACCGTATTGGCAGACAGAGTATAATGGAATAAGTAAATATGAAGTGTAAAATAAAGATAGAGGAGAATTAAATACTTTCGAATGTTAAAATAAGTAAATGAAAAGAAGGTTAGAAGGATTTGCTGGAGATATGATCCAAATTAGAATACAAAGCAGAGAAGTGAGAGGAAGTCAGGGAAATAAGTAGATGGGAAGACGGTTCTAATGGTTTAATTTGATTTTTTGTTACTTTTTTTTTACTGTGATTTTTTGTCTTTTGTATTTTTCTTTGTACTGTTCGTTTTGTGTAAGATGTATGTGATTTGTTTTTTTCTTTTTACTTTTTTCTTTGTTTGTAATTTTAAAATTGGAATAAATATTCATATAAAAAAAAAATCAAATGGCTGTGGAGGATGGCTGTGTTTTTGGTACACAAATCGCTTCTGAAATCAGGTGGGTTTGCCTTTTAATAGGAATACTAGTTTAATGCTCACCTTCCCCTCGCCACTGAAACTGCCACCACTTGGGCCCCAGGAGTCAGGATTTCCAGGGCAGATGACAATGACCTCTGGTCATTCTTGCCTCTCAGAAATCAAGTGTCGGACAGGCAGGGCAAGAGGAAGCAGTCTTCCATGGCCAGGAAAAAACAGAAATAGGAGGCCAGCAAGATGCAAGGGGGAGATAGCAGGTGCCTCATTTCAGACAGGAACTGCTGTGGTGGCTGAGAGAAGGTGGGTGGGTTTTGGGGAGGGGGTACCTTGAGGTGGGAGGGCAGCTCAGGTAGTAGGGGAGGACGTACCATACAAGAGGAAGCCCCTGCGGCACCAGCACAGATCATGACATCAGCGATGCGAGCCCCCCAATATTTCTTGCACTGCTCATTGGTCAGCAGAGGGAGGGCCACCTGCTGCAGTTTATCCGGAGTGTCCTTGTCTAGGAAAGAACAAACGAGAGGAGAAGTTTTCATTAGGGCTGCCATATGTCCGGATTTTCCTGGACATTGCCGGGATTTGAAAGATGGAATTGACATCCGGGGGATTTTCCCAAAGGCGGCACTTTGTCCAGGATCTTAGGCATGTCAATCGAAAAGTCACGGTTTGGAGGGCGTTTTTGTAAAAAAAAAAAAAGTTCAACAACTTTCAGGGTGTCCTTGTTTTTACATTTTGAAATATGGCAACCCTAGTTTTCATATACATACCTACATGTTTATTTATACAAATATCTATATACTGATATTCATTTAAAAAATACCAAGAGTGGTTTAAAACAATTATAAATAAAAACGTACAATAAGAAACATTAAAAAGGTTAAAAAGGAGACACTGGTTAACCACAGTGCAAGGATGTCACTCTTAACTGCCTGTGTAGGCTGTGCGGAATAGAACAGTTTCCAGTAGGCGTTTAAAAGCTGGCACAGAAGGCGCCCACCGAATCTCTTGTCAACAGAGTATTCCACAGAACTGGGCACATGAAATGGCTGGGGGGGGGAGGTGCTAGGTTGCTCAAAAGCGAGAGTCTGTTGGCACAGAGGGGAGCCCTTTTTCGTGTGCGAAATGGGGTGGGGTGAGTAAGCAAGTGAAAAATAGGGTGGGAACTGTTGCTAAGACCCCTGGCTGGTTAATGTGCTAATTCCTTTGGGGGGGGTTATTGGGTTGTTGATTTTGTTTTGATTTTATGTATTTGATATTTTACTGAACCGCCCTGAGACCTTCAGGTATAGAAATTAAATAAATAATAAAATAATAATAATGTATTTGACCGTTCTTTGTTTCTTTTTACTTCAGAATTTGGTTAAATTGGAAATGTCAGGTTTTTTGTCCTCATTGCTGTTCTGCTTATTTGCCTTATGATAGAATGCTTAATTGATTATTATTGGACCTATTATAAAAATAGTTTTGTAGTTTTGGCATATTGTTGTTTCTTTCTGTTTGTTTTCACTCCAAGATTGAAAATACTCAATGAATTGCAGGCTATAAATACTGTAAGGAAGTAAGTAAATAAAATATGTTCAGCTCTGCCCAGACCCTCCAAGTTTCCCTATTTTCCAGGGACAGTCCCAGATTTACAGAAGCCATCCCAGTTTCTGATTTGATCCTGCAGTGTCTCACTTTTCCTTAGGACATCCCTATTTTTAATCGGAGAAATGTTGGAGAGTATGGAATAGGCATCTCCAGGACTATTTTTCAGGCAGAACTCACTGGAAATTAGTTCCGGCACCTCTCAGGTGGGCACCATTGCCATTCTAAGAGAATGAGGGAGGTGTTCATGATGAGTTCCGGAACCTCTTTTTCTAGAAACATAGCACTGGACGTCCCTGTTTTCATTGGAGGGTATGCCTGTCTGGCATGGCCAGTGGCCGGGAATGATGGAAGTAGTCCAGCTGCACCTGAAGGACCACAAATTAGCCACCCTCTGCCCTATATCACCCAGTTCCCACAAAAGGGATATGTGGCAGGCTGATAAAAACCTGGGTTCAAGACCATCATGGCTTATTTTCAAGTACAGTGGTAACTTGGTTCTCAAAAGCCTTGGTACTCAATTCAGGTAGGTAGCCGTGTTGGTCTGACACAGTAGAAATATATATAAAAATAAAAAAAAATTGTCCAGTAGCACCTTAAGAGACCAACTAAGTTTGTTCTTGGTATGAGCTTTTGTTTGCATGCACACAAAAGCTCATACCAAGAACAAACTTAGTTGGTCTCTAAAGTGCTACTGGACAATTTTATTATATATATATATATATATATATATATATATATATATATATATGCCTTGGTACTCAAACAACTTGGAATCCAAACATTGCAAACCTGGAACTGTTCCAGTTTGTGAACTTTTTCCGGAAGCTGAACGTGCTCCGTTTTGAGTGTTACCCTTCTGATTTCAATGTTACGCTTCCGATTTGAGTGCCACACTTCTGTTTTGAGTGTTACGCTTCAAATTTGAGTGCCACACTTCCGCTTTGAGTGTTACGCTGAAGTCTGTCTGTTTTTGCTATTTATTTTGCCTTTTTGCAGCTCTTTTTTTTTGTTTTTGTGACTGTGTGGAACCCAGTTCAGCTACTTATTGATTGATTGATTGATTGATTGAATGATTGATTGATTATGTGACCGCAGTACATGGTTTACTGCTTTCATTTTATGGATCAATGATCTCGTTAGATAGTAAAATTCATGTTAAATTGCTGTTTTAGGGGTTGTTTTTTTAAAGCCAGGAACAGATTAATCCATTTTGCATTACTTTCTATGGGAAAGCACACCTTGGTTTTGGAATGCTTTGGTTTTGGAACGGACTTCTGGAACGGATTAAGTATGAGAACCAAGGTACCACTGTAAAGGCAGTGCCCAGATATTACCAGTGTGGAGTAGTGGACAAGGACCTGGGAGACCACAGTTCAAATCTCCTCTCAGCTATTTAGCCCACTGGGTGACTTTGGACCAGTCGCTGACTCTCTCAGCCTAACCTACCTCACAGGGTTGTTGTGAGGATAAAATGGAGAGAGGGAGAAGTATGTATGCCACCTTGAGATCCTTGAAGGAAAGGTGGGATATAAATGCCACAATAAATAAATAAAAATAAAAATTACTCGTGTGTTTGGTAAGGCCCCATCCAGTGGTGACGCAGGTCATGCCCCCGGGGAAGTCATCTGTGGCCTGAGGCAGACACACGGGAGACACGCGAGCCGTCAGCTGGGCTGGGGTGGCCAGCTTCAACAAAGTGATGTCGTTCTTCACTGTGAAAAGGTTGAACTTGGGGTTCTTGAAAACCTGTCAAAGAAGGAGGCAGTTTAGTTTAAGCCAGTGGTTCCCAAATTTTAGGGGGGGGGGCACTGCTCCCTTGGTTTCATAGACTCATATCCAGTGTCCCCCATGCCACCCTGTAAAAAGAAGAGTGGTTTGCAGAGGAAGATAATAAGGAAGATTATACATTAAAATCAAAAACAGCAATGGTTAATGGCACGTTTATTCAAAATCCAATTAAAACTGTTTAGTTTAATTGAGCCAGTGATGCCCACTTTAAAGACTGGTTATTGTGTGTACACCTCCACTGCTATCCACTCGCATTTTAGCAGCACTTTGGCCTGGTGGCCTGGTATTTTGATACACACACACAGAGCAAGGAGCACCTGAGGTCTGGGAAGGTCAATTCTGTGCTACCTACCTGGGCAATCTTGATGACTTGAACGTCTTCAGCAGGATTGCGTTGGTCAAATTCACCCAAAACCACCAGGTGGCTTGTCCTGCAGCAGGGGCAGCAGTTGATAGTATTCGTTAGTCAACCATGCTGAGAAATACAGCCAAAGTGCTTCATATACACGATCTCAACAACCACTACAACAGCCCTGTGGGGTAGGCAGGTACTGTTATCCCCAAGTTGCTGGTGTGTGGAGGGCGGGGTGAGCAGCAGCAGGGAGAGAACTGCTTGCCTAAGGCGACCCTTACCTTTGGGAAAGGTAAGATTTGTACCAGCACCTTCATAGTTCTCAGCTGAGGCTAGGAATCGGTGTCAGAACTTGGCATCCTTGGACAGCTACCAGAGCCCAGCACTCTTGCTGATGCCTTCCCTGGACCCTCCTTTCATATATGTTTTTTCATAACTGGCTGGGTCTAGCTGCCACTTAAACATCCCGCAATACACCTGAGCCACACAATGTCAAGGGACAGCAGCTGCTATCATGGGCTTCCTTTGAAAAGCTTCCATTTCTGATTCCTGGACATCCATCTGCTGTTGTGGACACAGCAGCATTCTGCGTTGGTGTCTGTGCCCACCTCTGCCGGTCAATTGGCAATCCTGCCTGGGAAATGTGACAATCCCGCTTTCTTTATTTCTCCCACTTTGAGCACCGGAACAAAATTGTGGTGGAATGCATTTAGAAATAGATTTTGACTTCGGAATCTCTGAGAAACACTACGATTCCATGTCCCAATTCCATGGAATTGGCGGAAATGACTGGCAGAATCCGAGACCAGGGAGAAGAGTCGGTGAAAGAAGACTGGAAGAAATTTAAAGACTATTTACAGAAGTATTGTAAAATTAACGAATCTTAGAAGGATGTTGGATAGAAATTAAGTGGTTTCCAGCTGTAATGCTTTAAGAGATATGAAAAACGGTTTATAAATGGGTAAAAGCTTAATGGTAAGGATTTGCTGAACTAACAAACTGAACTGGAATACAAAAAAGGGAGGTATGAGGAGGTCCGGGGAAATAAGTGTAAGGAAGATATGTTATGGAAAATTAATGTGTTTTTAACTGTTTTTATTTTGTTTGTTTCTTTTTATTTTTCCATTGCTTTGTTATATCTTAATAAGGGTATTTTTTATTCTTCTTGCTGTATTTTGTATTTTTTTGTATTTTTATTTTTTGTTTTTGTGTAATTCTTGTATTTTTTTGAAATTTTAATAAATATCATTTTTTTAAAAAAAGAGAAACACTACGAAAAATAAAGTGTGCCTCTGAGTGTGTGCAGAGTACACTTCGCTCACCACCGGCATGCACACATCCCTCTAGGATTACAGGGCTAGAGCTTCAGCAAGTCTGGCTTCCTGGTTTTATCCTGAGCCCCAGAGCATTTCTTCTTAGAAGTGGGTTGTACACACAGTCTTCCTTACCTGACGTTGCAGTGGGCTGCGGTGACCACCCAATTCTCACTGATCAGAGAACCTCCACAGAAATGGAAGCCAGTGTTGTCCTGAGGGATTGAGGGGAACATGTGAGCAGATAGAAAGGACCCAGCGAGTGCTTGGACATGCAGTGCAGGAATCACAGCTCAGTAATCCCTGACAGATGGCAACCCAACCTCTGCTTAAAATCCTCCAAGTAAGGAGAGTCTCCCATCTTCCAAGGTAGCCCGTTTCACTGTCAAACGGCTCTTACTCTCAGAAAGTTCTTCCTAATGTTTAGTTGGAATCTCCTTTCTTGTAACTTGAAGCCATTGGTTCTACCCTCCAGAGCAGGCTTCCCCAACCTCGGCCCTCCAGATGTTTTTGGCCTACAACTCCCATGATCCCTAGCTAGCAGGACCAGCGGTCAGGGATGATGGGAATTGTAGTCTCAAAACATCTGGAGGGCCGAGTTTGAGGAAGCCTGCTCCAGAGAAACAGGAAGCAAGCTTGCTGCATTTTCCATGTGACAGATATTTGAAGGTGGTTACAATATGACCTCTCAGTCTTTTCTTCTCCAAACTAAACATACTCCGTCCCCTCAAAGGCTTGGTTTCCAGGCCCTTGATAATCCTGGCCGCCCTCCTCTATACATGTTACAGCTTGTCAATATCCTTCTTAAACTAGACACAGATCCACAGGTAAGGGGGCTCACCAAGGCAAAAGAGAGCAGTACTCTTACTTCCCTTGATGTGAACACACACTCTCTCTGTCCCTGTTCCACTAACCAGGGTTGTCTCAATTATTTTACCAACTGCTCATTGCTGTAATGCCAAAAAGCTTTTGGTGGGTCCCCACTCCCTCCCCCAAACTGTCCATAAAAAAATAATTATTATTTTCTACAAAAATTAAGCATACTGACTACTCCTATAGGTGTTCCCTACTGTAATGATCAGATACATTTTGTGGTTTTCCCAAGAGTGCCTCAAAATTGATTTTAAATTGTGCAGAACAGCTGATGGGGAAGCCTTTTCGAAAGTAACCCTGAGGACCAGAGTGCTTGTCATGTCCACTTTGACTTGCAGCCCCTGGAGGGCTGACCATGGGTCAATGTGGCCCTCAGCCCCAAAAAGGTTGCTGACCACCCCGGTGTACCACAAGGAGAGAGCAGGTGCTGGACTTGTATCTGGAGGAGCCCACCCATGGACTAAGCCAGTGGCTATCACCACATATTGTGGCAGAAAGTGCCACAAATTAATTGTGCATTGCATGAAGAAGCACTTTATGTTGCCCCCACCTTTCATAGAACCATAGAATCATAGAGTTGGAAGAGACCACAAGGGCCATTGAGTCCAACCCCCTGCCAAGCAGGAAACACCATCAGAGCACTCCTGACATATGGTTGTCAAGCCTCTGCTTAAAGACCTCCAAAGAAGGAGACTCCACCACACTCCTTGGCAGCAAATTCCACTGTCGAACAGCTCTTACTGTCAGGAAGTTCTTCCTAATGTTTAGGTGGAATCTTCTTTCTTGTAGTTTGGATCCATTGCTCCGTGTCCGCTTCTCTGGAGCAGCAGAAAACAACCTTTCTCCCTCCTCTATGTGACATCCTTTTATATATTTGAACATGGCTATCATATCACCCCTTAACCTCCTCTTCTCCAGGCTAAACATGCCCAGCTCTCTTAGCCGTTCCTCATAAGGCATCGTTTCCAGGCCTTTGACCATTTTGGTTGCCCTCCTCTGGACACGTTCCAGTTTGTCAGTGTCCTTCTTGAACTGTGGTGCCCAGAACTGGACACAGTACTCCAGGTGAGGTCTGACCAGAGCAGAATACAGTGGCACTATTACTTCCCTTGATCTAGATGCTATACTCCTATTGATGCAGCTCAGAATTGCATTGGCTTTTTTAGCTGCCGCGTCACACTGTTGGCTCATGTCAAGTTTGTGGTCAACCAAGACTCCTAGATCCTTTCCACATGTACTGCTCTCAAGCCAGGTGTCACCCATCTTGTATTTGTGCCTCTCATTGTGCCTTTCTCATTCAGTTCACACAGAGTGGCTGGAGAAACCCAGACAGATGGGCAGGGTATAAATATTATTATTATTATTGTTGTTGTTGTTGTTGTTGTTGTTGTTGTTATTATTGTTATTATTCCATGTCTCCAGCCAAAGCAAAGTGTGCTGGGCTCTTCTTACCTGCAAGGATACCTGCCAGGGCCACGATCCAGGCACTGCCTCCTCTCCATTGACAATTCGGGAATAGCCACTCAAGACCGGATGGATGGCTGGAGTGCCACAACCTGGCAAGAAATCAGGTTTGTTTGTTTGTTTGTTTTTAACCCAGGAGAGACTCCCTATCCCTAGATGTAAACTAAATCTGTGCACAGCTTCATCTGAGTTCAGGTTTCACCAGGGACTGGCCCCCTGCACTGTGTTTTCAATACCACAGCTCAGTCCTGCAACATGTGAAGTAACAAAAGACAAGGAGAGAGTGGTCCTTGCTTGCCACAGAATATTGGCAGGGGACTTCAGCCAAGTTAGAGTGTATGATGGGCAGGTAGGACTTGAGCATTTTAGAAACTTCAGTCGTGGTTCTGTGGTTAGAGATGGAGGTGTAGCATCCATTCCCATGGGTGCTGGGGAAGCGGTGAAGTTGACCTGTGGATGATGAACTGCATCCCTTGACCCTCCCACAGACGCCAAACCCTGACCTGAAGCAGTGAGCCACACGGGCAGCACTTCCTGTAGAGGTATGGGAAGGGGCGCTGTGGAGCAGATCTATCAACATGTCAAAGGAGGGGGGTTGGAGTTGCCTCCTCCTCCTGCTTGGCCTCCTACAAGGCACTCACCATGGGCAGCACCAAGGAAGGCCAGGCAGAACAGGAACCAGACGGAAGCCATCTTGCTTCTTGAAAGAGTTGGGAATGAAGCAAGGGCTGCAAATCCTTATATAAGTTGTGAGGTAGCTGGCACAGGTGAAAGCCAAGCCAAGCTGGTTTTCCAGCCTCCTGTTATCGTAGGACCTTGAAGATAAGCCTGGTGGAGGCTGTGGGCAAAGGCCCAGGTGACCTGGCTCAAGGGCAGTGACAGGTGCCAGCTGGTCTCTGAGGCAAGGAGGAGGTGGAGTAAAAAGGGTTTGAGGGGAAGGCAGTTCCTCCGAGATTGGAGACCTCATGATTGGTCGTCTTCCTGCAGTGCATGGTTAACCTGTGGAACTCACTCCTACAGGAGGCAATGATGGCCACCAACTTGGACAGCTTTAAAAGAGGATTAGACAAATTGCATGGAGGAGAAGGCTGTCAACAGCTACTATCCACAATGGCTATGCTCTGCCTCCACCACTGGAGGCAGCAATGCTTTTGACTATCAGTTGCTGGAAGCCACAGGAGGGGAGGGTGTACTTGTGCTCAGTTCAGCATTGCTAGTTTCCCACAGGAACCTGGTTGGCCACCGTGAGAGCAGGGTGCTGGACTAGATGGGCCTCTGGCCAGATCCAGGAGGGCTCTCATGTTCTTATTTGCTGAGGAACCTCTGGTGGGTGCTGCAGCAGATAATTCTAGAGCTTGACACACACAGAGAAGTCAGTCCAACTGGGTATCCAGTACGAACACAGAGAGGTGGGTGTCACAGAACATACCCAACATTCCCAGCACACTGTGGAAGAAAATTGATATGAAGGTTGTTATTCATGCAGGACGTTAGTCAGCAATGCTGCAGTGAAGGGGGTGACGGGAGCAAGAAATCACTGCAGGACAGCCCCAAACATAAAGACATGCAGCCTAATATACCTAAACATATGCAATTGCATGAAATCCAATTAAAAAATAATTTATTTGAAAAATAAAGAGGACTGCCTCTGCCAGTTATCTCAACATCTTTGCAATTGTTAGCCAAAACAGTAGAAGACAGCAGAAAAGTATTTATTATCGTGAACCGCTAGATAGATCTCTTCCTGAATGTTTTTCTTTGTATCTCAGCAAGCAACAGGTCAAGAGATTGAATTTAGTGGGGGGGGTTAAGGATGACATTTTGGCAGGGAGTAAAATGTCTGTATGGGGCCAGGCCCCATTACAGGTACAGCCCTGAATAACTGTTTTTCTGATAAACTCTGGTCCACTTCCAAGGAATCCCAAGGTCCTTGGAGCAGAGCTTTAGGGTATCATGTTTTACAGAGGGCAGCCTTCCCTCTATCTGAAGAGCTGTCAGAGGACAGTCCTCTCTTTGAAGCACAATCTGGCTGAAGGCTAGTTTAAAGAAAAAGAAGCCTGAGGAGGAGTCTTGGAAGTTGCCTGCCAGCACCTGGACAGCAGACTGATCAAAGTCTTCCCCACTATTGTATATTGGTTTAAATGATAGTAATTATTTCTATGTGTCTAAATTAACCTGTGCAATTTTTAGTAACGCTGGAGTGCCCACCCAAACACTGTCTGAGCATCACTCTGACGGGCTATGTGCCTGAGGGTTTCCATCCTGCTGCCCCTCCAGGTTTCCAGCCAGGTTTGTCTGATAGCCAGGAGAACTAGTTGCGTCAGGCACCAGGTGTTCCCTGGGAAAGCTGACAGAAGCCAGGTGTGTCGCAGGGATGACATTGAGGAGGAGGAGGCACAGCTGTGTGGGGTTACAGGCCCTCAACTAACTCTATCCAGCAGGTTCCATACCTGTGTTCTGCCAACAGGTAAAGCAGTTGCCCCTGTGTGTGTGTGTGTGTGTGTGTGTGTGTGTGTGTGTGTGTATAAAGAGAGAGATTTATTAAAGCTTTAAATACAAACAAAGAAAAAACAATATACAGAACTCAACACCAAGTATCAAGCATTATTATTTTTTACATGAATCATAAACTGGGGTGATTGGCTTAGAATCCAGAAGCCCTCTAGCTGTTTCCTGGCACAGTCAGGTTATGATGGATTAATGCCCTCATCTTTGGCTCAGCCAGAGATACACCACCATATCCCCTCCACTGCAGCTGAGCCAAACCTGGTAGATTTCAGGTTATCATAAGCCCCCAGGAAGCTGTGTTCCATGGCTGGAATCAGGGGGACTTTGGCCAAATCCTAAGCCTGTCAAGTTCAGCCTAACGATTTAGCAACCCAGTGTAAATTCAGCCGGCAGAAAGGTGTACGGTAACTCAAACACTATTTAAAGGCTTGTTTTTGCTCTGCCAGGCTTAGCTCAGCTCAGACAGCAGGAGTTCCACTCCTGAATGGAGTTTGAGCCGGTGTAACTTCGTGCCAGCTTAAATTACACCAGTTTGCTTTATGCCAGCTTCTTGTACACAGAATTGCTCCTTGAAGCAAGGCCTCAGGGCAAAATAGAAGATACCACCTGGGCCCTCTTCCTTCCACAGAGCACCCCAGAAACCTTCCAGCTGCCATATCCTAAAAATACCCACTGTTTCCAAAGTGCGTGCTTTCACCTGCCAGTCATCAACCGTGTTATCAACGGACAGGTTTGCTCGTTCGCACGTAGCCGCTGGCTCCCAGCCACCTTTGGTCTGAGCGTTCAGTATAAAAATGGCTGAGCTGCTACATGCTGTTCCCATTGTCCTCAGAACCAGCTTATTATGGCAGCCTTGTGGTTTTTGTCCTGCCTGGCACTTGTCAGTGCCGCACAGAGTAAGTACCCACCTGCTTGTGGTCTTGGGCCTCGCTTGGGGTGGGGTGGGGTGGGGTGGGGAAGCAAACTATTTCTGTGTCACCCAGGCTTAGATCATCATCTTTCTTTTCTCTCTAGAAAATAGAGCTGATTCAGGGGGGTAGCCCAACCTGGCCCCATCCATAGGCCAGCGAAGGAGCACTTGCTTTGGTGTTTGCTTTCCTCTGCCCTCCTCCTTCCTTTTTCCTTTTCTATCATGGCTGTTAGATTGTAAGCATGCAGTCAGGGACAGCCTTGTTTTTTAAAATATATGTGTAGCACTTATAAAGTTTAAGGCACTTTAAAAGTGTTAAGTTATCGTCTTCATCTACCAGCGGTTCTCAACCAGTGGGTCCCCAGATGTTGTTGGACTACAACTCCCATCATCCCTGAGCTCTGGCCTTGCTAGCTAGGGGTGATGGGAGTTGTAGTTCAACAACATCTGGGGACCCACAGGTTGAGAAAGGCTGCTAGACTGTCATGGGGGAATCAGCACATTGCACAGCCCTCCTGAAACTATACTGTTCCAGAATATAGGTAGATGAACAAAATGCTTGAATGCCACATTAAAACTCCCTACACTTAAAAACAAACACCAGGGATAAGGTGAGGGTTCAGATCTCTGTCCCTGACATGTCTTCCTAACCTGCTAACTCTCTATAGGTAGGGATGAATTCATTTTTAATAATTACTCATTTTTTTACTGCATTTATAACCCACACCTTTCTCCCTATTTTCTCCTCAGAGCAGACCTGTGAGGTAGGTTAGGCTGAGAGTAGGTGACTGGCTGAAGTAAGCTTTACAGCTGAGCAGGGATTCAAACCTTCATTTCCCAGGTCCTAGTCTAACACTCTAACCAGTGCACCACACAGGCTACTACGAGAAGCATTAGATGATGCCATCCTCAGGTGCCTTTTGAAGTGATACAGGCCCAGGGAGATGTACCAGGTGGTCTGGTCCCCTCGTTTATAGAGGACAGTCCTCTGTTTGAAGGGCTATCAGGGGACAGTCCAGCATATCTGAAGGATGGTCTGGTCCAAGTCCAGCTTAAAGATAAAGAACCATGAAGGAGGCCAGGGACTTGGTCAATCCCAATGTAGCATCATCTCCCATTTAGGAGAAGTCACCGAGTAGGCCCTTTTGGATGGCTCTCATCACCGCACGCATACAGACAAGCAAAGGACCGGCACACCAACCACATAGGAGCTTGTCTCCGCTACGTTATGTGCACAGATGGACCTCTGGGCGGTCTTTGCCTTAACAATTCCCTGTCCCTCAGCCTCCTTGCCAAAAGTCCTTACCTGAAGTCCTGAGCGCAAAGCACAGAACATGGAAAAGCTCTCACTTCACCTCTTTCCTTGCTTCCAGGTTGCGGCGTCCCTTCAATCCAGCCCGTCCTCACTGGCTACTCCCGCATTGTCAACGGGGAGGAGGCAGTGCCTGGATCATGGCCCTGGCAGGTCTCCCTGCAGGTAAGAATGCTTGGGAAGGTCTTGGGAGTCTGGTTCGTTTCATCTGTTGGTTTGCACTTCCCCTACCAGTGATTAACTGGAACTGAGAATAAAATGGTCAAAGGCCCTTTCTATTGCCACTGCTGCCTGGCTCTGTTCCTGTTGGGTCTCTCACCACCTGCTTTCCTTGGCTTGCCTTGCAGGAGAAGAGCGGGTGGCATTTCTGCGGTGGGTCCCTCGTCAGCGAGCGCTGGGTGGTGACTGCTGCCCACTGTGGGGTGACGTGAGTACCCTGCCTCCCTTTTCATGTGGGGATATTTTTTTTAATAGATGAACAGGAATCTTGGAGGTTGCAGGGTCAGGATATGCACAGCAAAGGCTAGCAGATGTGTTAGCTACCTGTGGTCAGAGCAAGGGGCTGAAATATATGTGAGAATTGTAATTTAAGGTCTTATATATATAATAAATGTTCATAAATGTACCAGCCAAGCACGTACATAGATATGTGGACCACATGTCTGGAGCAGCACAGGAAAACTGTCCTGAAACCATTTTGACTCCCAAACTGACCAAATGTTTTCTCTGCAAGGGGGTGAGGGAACCTTCCTGTTGTCTCAGGAATTGGGTAATCACCATTTCAAAGGAATGGCCAGACTACCAGGAAAGGCAATCAGATAAGGCATTATCAAATAAACTGGCAGACAGGAAAAACAACATCATTCAAATTTCTGTTGTAGACCACCTTTTCTGTGATGTATGTATGATGTATGGAGGGGTGGTCTTGAGCTCCAGGGATGGGATTTAAAATGTCTAAAATAAGGGCAGGCACACCTTTGCTCTGGGTCCTCCTCTGTCCTCCTGCGTGTGAGGGGATCACCCTGTTGCAACAGCTTTAATAAAGATCAGGCTTATTCGCTGCTTTGCTTCTCAATATTCTCTGGTTGGCCTCTGTTATTTTCCCCTACCGATAGGGAACCCACTTAAGGACTCTATACAGGCTCTTGGATACCCCATAAGGGAAGAAGGGCAGATTTTGTTTACAACAGAATCATAGAACTATAGAATTGTAGAGTTGGAAGGGACCCCCAAGGGTCATCTAGTTCAACCCCCTGCAATGCAGGAAACGCAGCTCAAGAATCCCTGACAAGATGGCCATGCAACCTCTGTTCCTTCAGCTGGGGCCAACTGACAGCTTTTGCTTGCTTTCCTCAGGACCTCCAACGTCGTGGTGCTTGGGGAACATGACCGCAGCTCCTCTGCGGAGAAAATACAGAAGTTGGCTGTCGAGAAGGTGGGTGAAGCAGCTGGAAGGCCTCTTCAGGGCTCCTCCAGATAGCATGTTTACTGGGTATTCATCCAGATTTACTTGCGCAAGGTTTAGACAGAGGTCGGGCTTTGTTCAGTCTTTCAGGCACTTAAGTAAACGTTAACCAGCCCTTGAGGGTGTTCAGAAACCAGTACAGCCCAAAAATCCAGTTAAGCAGTTTATTGAAAAAGGAGTTACTTGTAAGAAAGAAGGAGGGTGGCAGGGGAGAGAGAACAATAGCAAGAATGCAGTTCAAACTTGAAATAAAACACCATACTAGATTCTTGGTCCAACTAATCCTCCACTTAATCCAATACTAACAATGAAAATTGGCGCTCTGTGGTCACCACTGGAGGAGGAACCTTCTGGCATCTGCTGCAGGTTGGTGGCGGGTGTGTGTGGGTGTGTGTGTTTCAAGGGGAACAAACCTGAAGGCTGCAGCCCATCTTCAAGGGCTTCTTATTCATTGGTTCAACAGGCAGACTCCTGTCAATCAGAAGCCACGTTTGTCAGGTAGAGGGAAAATTACACCTTTTGGGGAGTGGGGAAATGGTTACTACCAGATTTCCGCATCTCCCTGCTAGAAAGACATAAGCAGTAATCTGTGGACATGTCTGTCTTCTTTCCTTACCCATCTTGGAGGTTGGGTGTTCGTAAAGAATCAGTTACAATACATCAGGAGGTTCAATGCTATCACTCTAAATAGAGTGAAAGGATTTGAGCACTTTGTGTGTGTTAACTGGCTTGCCAGTTCCAGGATGTTTGTGTCATCGACTGTTTTTATTAATTAACACAATTATCACTGCCAGCCGTTATCAGCCTGTCACCCTCCACTGACCTCACTGTTTACAACTCCTCTCCCCAAACCATGTGTGTGTTTAGCCTTGTAGTCAACAAAGGCACACACCACAATATGTTTGTTAGTCTCTGGTCAGATGCATCACTGTACCCTGCTTGCAGCACCCACAATGCCTCTCTCGCCCCCCAGGTCTTCACCCACCCAGAGTGGGACCCCGTTGCCATCAACAACGACATTGCCCTCATCAAGCTGGCCACCCCTGCTGAGATGACCGACACTGTGTCCCCCGTGTGCCTGACAGACACTGCTGACCACTTCAAGAGTGGAGACCTTTGTGCCACCTCTGGCTGGGGAAAGACACGCTACAACGGTGGGCCTGTCAGGGGTCTCACAGGGGAAGTGCTTGAGGGCATAGGGAGGGATATATAGGCAGTGGCGTAGCGTGGGGGGTGCAGGGGGGGCCGGCCGCACCGGGCACATCTGGGGGCGCTCGCTCGCGCTCGCACTCGCAGCTCTCTGCCCCCTGCTAAAATCCACGGGTTAGGGGGCGCAAATTACTTGCCTTGCCCCGGGTGCTGACAACCCACGCTACGCCACTGTATATAGGGGGCCTCCTGCTTGCCTGGATAGAGTGCAGAGGTGTGTGTGTAAATTAGCCCACTGTACAAAAGTTATATCTTTGATTTTTCCACATTTGCCTTTGGCCCTCCCCTTCACTATCATGTGGCCCCCAGAAGGGAATGTGGCCCTATCTGTCTGACAAAAGCTCACCACACCTGCTTGAGCGCAGCTCCCCAAGGCAGCCAGTTCTCTGCCCATGAGGTGAGCAGCCATTTCAAACATCAGTGGGAAATCCAGTTCTTGACCCAAGCTTACTTCAAACCTGCCTTTCTATCTTGTTAGAAGGGAGAAAGACTTCTGAGGCAGTTGGGAGCTGGATGTTTTAGGCCATGCAAGGATGATCCCCTCTGTGGGGGTACCTCACTGACAAAGTGCTCCTTGCCAATGTGTGCTTCCCTGTTAGTGACAAGGCAGCTGCTTACAAACAGAGCGCTAAATAACTCTGAACCAGGTTACCCGAAAAACCATCTTCTTCACTGTGCTCAGCTAATGGAACCCAGTTAGTTTTGATTATCGACTTGTGGTAACATGGACTTGGGTTTTTCAGTGATTTTATAGTTTTAAAGTGCTTAGAAGCCACTTTGGCATCTAAATAAATAAGCAAACGGTGTCTTAGCTACCAGGGTGCAGCAAAGCAATGGCAGTTGCTGACTTGAGCCTCTTTCCTGCAGCTTTCACCACCCCCAACAAGCTGCAACAAACAGCCCTGCCCCTCCTGTCCAATGAGGAGTGCAAGAAGTCCTGGGGCAGCAACATCTCTGACCTGATGATCTGCGCTGGTGCAGCCGGATCTTCTTCCTGCATGGTGAGTGCTGCTTGACCCTCTCCCCACTCCCACAAAACCCCCAAGCACCGCAGGGAGGGGAAGCCGATTAATTAAGGAGCAAATGGTCACTCATCTCTCAGCTCCACTGAACAGGGAGCAGGAGCAGAAGTAGCAAGGAGGGATGTGATAATTAAAATTACAGTAGCTCTTATAAAAGCTTCAGGACCACGTTGCCGGTTCACATTGGACTGGTTGGCATGGCAATTTATTTTTATTGCAAAAACAAGAATAGCCAGAAATCAGGGTGTGGGGAGGAACCCGCAGGAGGAAGACACAGAAAATACTGAAAATCAACAAAGGGAGTGCCCAGGGGATTGTGATTCCAGAGATTCCCTCAAACTGAAGGGATACATGGTAGGAAAAAGAATATTTGCCAACTCATCTGTAGTTTCTCCAAGGCATGTGATAGGTGGGTGTGGGAGAACACAAAACTGCAAAACCGACGTTTAGAGAATGTGGGGGGTGAACACCCCAAAAGATTGCCTGGTTCCTTAAAAAAGAGTTAGAGGGAGAATTATGTCAGAAGGCCTCCCCACCCCATCCCACCTGCCCAAAGTCTAAACTGCCTGTCTTCTGTTTGCAGGGTGATTCTGGCGGACCCCTTGTGTGCCAGGAAGGCAATGTCTGGAAGTTGGTGGGCATTGTGTCTTGGGGCAGCAGCCGCTGCTCAACCACCACCCCTGCTGTGTATGCCCGCGTCAGCCGCCTCCGTGCCTGGGCTGATGAAACCATGGCTAATAACTGAGCTTCCAGTGTCACGGGATGAGGGGGATCAATAAAGGCTGTTCCTCCTTTGAGACTCATCTCATGTCCTGTTCTTCCATTGCTCCTGGCACAGAATACATTCTAATCTCAGACCGGCACGGCCACACCATTTGCATATGCCAGCATCCACACACTGCCCCAAGCAGTGGCTCAATAGCATGGCTTCCCCTGTGGAATATGATGCCAAGACCTTCCTATGCCAGTGTTGCCCCAGAGAGAAAAATTGATGTGTTTGTGCGTGTGCATAAGCGTGCAGGCTCTGTGATGGGTCCATCTGGGCGAGTGTGCACACGCTGGCATGTGGCCCTTACAGAGGTGGCGAATCTTCAGTCTGGCCCTCAAGCTGAAAAAGCTTTGCCATCTGCGTGCCTTACAAATGCCCTGTAGCTGCCTCAGAAAAGCTCCATCAAGAGTTTGGACAAGCCAGAAAAGGCTATACAAGGCTATGCGTGGAGCCTCGTTTAGGAAGAGGTCTCATGCTGAATGAAGCTGAATGTTGGAAAATTGAGGACAGATGAAAGGAAGTCCTTCTTCATGCAGTGTATTGTTAAACTGTGGAACTCCTCTACACAGGAGGCAGTGATGGCCACCAACTTGGGTGGCCTTAAAATATAGGGGAAGCGCAGTCCAGTGCAGGTGTTCTACCACCCTCTCAAGTCTATTCAGAAACACAGAAAGCTGTCTTACATGGACTTAAGACCATTGGGGGCTCCCCTCCATCTCTGGTTGTGGGTCTCCAGTGCTGCAGACAGGGCTGTTTCTCAGTCCTGGGGATTAAACCTGGAGCCTTCGGCATGCATACTGGGATTCTACCATCCAAGTCCCAGTACTGCACCCCCAGTGGCAGTTCTTGTGGGTGCTCCAGAGGGATGCTGAGAATGGGCAGCTGTGCAATTTCTTATTCTAGTTTGTTGGTTTTAAGGGCTAAGTTCCTGTCCTGTGGTCAGATGGAAATACAGTGGTTTTTACTAATGGTGATCAGTGGGTTTATGTATTTCCAGTAAGATTCTTAGACAGCAACCTGGGGGGAAAGTCACACTTGTGCCGAGGCTGAGTTCACAGGCAGAGGTGGCTGCTGACCAATCCAAAAACCCAAGCCAGACCTGTGCCACCCAGAAACATAGGAAGCAGCCTTATAGAGTCAAGACCATTGCTCTCATCTACATTCAGTGACAGCGACAGGGTTTCAGGCAGGGTTTGCTCCCAGCCCAATCTGGAGGTGCTCAGGATTGAACACAGGACCTTTTGCATGCAAAGGAGGGGCTCCGTCACTGAGCTACTGCCGGCGACTGTGGAAGGTTCTCTCAAGCCGCAATCCTGTGGGAGTAAACTCCCTTGAAGTCAGTGAAACTTACTTGTGAGTAAACCTGCATTGGGTTCCACAGGCCCCTTTGCTCCACTCAGGAACAGCAGAGAAGAGAACCACTTCCAGCTTTCCTTGCTAAGATGTGAACATATCTTCCAAAACATGGGGGTGTCAATGGTGATGTATGAGCCCCCCCCCCAGTTTTTCTACAGCATGTTTAGCTCTTTAACTGATGGCAAAAAGACACCCACACCCACAGTGTTTTCCCAGCCATTTAGTGGCTTATCCACTCAAGTCAGTGGGATTCTGGAAGGGGAAAGGGCAGGAGGAGGAGCTAGAATTAGCTGCTGATTAGGCAGTCAGTCATCCAGGCTGCCATTGCCCAGACATTTGCCCACCACCCTGTTCTCCAGCCAGGCTCAGCCAAGCTATTGAGTCAACCTGGGTCTTTGAAAGGAGCAAGGAAGCCAAGTTCAGGGTTGTTGTTTTCTAACCATGATTAAATTTGCAGGTCAAAACAACAGGATCTTAAGGGCAGGTCCCTACCCAGAAGGTACTAGGCCAATAATTTACAAATGCAAATTATTGATATTACTCCTGGCCCTGTGGTTACTGCCCAGAGTTAGTGCCTTAGCATAAAGATGTGATCATTCCAAACACTGAAAAGGGGCAGTTTCTCTATGGAGGCGCAGCTTCTCCATGTGCCAGCCCAGGGCAACTAGGATTAACAGAATGTGCCTTATACAAAATCAGACCACAGGTCCACCTGGCTCAGTCTTATCTATAGGGACCTGCAGCAGCTCCCCGGGGTTTGAGACAAGGGGACACTCCTGGCCCTACCTTGAGATGCTTCAAGAGAGCAAAGGGAAATGGCAATGAGCAGAGGAAAGGATGAACACCACAGAAGGAGCATTGCAAAGCCAAGTTTCACTCTGAGCTGGGAGAAAAGGGATTTTCTTTTATCTGTCCTGAAACTCGCAACATCCAGCTTCCTTGGAGTTCTGGCGTCATGAGAGAGGGAGGGAAGACTTTTCTGTCTCCACTTTCTCCATGCCATACATGATTTTACAAACTTCTATCACACCACCTCTATCTAGCCTTATCTCTGAACTAAAGAGGTCCAAACGCTGCGACCTTTTTCACAGGGGAGTCGGTTGTTTTGGCCGCCCTTTTCTGAACCTTCTCCAGCTCTACAATATCCAGAGGCGACCAGAGCCGTACACAGTATTCCAAATGCGGTCGCAGCCCATAGCTTTGTGTATTTGCACTGTGACAGCAGCAGTTTACATTTCGTCCAGGCAAGGTAGTGAAGCTGGAACGGATCGACGCTCTCCCCCGTTTTGGACATGCAAAGTTTTAGACCAAATTGCTGCCTGGTTGACAACCCTAATGAGACACACACATTCTCTCTCTCTGCTTGTGGATCAGCTTCCTTCTGTGTCGACTGAACAACCTGGGCAAATTTGTTTGCTGGCATCCCAAGGCTCTTCCACAGATAAGGGCACTGATGTAACCATGGCAAGAGGGGGAAGAAACCACACACACACACCCCAATGTTTCTCCCGTACCCCCTAATTGCTTGGATTCTATGTCTCTTTATTTGATTTAAATAGTGCTCATTAGCCAAACCATTTCAGAATCAAACAGGGTGTGGGGGAGGGGGAAGGATAACTATTTGCCTTCCACCACCTTCTCCCCGGTTGCCATCAGGGCCGTCAGGATCCTCCCTTGTGAACCACATCAGGCACATGGGAACCACTGGCAGGAAGGTCCATTGTCTGTGGAGCAAAGAGGGAGGGGAGGGAGCAGCCAGCCCACCAACCCAGGAGAGTCTGGATAAGTATTTACAGCCCATTTGCAGTGTTTGGGTGGGTGGGTGTGGATCGTCGGCAGGCCTCCCCCCGCCCCTACGAAGCCAAGGGTGGGCTTCACATGGCCGCGAGCTGCCCCAGCACCATCCGGAACTGCTGCGTGCTGTTGGCGAGCTCGTGGACCCGTGCTACCATGTCCTGGGCAGCGGCGGGGGAGGGGTACTGTAGCGCGGCCACCTTGGTGGTGGCCACAATCTCCTTGAGCATGTCACAAAGCAGGTTGCTGTAGTGGGTGACCTTGTGACGCACGTCCTGGGCCTTGGCCTGGCGCGAGAGAGTGTCCCCGATGAAGACCAGCTTGTGGGCGCTCAGGATGACGAACTTGCTGTGCGCCACGAAGATCTTGGGGGGCTGGTTGGTGCTGACGGCCGTGAAGAAGGCGTCCACGGCGTTGGTCAGGGTGGTGAGGTTGGCCTCGCACTGCTCCAGGTAGAAGAGGAGCAGCTGCCGGTCAGAGGGGCAGAGGGAGGCCCCATCCCCGGCCCGCACGTGGGCGTAGTGCTGCGGGGGCGTCCAGTTGGACAGGTCGTTGTCGATGGGCCGCGTGACCTCCTGCTCCAGGCGCTCAAACTGCTTCAGCTGCGGACAGGGGGGGAAAAGCACAGGGTGCTCCGTCAAGCAAGGGTGGGCTGCTGAGGACAAATGACTCCCCCCTACCCTTCCTGGCTTGCGACAGAATGAGCCAGCTTCCTCCCCGCAGGGTTACATGGGCTTTGCCACTGGGATGTGGTGGCATCCTGGAAGCCACAGATCCACACAACCGGCCCTACCGTTAGGCAGAGTGAGTACGTAGACTCAGGCAGCGGACTTTTGAAAACAGTGAATGGTAGGTAAATGTGGAGAGGCAGGAGTGGAGAGTGCCACATGGCCTGCCCTGCTTAAGCTACCCTGACATCCTTTACCATCAATGGCGACCAAACATTTTTGGGCCACCACGCCATTTGTTCCATGAACTCATCCCCAGTGCCTGCTACCCTGCCAAAAGCATTACAGGCGATGACCATGTTGTGCATGCGCCATTGACATGTGCCTGGCAAAAGCCTTAGTGGTGGGGCTGGACCCAGGAAGCCCACCCTACTCACCTGTTGCTGCTCCAGGTGCCCCTTCCCTTGCCGGATGATGTTGCCCCTCTCAAGCAGCTCCTTCTGGGTTTTCTCAAACTCTTCCTTTCCCTAGTTGTTTTTTAAAGGGGTGAAAAGGAGGTTAGTGCGGGTGCAACCAGAGGGACAGACCCACAGCACAAGGAACCCAGCTCCATCAGTGATAGAGCATCTGCTTGGCATACAGAAGGTTCAGCCCCCGGCACCTTCACTTTGAAAAGGTTCTTGGCCAAGGCATCCAAAAAAGGACTGGCTCCCTCCAGATGTTTTGGAACTGCAATTTCAATCAACCCCAGTCAGCACATCTGGTGGACACCTGGTTGGTAAGGACAGGTGTAGGCAACACTGCGCTACCTGGATCAGTGACTTGAGTGCAAAAAGGCATTTCCTACCTGCCCATTTTTCAGCTTTCCACCGCTGGGGAAGGGCCATACCCCAGTGGTTCAAGCATCTGCCTGGCAGGAGGAAAGTCCCCAGGTTCAAACCTTGACATCTCCAGGAGAAGGCTCCCTTGAGAGTCTGGAGCACCAGTACCCATCAACAGAGACAGCCCTGAGCAAGACAGCTCCATGATCTGACCTGGCAAAAGGCCACCACAGCTCTGAGAGCCTCTCCCTGGCAGGGACCAGAGACAGCACTGGAGGTGGTTGTGTGCAAATTTCAGTGCGGTAAGAGTGTTAGTCTGCTGCAGCAAAACCAAACAAGAATCTTGCAGAAGACATGTGACTGGTAGGCACACTCGTTGGTTGAGCTGAAAGATATTTTATCGTCTGAGGCAAAGGAGACAAGGGCAGCTCCTGCTCTTCTACATACAAAAACTGACTAGACCAGCAGCTGGAACATACTTCAGCACTGGTAATGGGGCAGCAGCCTTTACAGCCCCCGAGGGCAGCAAGCCTCTGGGCACATCTGCCTTGGGCAGCTGCCTCACCCTGTCTCATGAAAGGGCCGGCCCAGATTATTCGATTATAAAGCTGCAGGCAGGGCCTGTTTTTTTTTAAAGCAAAAATATTTGTGCAGGGCCCAAGAAACTTCAGAGGCTTTGTATATTAATGGCAATACTTAACCTAAGGCAAAGTGGGTGAAGAGCAGAGAGAGGAGGGGGCCTTCCTGCTTCTGCCACCTGGGCTACAAAGCTCCTTATCTAAAAAAAAGTCAATTTTGGAGGTCTTAATTTTGCTGGTGTTGATATTGACGTATTGTATCCTTGTTTTTAGATCTTCTTACGAATTACGTGAGGAAGATTTAATTTTGCTGTTTATGCTTTGATTATGTTTTCATTCACCGCTTTGGTTATATTCTTGCAATGACGCGAACCTTTACATGTCGTAAGCCGCCTTGAGCATGGCTTAACGATGAAAAGGTGGCAGATATATAGACGATGATAACGATGAAAAAATTAGCCTGGTGCCAGGCTTTTAAAATATAGAACTATTATATTCTGGCTGGATTTCCCAGGAGTGTGGCTTGGGGGCTGGAACCTAGAAAGGGGTTTGACCCCTGAGGACGACGGGACTTTGGGAACAGAGACGGAGGACCTAGCGAGGCCCGCCCCCCTCCCACCTGTCCATCTTCCCCCGGTGGTGGCTTGCCCCTTTGGAGGCTCTGTGTGTGTTATGTGTGTGGGCACTCTGCCCTTCCCCCCCACAGCACACCCCTCCTCTTCCCCGCCGCCCAACCCCACCTGCAGGTGGACGTAGTCATAGTCTTCCATCCAGCCGCCCTCGCTGTTCTCATACTGCCCCTCGGGCGAGTCCTGGGTCAGGAACTTGGGCGGAGAGGGCAAGGGCCGGGACTGGATGCTGCTTGCCTTGTCAGCCGGGGTGCCGTGGGCGAGGCTGCCATCCCCTCCCAGGGAGGTGGGGGGCACCTTGGTCCTCCGGAAGAGCAAGGAGGCGTTCCCGTGCAGGAAGGAGGCCAACTGCTTGGTGTCGTCCGGCACCCCCCGCGAGTACATTACCAGGTGCTCCAGGTCGTCCGGCGGGGACCCCGGCTTGCCAGCCACCAGGGCGCCGGGGGCCCAGCCGCAGCCATCCAGAGCCTGACTGTGCCGCAGCAGAGCCTGGTACACGTCCTCCATCTTCTGCACCTGCTTGCTCAGCTTGGCGTAGAGGGAGCGGTCCGAGGCCTGCGAGGCGCTGCTCACGGCCGCGCGGGCAAACTCCAGCAGTTCCCGCAGCGCCCCCCGGACGCTCTCGGCCGCCCCCTGGATGCGGGCCGCTTGCACCTCCATCTGCTCGGGGCTGCGCCAGCTGCCGCTGATGAAGGACATGAGGTAGGAGACGGCGGTGCCCACGTTGCCCTGGAGCCGGGCCAGCGTCTCCATGGCAACGTCCTGGTCGAGGTGCAAGTCCCTGTCAGGGGCCTCCTTGACGGGCACCATGTCCAGGGAGGAGCTGGAGTGGTTGCTGTGGGTGCTGCCTGTGCTGGAGGCCGAGAGGCGCTTGCCGTCGCCCGCCTTGCCCTCCCGGTCCACCTGGGGCGGCACGTCGTAGATGTAGTCGCCCTCCCCGTCTTTGCTGCCCACTGGCAGCTCCCGCGGCACGTCGTAGACCTCCTGGCTCGCCAGCTTCCTCAGGCCGGGCGGCACGTCGTAGATCTCCTGGGCCTCGGGAACCCCTTTGCTGGCGGCCGGAGGTACGTCGTACACATCCTCGGGCAGGTAAGGCTCTGCCGCCGGCGCGGAGGGCTGGGCAAGGATGAGTGGGTGCCGTAAGGGATCAAACGGCTTGGCCTTGCAGAAGACGGGGGGCACGTCGTAGGTCTCCTCCCGCGCGGGGCCATCGGGGACGTCCTTGCTGACCGATGGGGGGAAGTCGTACACCTGCAGGAGGGTATTAAAGCTGGCGTTTAATCCAGCAGCACATCTGTAGCCCCCTCAGCTTGTAACATGCTGCTAGTTCATTTCTGGGCCCCATTCAAGGTGCTCACTTGGGCCCCAAAGACTGACATTTTCCCTAAAGACTGTCTAAGGTGCCCAGATCGGCAAATGGGGGGGGGGGGCTCTTGGTAGATCCTCTGCCCTCAAGAGGCTCTGGGGTAGGGTCTAGCATTCAGGTTTTTGTTTCTTATCATCTGTGGCCATAAAACTGTTTCTATTAAGTTACACAATAAATCAATCCTATGCTTCAGAGAGTGTACTTGGTGGGGTGGGTGTTTCTTGGCAATTTTTGTTTTGCCTCCGGGTCAATCGCCTTCTACTCTGCTGGGTCAGAGTTGCTCTCCTAAGCACTAGGGCAGCCCCCCACTGCAGCCCCTGCCACTGAAGATAGAGGCCCTCCCCACTTCCACGCCTCGGAAACCCTGCATGCCATACTCACCACCTGCAGGCCTTTTTCCACACTGGGGGGCACATCATAAATATCCTGGGCATGAGCCAGATCCCTGCTGTTGGGGCCCTTGACTGCCAAGGTGGGGGTGTCATATACCTGGCAAAAGGAACAAAGGAGAGCAAGAGATGTTAATTTCTAATGAGTTTGAAACCCATTGAGGGCCGGTGATTTGGAAGCAGAGGTTTCACCACCAACCCACATGCGTGGGCCCCATGCCAACCAGACTCCCCCCACTTCTAGAAGGCATCACTCACCTCCTGGCTGCCTTGGTTCCCCAGTAGACCCCTAGTCGGGGGCACGTCATAGATCTCCTGGAGGTGGCGGGGAAAGTCGTACTCATCCTGCTCTCCTTTGGGGGAGTCATAGACGTAGACCTGACCCACACGCGTGGGGACGACAACCTGCACGGGGGGGAAAAGAGGGGTGGATGAGACAAAGTTTGCTGAGCTAGGCAGGTGGGAACCTGGCTGGGAAAGTCACAGGTCTGACCTCCACTTGCCCGAGGCTAACTCTGGGGGCCCCAATGTGTCTGAGACACCGCAACATCTCAGGCTCACCTATTGCATTCACCAAGGATCCTTTCCAACCCCCCTGCACTTTTAGGGGGGTTGGGAGATGCCCTAAAGACTAGCTCAAAGTCACCCCGAAAAGCCAGGGGTGGGGGGACATCAGCGCCCCTCCAAGCATTCAGCCAAGTCCAATGCACTATCCAGTGCCCTGACCTCTTCGCTGCTTCCTTATGCCCAAATGCTGCTGAAGAGCTTTTTCACGCTGGGGCGAACAGTACTGGGAACACACCACTGATCCAACAAGCTCTTCCCTAAAAGATGCTCCTAAATAGCCTGTGTGTGTGTCACATAGGATGCAGCTCGTCCTTTCCTCCAGCAGAGGGCGCTGCCTGCCCACAGGCAGCCCCCATCTGGAAGGAACCTCCAGGCACCTTGCAGCAGGAGCCCCTTCTCCAGGGGAGGCAGGGATGACATCATGTTCTATTTCTGGCTCTGAGCAAATGAAGGGCTTTGAGATGAAGCACAATGTGCGCTCATTCCCTCATGGGCGGCCACTTCTGGAGGCAGGGGGGGGGGAGACGAGGGACCCTGCCGCAGACGCCTTCCCGGCTGCCGCTAGTTTGCAGGGGGGGGGGGGAGTGCATGCATAGAGAGGCATCGGAAGCCAGAGGCTGCAGGAGTCTCCAAGCGCAGTCAGAGTGCAATACAACGAAAACGTGGAATCCCGCTACAAGGTTAAGCAGGAATGAGTCTTTGCAAAAGCCGGCTCTTGCTAACTAAATTATAACAATGCACTCAGGCTGCATTATTTATCCTGCTTCTGATCTGCCTGGGGTAGGGTAGAGAGCTGCCAAAAGCACTGAAGCTCAGAGAGGAGGCAAGTTGCCCCCGCATGCCGTAAGAGCACAAGAAGAGCCTATTGGTCAGGCTCATGGCCACCCAGGTGCCTGTGGGAGGCGGATAAGCTGGACCTGAGCACAAGGGCAATTTCTCCCCTCCTGCGGTTTCCAGCAGCTGGTATTCAGAAGCATTGCTGCTTCTGACCTTGGAGGCAGAGCAGAGCCATCATGCCTAGTAGCCACTAATGAAGACTCAGCCCTCCTGGAATGGGGACCTCAGAAATGGCAGGTGGGTCAGAGAGGGGATGGATGCAAAACATGGTGTCTGCAAAGTCTGGTATACAGAAATTAGTGAGCCAAAGCACTCCTAAGAACATAGGAACGCAAGAAAAGCCCTGCAGGATCAGGCCCATGGCCCATCACATCCAGTATTCTGTTCCCAGGTACCTGTGGGGAAACCCGCAAGCAAGACCCGAGCACAAGAGCCCTCTTCGCTTCTGCAGTTTCCAGCAACTGGTATTCAGAAGTATTGCTGCCTCCAACCACTGAGGCACAGAATGGCCCTTTGAGCTGGTAGCAGCTGATAGCCCTCTCCTCCATCATGAATTTGTCTAATTATTTTCTAAAGCCATCTAGGTTAGAATCATAGAGTTGGAAGAGACCACAAGGGCCATCGAGTCCAACCCCCTGCCAAGCAGGAAACACCATCAGAGCACGGTTGGTGGTCATCATTTCCTCCTGTGGGAGCGAGTGCCATAGTTCAACTATGTCACTTTTCAACCACTTACCCCCAATCCCAAACTCCACAAATGACCCCAGGCAAGAGCTGGCGGCAGCGGTGGCAGCACCACCAATTGTCTCCATAGCAAATTTGCAACCTCTCCCATGTAATACCCCAGATCTAAAGTCTCCCAAGACACTTTGGATGCTAGAATCTACAGATCTGATGCTTTGTAACAAAAATTAAAAGAAGCAGGAAAACCAACATACAATTAGCAAGTTAATAAGATGCTCATGAGGGTGGGAATACGCATTTTGCAGGTTTTCAAGCCAACAGAGCCTGCCAAGGACTTCCAGATTTCATCATGCACAGCCCACGTATTCCAAACACCACAGCCATAAGGTGTGGGAACTTGTTTTGTTTGGAAAAGGGGAAGTGGTGGTTCTCAGGATGGCAGCCATCGAACCAGAGGTGTGCTTGATGTCATCGCTTCATATCTTTAGGAGAACCTTCACTTATGGTCAGTGGTCAAAATTCCCCAGCTGTTACTGGACTACAACTCCCACCACCCCGATCCCTGGTCCTGCTAGCTAGGGAGGATGGGAATTGCAGTCCAACAACAGCCGGGGACGACCCAAGTCTGAGAAACACTGGTTTAGAGTGACTGACTAGGACCTGGGAGAGACCAGGGTTCAAATCCCCGCTTGGCCATGAAGCTTTCCCTTGATGACCTTGGGGGACAGGCACTGCCCCTCAGCCTAACCTAAAAAGGGCAGAAGACCCCTGCATGCTACCTGGAGCTCCTCAAAGGTGGGATATAAATGCAATATGTTAACGTGGCACTGCCCTGAAAAATGGAGATCTTCCCGTGGCACAGAAGCAGCCAGATGCTGCAACACAGGTTTGCCCAGAGTGGTGCCACTCGCACAGCACCACCGTGAGCCACTCCCCCAAAACACACACACACACACAAACACACCCTGCATGGTACCCCTTTGGCCTGCCCTCAAAGGCAGGAAAAAGCAACAAGGTCACCGGCGAGGAAGAGGCGTGGGTGGGGACCTAGCAGGCAGGCAGGCCTGGCCGGCTGCCAAGTAAGAGAAGCTTTTTTCCTGAATCATTTACTGCTCTGCCAGGCCTGCTCCATCCAAATCTCCTTCAAGGTCAGCCAGCAGCAGCAGCAGCGGCGGCTACTTAACGGAGGACAAGCATGCCGGGTGCTTTGCCTACTGCCGACACACAACACACAGGACTATCTGTCTCCCCAGCCCAATACTGTCTGCACGGACTGGCAGTGGCTTTCCAGAGATTCAGGCCGCTAGAGCCTCATCTACCTGGAGATGCCAGGGATTGAACCAGGGACTGTCTGCATGCAAAGCATGAGCTCTGCCAGTGAGCTGTGAGCCACCTCCTAAATATAAAACAAGGACTGTATCTAACTACGTTCGGCTCAGGGCAGACACACGGAAATTAACAGACCCAGGTTTGTCATGTCCTTGTTTGCCTTTAGTTGGCTGAGGAAGGCAAGGGGAGCAAACAGACTAACCAGAGAGCATTTTCCCTGGGTTTTCCCAGGTTGGTTGGTTGGTTGGTTTTTGCTTTCGGGGGTCAAAATTCCGTGGTTAGGAATGCATTGGAAACTTCCTCATAGGAATCAATGGAAATAGCCAACAGGTTATGCAAACGCTCGCCTAAGGAACGATTTCTGGGGAACGCCTTGTGTTTGTGAAGCAGGACCTGTGTGTACTAACACTGGATACAATCTGAAGGTTCCAGTCCTCAAGGTTCTGAATAAAGCTGGGGTTCAGGTATGACACAGGAAGCTACCTTACACCGAGGCTGTGTATACACCATTCATTTAAAGCACATTTCTCCTCCCCAGCCCCAAAGATTCATGGGAACTATAGTTTGTTTAGAGCGTTGGGAACTGTAGCTCTGCGAGGCGTAACGACAACTCTCATGATTTTGGGGGCAGGGATAGTACATGGTGTGTACACAGCCTCAGTCAGGCCACTGGTCCACTTAGCTCAGTATGGCCCACTCTGATGTACAGCAGCTCTCTCTGGGGTTTCAGGCAGAGGTTCTCTACCGGGGACTGAATCTGGGAACTTCTGCAGGCAAACCAAATGCTCCAACCCTCTGCTCTCCCCTTGCACTGCAAGACCCGAAATTTTGATATGGCACTCTGGGAGAAACCAAAGGCATCAGCCATGCCTCCTTACAAGAGCCTTGTCTGTCTCCAATCCAGAAACAGGCTTGCCCAGGAACCAAGTTGAGGGAGCCTCAGAGATGGATAAGGAGGCCTCCCACCCAGAGGGAGGCCATTTCCTTTCCCAGGGAGAAACAGGAAACCGCTCCTCACAGCCTGCTGCAAACCCCCCTCCCCAGGGGAAAGCCATGCTGGAGCACACACACGCCCCTGTCTCCACCCTCCACTGCAGAGGGAGGCAGCGGAGGCAGGAGGCAAGGTGCAAATCTCCAGGAAGCTCTCTGTAAAGAATGCAAGCACCAGCACTTGGGGGCAGGGGAAGGCAACCCAGCCCCAGCAGTCCAGGAACACTAACTGCCTCTGCCCCCATTCAGAGAAGCAAAGAGCTTTTAAAAGCAGACAGTAGTAGGTTGATTGCCACAATGGGGTAGCGGCCGCCTGCCCACAATGAGCAAGGCAGGCTGAAAAATCCCAGGGCATCTTTGCAGTCTGAAGCATGGCTGCCGGTGTTGCAAATGGATTTCTATCCCCCCTGCAGGAACCCCCAGGCCAGCAGAGCCAGCAGGGTGCAGCAGGAACCAGCTTAAGGCAGTGCTCTTTAGGCTGGCTCCTCTGGTGTTACTATTGATGTTCAGCTGAAAGACTTTTATGTGTGAGTGTTCTATTGTAGTTTTAGCAATTCATGCTTACCTGTCAGGATAAAAATATTTTAAACAAATTAGTTAACTGCATTGCTTAGCTGTGATTCCTGCACTGCAGGGGGTTGGGCTAGATGACACTTGAGGTCCCTCCCAACTCAACAATTCTATGACCACCAACCACCCTTTGCTACAACTCCCTGGTCCCCAACCTCTACTTTAGCTAAACATAAGAATGGCTTCTTCTGCTTTCCCCCATTTACCTTTCTCCTCTTGCCTCCCCTATATTAAAATATACCTTGTAAGCCCATCGGGGCAGCCGACTGTGGTCTTGAATGCCATGCACATCAGCAGTGCTTTCATTAGTGTTCTAACAACAGCAACCTGCATGTGTTTCCTCGCTGTTCTTCTTTCAACGGCCTCCCCCCATTCCACATTTATGCCCATGCACCTGAACTCAACGGGCTCCGTTTTACTATGAGCTCGATGGGACAGGGAGCTTCTTTGCGTCTGTTTCTCCTTGCACGTGTCTGAGGGGCAGCTGATGTAGCCCTCTCCAGATGTCACTGGGGCCCCCAGCTCCCGTCCGCCTCTGCAGCCAGCCTGCCCAATGGTCAGGGTTGATGGGAGCTGGAGTCCAACAACCACCTCTGAAGGGCATCATGCTGGACACCCCTGGCGTGCGAGGCTGTACAGATAATTCATAATAATGGACCCCGTGCAGAAGAAGCACTTTCTTCTCAGCCGTGAAAAGCGCCCAGCTCAGCAACCGCTAACAAGGAACCATTTATGCCCCTTTCTCTTTCTCTGTGCCAAAGGTCGCAAGACAATGCCTTCACAGCCACTTTACTACCACTGTCTGACTGCAGGAATAAAAGTCACTCTTGCCCACTCTGACGGCAGAATGGTGGATTTCTCCTGGGAGCATCACTCCTGCATCTGACTCTCTGCTCTCATGCTAAACCCGGGGGCGGGGGGGAGGTGGAGAGACCTGCCTCTGCCTATTCACAATGGAAGCCAGTGATGGGCAAGAAACCGGCTCTTCCTGCTAAGGGGGTTTTCAACATTTTAAGACTTGATTCTGCTTTTCTTAAAATTAAAAGGGGGGGGGGGGAGAGAGAGAGATAATCTACTTTCATTTGCATAAACACACAAGTTGCAATTTAAAAATAGATCAGACAGCTCTCCTGCAGCGTGAAGGGAAGTAGGACAGAATACTGAATCGGTGCTTGATTTGCTGGCCAGTGTGCCTGTCAAATGCATTGCAAAGCTGCCCAGGCTTAAGCAAGGCAGAGTTGGTCCTCATCGGCCTATACAAGCAATCACCCGCTGGCATGCGGACAGGGTATCCTTTCTTTATACCAGCCTGGCATCCTCCAGATGTTTTGGACTGCATCTCCCACCAGCCCCACTCTGGTGCTCTGAAGGAACATTAGAACATAAGAACATCCTGCTGGATCAGGTCAACGGCCCATCTAGTCCAGCATCCTGGTCTCACAGTGGCCAGCCAGATGCCTCTTCTGGGAAGCCTGCAAGCACGATTGAAACACGAGAGCAGCCTTCCTGTGGCTTCCAGCAACAGGTATTCAGAATCATTGCTGCCTCCAGCTGTGGAGGCAGAGCATAGCCACCATGGATAGAAGCCACTATTAGCCATCTCCTCTATGAATTTGCCTAATCCTCATTTAAAGCCATCACTGCCTCCCGGGAGAGAGAGAGTTCCAAAATTTAACTAGATGCTGTGTGAAGAAGGGCTTTCTTTTACCTGTCTCGAATCTTCCTAAATTCAGCTTTACTGCATGTCCACCAGTTCTAGCAACGGGAGAGGGAGAAAAACTTACCCCCACCCACTTCCTCCATGCCATGCATAATTTTATAAACTATCCTGTCTCCCCTTCCTTGCCTTTTCTCTAAACTAAAAAACCCCAAACGCAGCAACCTTTCTTTAGAGGGGAGTCGCTCCATCCCCTTGATCGTTCTGCTTGCCCTTTTCTGAACCTTTCCCAACTCTGCAATATCCTTTTCGAGGCGAGGCAGTCAGAACTGTACGCAGTACTCTAAAGGCGGCCACACTATAAACTTGTCAAGTGAACAGGTGCCCTTCAGAGGCTTACCTTTCCTTGGGTCTTTGGGGCTTCCCATCCCCGTCCATCCAGCGAAGGAGGCACCTGGTAGATGTCCTGCCCCAGCCCCGCGGGAGCTGGAGGGACCTGGTAAATGTCCTGGGGCGGGCTGGCCGGTCCAGCTGGTACTTGGTACACCTCCTGGCATTGAGAGGGGCTCTGCTTTGGGTAGACGGGGGGCTGCTTGCCCGGGGGCGACTGGAACTGGCCCGCGGTCAATGTGCCCTGGTGGAGGGGTGCCCCCGGGGCCTTGTTTGGCGCCGGCACCAGGTAGACATTGTCCTCTTGGGGCAGGAAGGAGGGGTGCATAGAGGTGTACTGGGAGGCGGGGGACGTGGTGTAGCCCCCTTGGTGAGTGTAGGCCAGGGGGGTCTGCCCCGTCGGTTGCGGCGTCTGCTGTGGTGTCTGTGCCGTCTGCTGTGGCAGCTGCTTCTTGTCGTACATGCCCACCAAGATCTTGAGGCGGTTGCCGGGGACGATGCCCTGCCGCCCGTGCAAGGAGCAGAGCCACCAGCCATCCAGCCCTTGCGTGTTGCGCTCCAGCACCGTCATGATGTCGCCCTTACGGAAGGAGAGTTCATCAGGGGACTCGGCCACATTGTCGTAGAGCGCCTTGGCCAGCACGTTCTGCAAGAGAGGCAGAGAGGAGGGGAGTTAGGGTGGCCAGCAGGGGGTGGCAGAGGGCATGGGGGAGAGGGGGAAGACAGCGGGTGGCAGGGCACCAATGGCTGAACAGTGTAGAGAGAGGTCACCAACTGGCACACCCCCCCCCAAGCTGTACAAGATGGCTCCCAGAGGTACAATTTGCAGTCAGCATCACATAAACTGTGCTCAAAAGGATCACCGGAGTGAAGTGTTCACAGAGGGGCCATACTCGCGCCATAAATTTAAACACTATGATACCACTTTAAACAAGACACGGTTTCTCCCTCTCCCTAAGAATTATGGGAGCTGTAGTTTGTTTTAAGGGTGCTGAGAGTTGCTAGGAGGCCCTTATTCCCATCGCTGAGCTGCAATTCCTAGAGTTCCCTGGGAAGAGGGATTGACTCTGGAAACTGAGGCTCTTTCAGAGCAATAGGGGTCTTAAACTGCTTTAAATATACAGTGCAGACAGGGCCTGGGCTACATTCCACCCACATCAAAGTAAATGGTTTCTACACACGTACGAATCTAGGTAAGCACAACTGCACTTCAAGGACACATTCCAGCCAGGCAAAAACATTGGAGAGGGCTGTGGAGCAGCGCTGGCGGGGTGTGTGGCCTGGGAAGTGGGGAGTCTCGGGAGCCAAACTGAGAGGCTGGGGTGTGGGGGCTGCATCTGGCCCTCGGTCTTGCGGTTCCTCACCCCACATATACCCACCCCCCTGCCCATTGCACCTCCTCTTTCTAAATTAAGACTAAGGAGACACCTTCACTGCTATAGCCAAAAAGGGTTGGCCTTCAGAAGGACGTGAGGGTGCCCATGTGACTGCCCCAGCCCAGTTCATGCAAAGATCTCCTTTGAAGTGGAAAAGGAAAGTAATTTATCAATGAGCAAAGGTCACTGGGTGGAACGTCCCAGGCAGGACTCTCCGGTCTGTATACAGAACTTGCCTGGTGCCCTAGTAAGAAGAAATGCTCCCTCTTTTGCAGGTGAAATTAGTTGGCTCTCCCCCTCCCCACAAATAAAGAACATGAATACACATGGGGGAAATGGGTTAAAAACAACAAACCTGGAGCTAGAGACTTGTGTCGGCCTATTTATAAAAAGCGCTGTTTGCAAACAAAATGACACGCCTAACCGTTGAGCAGGAGATGAGAAGCTTTCAGAAAAGACACCCTGCGCTGAAACGAATATACACACATCTGTGCCTTTTAAAAGAGAGCAAAGGCAATGGAAATGATGTAAGATTTTAAAAGGACGCAAAAGAAAAAGAAAAAAAGATACAGACTCTGGGTGATTTTGAACAAAGCAGGAGACACACAAGCAAAGTGGAGCTGCTTTGAGAAGAAAGGCCAGTTTACGGTGCAATTCCAATGCATGTCTACTCGGAAGTAAGTCCCACCGAATTCAGTAGGACTAAGTAAGTGCACACACAGAGGCCTACCTGGAAGTGTCATTGGACTCAGTGGGGCTTATCTCAGAGGAATGGCTGCTGCAGATTCCAGCTCAAACCAAACTAATCATTCAGGGTTGTCCTTCTCCTCTCCCTCCCGCATGCCCCGCTCTCTCCTTTTAACCCGACTTTCTTTGCCCCATTCATATGGGGAAGAACCATAGCTCAATGTCAGAGTCTGCCTTGAATTCCAGGCAAGGCTGAGCGAGAATCCTGTTAAAAGTCCTGCGGAGTCGCTGCCAGTCAGTGCAGACAATACCGAGCTCAATGGGCCAATGGCCTGGCTGGGGATAAAGCAATTCCTGTGATCATTTGCTCTTATTTAAGTTTAAAGAATGCAAAGCAAATAAATAGCAGCAAGTGCTGCTGTTCATTAGCCGGTTTCTTGTTCTTTCAGATTGTGAAGTGTTCCAAACCCAACAACAGAGGAGGATTTTATCAGATGGGCTGGCTGGCAGACCAGCTAAGGGCCTGGGACCCTCCTTCTAGCACAAGCAAAGTCTCTCCTCCCCACTTCTCCTCTCCTGGGCAGGAAGTGCCAGAGCTGTGAGTCAACCAGAGAATTCCCTTTGTGCGTCCTGCTGCCCTCCACCCCTCCCGCAGCAGCAGGACACACAGAGATTCAGAATTTACTTCAAAACATAAGTTTCTACTGGAGCCCCAAGGAGGTGGTGGAAGGGGGAAGCCAGCCTCTTTTGAGTCTCGATGCCAGTCTCTCATCGGTCTTTTCCAACCAGTGCCCTTCATGACTGCCATCAAACTGTGCTGGCTTGGAGTTGATGGGAATTGTAGTTGAAAACAGTCAGAGGGCACCAGATTGGGGAAGATTTCATACCTTCCAAACTATGCCTGTTTATAAAAAGGTAAATAACAGGCTTTTTCACTGCGGTCTATCAATTGCTAGCAGGTGCCAACCCAAAAGGGCCACCCTTAAAATATACTTGGAAAAAACATTCCATTTCACATTTTGGTGCTGGATCACACAACAGATTTGCTACTTCTGAACATCACTGTTATGTGGAAGTTTAAGCTTCAGTATGGCATGCCAAGCAGTAACTCTGCAGAATGAGTTACCATCACTCAACTCCATACTTAATTCTTTAGTGAGATGCCAGTCTACAGATCTCACCAAACTGCTCTGCCTACTAATTCTTGGCCCCTTCTACATCTCGCTCTCAGTTCTAAGTCCCTTCATGCTTCCTGTACTGCGTTTCCTCCCAGGAGGCCGAAAGCACATTCCCCCCCAGCAAGACTGTTTTGTTTACAACTAGTGGCTGATTGAGGCCCCTTAAGCAAAGAATGAGAAGAAAATGTTTTGTACGGTTTTCAAAGCCCAAGTGGGCGTTCACAGAAAACACAGGGAAGGGGGAGCTGTCTGCTGGACAAGAGAAAAAGAAGGGTGATAGCTGAGTGGCACGACACAAGCTTTGTAAGGAGAAGGTGTCAGGTTCAATACGGAGGGTCCCCAAGTAGGGCTGGTAGAGACCCATCTGAAATCTCGAAAGAGAGCTTTTGGCACTCAGTGGAAGACCAGGGATTCCCAAACTGCAATTAGTGGACAGGACCACCAGTTTCATCCAGGTGGTCCGCAGTGCTTCTGTGGATTTGTGGCTGAAGACGAGAGAAAGCATGCCCATCGCATTAAATACTCGTACCAACTTTTACTTGTATTTTATTGCTTCTTTTATTTCTCACGTTGTGTTTTATTGTGTTGCAACTTGAATACAATAAAACACAATTACCTAAGAAATAAAAGAAGGGAGGGGGAAATGCAATTAAAGATCATACAACATCTAGCACAGGGCATTGCAATTGCTAAAGAATGGGCAGAGGAATATCATTAGATGGTCTGCCCAGACCCTCGGCAATTTTCAAGTGTTCCATTGGGGTGAGGGAACTTGAAAATTGCTGGTATACTCTGTATTTACCAGCTCCCTATGTTCTGAGGACTCTACGTGTTCTTGCTGTGGCCAAAAGTCAGATCCCCTCCTATCTAACTATCCGCCAATGAAAGAAGATTCTTTCCACCTTTGAGGTCACAGGTACGTGGTGTGCAGACAGTCACCAACTTGGCTATACAGTTGGCCGATGCCAGGGACAGGGAACCTGTGGCTCCCAGAGCTTGTCGGGACTTCAACTCCCATCAGCCTCACCCAGCACAATCAATTATCAGGAATTATGGCGGTTGTAGTCCAACAACATACAGAAGGCAGCAGGTGGATTCCAATCCCTGCTTTATAGCAAAGTAGATGTGCGGTTGCCACTTTGCATGATGGTGAAACATGTTTACATTTCCCCGTGTCGCTGCTTTTGGAACACACTCACGCCGGAGGCCATGATGGCCACTGACATGGATGGCTTTAAAAGAGAACTGAACAAATTCATGGAGGGCAAGGCTTTCAATGGCTACTAGCCACAATGGCTCTGCTCTGCCTCTGCGGTGGGAAGCAGGATGCTTCTGAATGCCAGTTGCTCCCCTCCCACCACAGGAGGGGAGAAGGCTCTTGTGCTTGAATCCTGCTTGTGAGGTTTCCCAGTAAGGCATCTGGTTGGCCACTGTGAGAATAGGATTCTAGACTATAAGGGCCATTGACCTGATCCAGCAGTCTCTTATGTTCTTCCCCTAAACTGAAGTTCTAACCTTTCCCCTAACCCTTCCCTTCTCCCTTTGCAATTGTTGAATGGAGATGAAGAAAGAGCACAGATCTAAAAACGATGTTCTGGTTAAATCTCTCCGAGTGTGGGTAAAACCGCCAGCCTTGCCTTGCGCTGCTCCCTATACGTGCTCTTTTATGGGGCTATTATTTGATTGCTTATACATGGCACACCCCTTTTCTCTTCCAACCACCAAACTGACCACAGGGTGACTGTGCAAGACAGCTTTTACTGCCATGCTAGGATAGGCTGAGGGAAACCCTCTGTAGGGCTTCTCCTACAAATTTGATACTGCCTTCCAGGAATTCAAAATATTTTCCAGGCCTGCCCAAACTTTACCAGAAGAGGCCCTCCTGGAATAGGAGACTGAGTCCGAAAGCTAGGATACTGTAAGCAACAGGCTCGACTTCCCACCCTCCCCAAGGGAAAGAGGCAGAAAAGGCATCTATGGAAACGGGGCCTCAGATGGACAGATATGTTGCAGAGGCTGGGGGGGGGGGCAGAGAAAAGGAAGAGTTGCTGCTGTTAACAGCCCTAAATGCAACTATGGGGCATCTGGTCAGGCACTGTTGCAGCCCCACAAAAATACTGGCTATGCCACAAACACTCTCCACATTACTGGGGTTACATGGGTTCCTCTGGCGCAGAACTGCACCTAACAGCACAATGGCACTTTTTTTTTTACCACAGTGGTTCCCAAAGCAGTTTACAGTAATATTATATTATATTAATAGGCAGGTCATGTTGCTTTCACAATGACAGATCCCAGTGGAAGCACGGGAATTGGAAAATTGCTTTCCTGAATATTGTTATTGTGCTGATTTGAGAAAATTCCTCAGAAATCTGGCCCAGAGGTGGAAAGAAGAAATAGTCCCTACCAGAGAGGAATGGCAAACTAAACTGATGGACTACGCTGAAATGGCAAAGCTGACTGGAAAGCTCAGGAACCAAGAAGACAAAAACTTCAGGAAAGAATGGAGGGAAATTAAAATTTATTTAGGAGACCACTGTAAGCAGATGAAAACATTAGCAGAATTATTATTACACTTGTAGTGTAATAAATACGATGGGTAATATAGATAGATATAAAACATAGATTACGATACAATATGCAGTTGAAAACATTGACATTAGGACCCACTGAGGGGATGGAGGGGGGAAGTCATGAGAGTCAGAGAAATCTCTGTATATGGAAATGTATTTGTATATGTTTGAAAAACGTTTATGTTTGAAAAATGTGTATGTTTGAAAAATCAAATTAAAAAATCACAAAAAAGAGAAAATTCCTCAGAAACAAGCCTCCCAGTGAAATTTCTCTTTGGAGGGCAGCCTTGCACCTTGGAGCAAGCATCCTCCCCCCCCCCCCGGGCTGTTTATTGCTTGGGCTGGAAGGACAGAGCAAGGCATGCCAGGTCAGATGTGCCTCTGGGGAAAGGAATGCAAGAAAACAACATCTAGGTGGACAAGACCTGCCATGCACACCACAAAGAGTAACCTTACTCCGAAACTTCCACAGAAAACACTAAGCTTTTTTGGGGGGGGGCGGGCCTCCGCCACTGAGCTGTGACCCTCTTCTGGGTTTTAAACAAGGGATGTCCCCAACCTTAGTTTAGGAAGCTACAGGTCCCAGAATTATTTGAGGGAAGATGTGGCTGTTTAAAGTGGTACAATACAGCTTTAAATGAGGCCAAGCATTCAGATAACTAACCATTTAAAAGAGTTTTTTGTTCGCTGCCTTAAAGACAGGTTCAAATAAATGTATTTCAAATGTACAGTGGTACTTCAGGTTAAGTACTTAATTCATTCCGGAGGTCCTGAAACTGTTCTTAACCTGAAGCACCACTTTAGCTAATGGGGCCTCCTGCTGCTGCCGCGCCGCCGGAGCAAGATTTCTATTCTTATCCTGAAGCAAAGTTCTTAACCTGAAGCACTATTTCTGCGTTAGCGGAGTGTGTAACCTGAAGTGCATGTAACCTGAAGCGTATGTAACCTGAGGTATCACTGTATTTCAAACAAATAAAAACAGAAAAACAGGCATGCTATCCATGGTGCCCAACCAACCTCACTCCCTAAAGCAGCTGTCACCAACTTCAGATGTCAACGCCCTCCAGATGTTTTAGACTACAACTCCCATCAGGCCCAACCAGGTGCTGATAGGAATTGTAGTCCAAAGCAGCTGAAGGGCACCAGTTGGTGGAAGATGCCCAGTAGAAAACAAGTCATGAAAAAGGTGGAAGACAAGACTAATTATTTATTGTATTCATATCCCACCTTTTTCTCCCTCTCATTTAATCCTCAGAACAATCCTGCAAGGTAGATTAAGCTGGGAGGCCATGACCTTCCCTTTGTCTTCTCCAGCTGTCCCTGGAAACACTTTGCAGGGATGAAGGAGTTAAACCTCACCTTCCCTCCAGTCAGAGGAATGCATGATTAATGTAGCTTTAAAAAAATACTAAAAAAAAAAAAAAGGCAGCAGGAAGCTGTCCAAAGGGCCCTAGTTGCTCAGATAGGAGTTTGATTACAACATAATGCTCATTGCTCACGCAAAGTCTTACTAAATGGGAATCTTGTGAGATCATACACTGAAGGGGAAATTACTCTGAAAGCAGGTGACTCACTTCCATCAAAAAGTCCTTTAAAGCAGGGCCCCCATTTCCGGCTGAGCCGTCTCCCCAGCCCTTGAACCAGTCTAGACCTTAGCCTGCCCCACTCACCTATGGTTTGGGACACAGGCCTATAGCTCAATAAAAACGTGCTGTCTTGGGGGACACACACACAAACACCACCGACTGGTTTCGCTGAAAGGAGGCCAAGAGCTGTCACTCCAGAAGGGTCTCACTAACATTTCAACCCACGATTTCAACAAAAAAGAAACACAGGAGAGTATGTGACTGGCAAGGGATATAAAAGGAAATCCTAATTCCCCACATTATGCTTCTTTTTAGGGGTGAGGAACCTCAGGACCGAGGGCCAGAGGTGCCCCCACCCAGGCCTCTCAATTTGGTCCTTGAAACTTCCCACTTCCCAGGCCACACACCCCGCCAGCCCTGCTCCAGAGCCCCCTCAATTGCTTTCGCCTGGTTGGATTGTGTCCTTGAAGTGCAATAATGCTTACCTAGATGTACATTTATGTGTGTAGAAACATGTGGCTGGAATGTAGCCTAGATCCTGTCTGTACTGTCCATTTAAAGCAGTATCATACCACTTTAAACAGGCATGGCTTCCCCCAAAGAATTATGGGAGCTGTCGCTTGCTAAGGGTGCTGAGAGTTATTAAAACACCCCTATTCCCCTGAAAGAGCTACAGTTACCAGAGTCAATCCCTCTTCCCAGGGAACTCTGGGAATTGTACCTCTGTGAGTACCTCTCTCAGCACCCTTAAAACAAACTACAACTCTAAGACTTCCTTGGGAGAACCCATGCCTATTTAAATTGGTATGATACTGCTTTAAATAGACAGTGCAGACAGGGTCTAGGCTACATTCCAGCCACATAAAAGTAAAAGCCATGCCTGTTTGAAGTGGTATGAAACTACTTTAAATGTATATTTATATATTCCACCCACTTTCATAACTGGCCCCACCAACTACTGTCATGCGGCCCCAGGAAGGTTCCCTATGATCGAACACGGCCCTCAATCAAAAAAAGGTTTCCCCTCCCTCTGCGCCACAGGAAATTCTTAGTCCAATCTTGATGGGAGACAATCTGTCCCTTCCAACCAGCATCCAGATAACTTTTCAGAAACAGAGAGACAAAGCACTGCCCAAACTGAAACTATGAATGCAAGATAGAAAACAGCAGCATTACAACACAACTCTCTGGATCTTTACTTGTAATTAAAACCATTCAGTACAGTGGGATTTACTCCAAAGTAAGTGGACAGGGGGTTGCAGCTCTAATGAGATTGAGAAAATACTGCTTCACAGACAAAGTTAAAAGCCCTTCACAAACATCTCAGAAATCCCCACAACAGCGCTGTAGGGTAGGTCTGCTTTGCAGAAGGAAGCTAGAGAGAGTAGTTTGCCTGAGAATTAACCATGAAGAGCAAACTAGAAGTCTAAAGTAATGCAACAATAGCAGTTGGCTTTCAAGAGTGAAAATTCATAGTCCCAATATTATAATCAAAAGGACCCAGGAAGTAAGGTGATGCTAATGACAGTCCAGTTTCTACTCCTTATGTTGGGATCTTCCTTCCTTCAGGACTTACAATGTGGTTCTCTCTACATAATCTTCGAGGAAACTAGTGAAATTGGCATTAAGTAAAGTGGGCTCTCCAAAAAGCTCCATTCACCACAAATAGCAGGCAGAAACTAGGATGCACAAGCTCTTCCCAACCGAAGAGGAACAAAGGATAAGGATTATTTATTTTCTGCTCAAAGGGCCGAAATGTACATTCCACCCAGGCCACTAAAACTTGCTCAGGACAGCTGCTTCTCCAGGCAAAAGCTGACTGCTCCAGGTACAGCGTCAACGCAATAACGCTTGGTCCTTGCAACATTGTCGTTGAAAGTTTATTGTCTTGGCTGCAGGCCATTGCAAAACAGAAGTATGCATACAGCAGACAATAAAGCACTGTACCACACGAGCAGCCAAATAAATGTGTGCCAGTCGCTCTGCAAAGGCAAACAATTGAAAAGCTGGTGTTTTGCACAGTCTTAAAGAGGATAATTATGGAGCATGCAGTCCCCAGTTCAAACGTCCCAAATGCTATGAACTCATTACTTCATGCAAAAATGGCCACCAGCTTGGGTGGTTTTACACAGATTTGTGGAGGAAATGTTGGCTATGTTCTATCTCTAATGTCAGAGGTAATAAGGAGAGCCTGCTGGATCAGGCCAATGGCCCATCTAGTCTGGCATCCTGTTCTCACAGCGGCCAACCAGATGCCTGTGGGAAACCCACAAGCAAGATTCAAGTATCTATATCCCACCTTTTAGTCCAAGGAGTTCAGGGTGGATGGTTCCCTGCCTCCTCATTTACTCCCACAACAATCACATGAGACAGGTTAGGCTGAAAGGCAGTGACTGGTCCAATGTGACCCGGTGAGCTTCATGACCAGGTGGAGATTTGAATCCTGGTCTCCCGGTCTAACACTGTAACCACTACACCACACTGTCTCTATAGTTTAAAGTGCTATTCCAGCAGCTGGGAAGGCATGTGCCACTCCCTAGAGTGGACTTCTCTAACCTGGGGCCCTCCAGATCCTTTGGACTACAATTCCCACCAGCCCCAGTCAGCACAGTAGCCACACTTCCGTCACCCCAGCACCAAAATGTCATGCTGGCTATGACTGATGGGAGTTGTAGACCAAAGCATATGGAGGGCCCCAGGAGGCATTGATATCTGGACCAATTAGTGAGGCAGATGTTCCCAAGTGTGTGTGTGTGTGTGTGTGTGTGTGTATTGATATCCTCCGTGAAGATGTTTGTCAGTAATGCCAAACACCTTTCTGAAGAGACCCTAAAACCTGCACCAATAGATTCAAATTACAAAAAAGGAGATTCTAACTAAATATCAGGAAGAACTTTCTGACAGTAAGAGCTGTTCGACACTGGAGCAGAAGGTGGTGGACTCTCCTCCACTGGAGGTTTTTAAGCAGGGGTTGGGTGGGCATCTGTCATGGATGCTTTAGCTAGAATTTTCGCACAGCAGGGGTTGGACTAGATGACCCTTGGGGTGCCTTCCAACTCTACAATTCTATGAAAAACTCTACTTCTAGGCCATTACATTTTTAAATCCTTTCATCCAAGGTCCCAGGATAGATGGTCCTTCAGCTAAGGAGGCATATCAGAGCTTGCTTAGGGAGCCTTGCATTTTGCAAGAAACCCAACCATATACCTAGCCACTACTGTTGTGTTTTGAAATATCAGGCACTGCTTTTCCTGTGCAAACAGCACCCAGAGCAGGGTGAAACTTGCAGAGGTCATGGGGTGGGTTAACCCCTTCCCTGCCCAGCAACTCTCCTTTATAGCCACTCATTTCTCAGATAGTGATCCAGACCCACGTTTGCAGCTAGGCAAGAGCCCTAGCAAAGAAAGGGGGCAGCTTGCAGCAGAAAGGTTAAAGCTGGGTTCCTTCCATTTTCCCCCTGCAAGTCCACCCCCTGAAACTTTACACTGGAGAAGCAGATACTTGGGCAGCAGGTGGGGGTCGCTTTTTCAGAGTTATGGGATGGGAACACAATCCTATGGGACACAGACCCACAGATCACAGCAAACACACACACACACACACACACACACACACACACACACACATTACCCATTCTCTCCTTCCTTCCTTCCTTCCTTCCTTCCTTCCTTCCCTCTCTCTCTCATTCTGGCCTGGGGAAGGCCACAGTGAAGAAGTCAGAGGGCCACCTGTGGCTCCCAGGCTACCCACTGGTGACCCAGGGTCTTTTCAATGCCCAAGTGGAGGCAGAGGACACTGTTCCACCCTCAGGGCAGCTATTTGAAAACAGCCAACCCTGTTGGCACAGACTGGGAATTTCAGAGGCGTGCCAACCACAACCGCTCACTGACTCTAGCACCAGTGATTCAAAGGCTACTGTTGAGTCGCTGTGTAGCTGTGGAATCCGCCCACTCGGGTACATCAGAGATAAAAGCTGCAAATATTGATACGAGCACTTCAGGGAGTCATTGTTGCACTTGGCCCCACTCCAGTTCCCATCCCTTGACCTCATAAACCCCCGAGGAGTGTGGAGGGAGTTGGGGGGGGGGGCCTCAGCCCATGATGACGAGCAGCACAGCTTGCCTGGGAGGAGATGCTTGCAACTCAACCAGGTTGAAGCCATGACCTGTGATGCCAACCGGGCAACAGTTGCACCACGATCATCAGTATGCAGATGATACCCAGCTCTACCTCTCTTTTAAATCAGAACCAGTGAAGGCGGTGAAGGTCCTGTGTGAGTGTCTGGAGGCGGTTGGAGGATGGATGGCGGCTAACAGATTGAGGTTGAATCCTGACAAGACAGAAGTACTGTTTTTGGGGGACAGGAGGCAGGCAGGTGTGGAGGATTCCCTGGCCCTGAATGGGGTAACTGTGCCCCTGAAGGACCAGGTGCGCAGCCTGGGAGTCATTTTGGACTCACAGCTGTCCATGGAGGCACAGGTCAAATCTGTGTCCAGGGCAGCTGTTTACCAGCTCCATCTGGTACGTAGGCTGAGACCCTATCTGCCTGCGGACTGTCTCGCCAGAGTGGTGCATGCTCTGGTTATCTCCTGCTTGGACTACTGCAATGCACTCTACGTGGGGCTACCTTTGAAGGTGACTCGGAAACTACAACTAATCCAGAATGCGGCAGCTAGACTGGTGACTGGGGGCGGCCGCCGAGACCATATAACACCAGTCTTGAAAGACATACATTGGCTCCCAGTACGTTTCCGAGCACAATTCAAAGTGTTGGTGCTGACCTTTAAAGCCCTAAACGGCCTCGGTCCAGTATACCTGAAGGAGCGTCTCCACCCCCATCGTTCTGCCCGGACACTGAGGTCCAGCGCCGAGGGCCTTCTGGCGGTTCCCTCATTGCAAGAAGCAAAGCTACAGGGAACCAGGCAGAGGGCCTTCTCGGTAGTGGCGCCCGCCCTGTGGAACGCCCTTCCAGCAGATGTCAAAGCGATAAACAACTACCTGACATTCAGAAGACATCTTAAGGCAGCCCTGTTCAGGGAAGTTTTTAACGTGTGATATTTTACTGTATTTTTGGTTTCTATGGAAGCCGCCCAGAGTGGCTGGGGAGGCCCAGCCAGATGGGCGGGGTATAAATAATAAATTATTATTATTATTATTATTATACCTACATCTTACCCTTTTCAAGCTGGGCACCAAGAGTGAGGGGAAAGGCAGGGAAGATATGGGAAAAGGCAAGGTTTGCAAACTTTTTTTCTGCTTCAGGGAACTCTTTCTAAATCAACCTCTCTGTTAAGAACACCCACACACCCATCGTCTGCCACAGCACCCTTGGGAGTTGCAGAAGATTTTGGAAGCATTCCAGCAAAGGAGTGTGCCAAAAGAAGTCTGGGTTCTACTGGCAGATCACAGGAGTATGCCAAGTAGATGGGTATTTGTTTAACCATTTACAGTGGACGGCCTTAGTCCACTGGGAGAGTATCTGCCTTGCACAGAAGGTCCCAGGTTCAATTCCGAGGCAGAGCTGAGAAAGACTCTTTCTGAAACCCTGGAGAACCACTGGCAGTATGTATAGGTGAATCTACAGGGCCTTGAACTGGCTGCAGGAACTCTGCGCTCCCCCCAGTGAAATGCACACCTGTGACACCACTTTAGACACACTTGATTTATTTGCTGCACTTCTATAGCACTCTTACTGAGCTGCTCACTAAGCTCAGCTTCTAGGCAACCCAAGGATTCTGGAATGGGAGTCCATGTGGGGCAGGAGATAGAAATGGGTGGACTTGAGAACAGGAGGGCCAGATTCAAATTCCTTATCAGCCTTGAAAACTTCAGAAGCCAATCTCAAACCACAAATTGCCCGGAGTGCTCATCTTCAAAGGATGTTGAGCAATGGCATAAAGAGTGGTCTATCCCAAGCCAAGACGCTGCTCTTCCTAGATGGAACCTTCTGGGTGCACAGCAGGTGCTCAGCTGCTAGTGAGCTGGAGCCCTTCCCCAAGCATCCCTCCAGATGAGTCGCTGCTGGAAAGTAACTTCCCAGTGCATTTGCATCCTCTGGGATTGGACGCAGGCACCCAGCAGAACACTCTCAGACTCAGAGGCATTTTTGAGCACCTTCCAATCAGGTAACACACCCAGAAGATTGACTCACCAAGAAGTGGGGAGGAGGCACTACCCAGAGGAGCTCTTTGCTGGGCATGGGAGACTGAGGTGTGCGCCTCTAGTTGCAGAAAACAAAAAAAGGTGTGACTCAGAAGTTTAAAGAACACTATGCAAAATCTGAGCAGAGCAGCCAAGTCAAAACAGCCCTCCTGTAGGATCCACAGGCTGCTTTTGTCTCCCGCAACCACACATTCCTCAGCAAGCCAGAACAGAGCTGTGGTTACTCAGCCCCTGTCAAATCCTGCTCACGGACAGCGGTGCAGTCAATCCACCCACCAGCTTGCAAGGGGAACCTGTGCAACAATGAGTGGTTTTGTGCATGCATCGCTGCAATGGGATCGTCCCAGGAAGCCAGCCATACAAGGGACAAGGCCCTACAGGTAGAGGGAGGGAGGGAGATGTCGAAATACCCGTGAATATTGCACAAGAATCCTCAAAACTGACTGACATGCTGGCTGGGAATGATGCGAGTTGCAGTCAAAAACATTTGGAGGGCACCAATTTGAGGAAGGGTGATGTAAAGTTTGGGGCTGTAAACCTCTGGTGTACTGTTAGGAAGGTGCCACGGAAATGCAGCAACAGCCAGGCTTTGGGTAAGGCACATGCATGTGTTTCATGCTGAGGTGTGTGTGCAGTGGTGGACCATGAGCTCCAAGGTCCCAGGTACAACCCCAAGCATCTCCAGGGAGAGATGAACCTCAGCCTAAGTCGTTGGATACTTCTGTTCCCTCCGCAATAGTAGGCCAGGTGGGCCATTGATAAGATGGCTCTGACTCACTGAGAGAATTTCATATGTACACAAAGCTGATGCAGGGCTCCAGCTCTCAAATATGGAAGCCTGTTCCCAGCAGTCCCAAAGTTCATGTTGCTGGCACTCCTGTTATGGCTTCTCCACAAACCCAGGAGTCTGCCAAGCACAACACAAGCCACAATAAGCACCCCCGCCCAAAAGACACACAAATTTAATATCAAACCTAACCAATGCCTACTTCAATAGCCTCGTTGTGGAAGAGCAGCACATGGAAGAATTTATCTGGGGTCTAGCCAAAGACACCCTACCATTCTTGCCAAAATCTATGCACACATACACCCAATTGTCAATGGGTTTCTAACACACACACACCTCCATCCAGTTAGCCATGGTGCATTAGCTAATTCCTTGACTAAGATGGAGACAGGAATCTAGGAGGGAAAATGAGTGAATGAAGTCTCCTTAACGTCCTGCATTCCACTGCAAGGGCAACTAGGTTGTTCATGTCATTAGCAGAATGCTCTACTAAACCAGGGATTCCCGACCTTTTTGGACCTGGGGGCATATCTGGAGCAATAAAGAAACCCATGGGCACCATTAGAAATGGAAAACAATCATTTCACAAAAGAAAAATGCGCAATGCTCAGACTCTTCCCACCCGCACCAAAAGAGCAGGCAAAACTGCCACAGTACCCCCATACAAATAAAATACAGTACAGACAAAAAAAGCAGGCCATTATTATTATTATTATTATTATTATTATTATTATTATTATATTTCTATACCACCCTTCATCCAAGGATCACATAGTGGTTTACAATAGGGGAGGGAAGACCTCCCGCCGCCGCCCGGCCCGGAACGGTGCTCCGGCCGGGCGGGGGGAGGGAAGACCTTCTGAAGGCGGGCGGGGGCGAAAGTCTTTGCTCCCCTGCCTGCCTGTCCCGGAGGGCTTTTGAAGGCGGGGAGCAAAGACTTCGCCCTCGCCCGCCTTCAGAAGAGGTCCAGGACCTCTTCTGAAGGCTGGCGGGGGCAAAAGTCTTGTCCCCCTGCCTGCCTTCCCAGGGGCTTTGAATTGCCCCGGACAGCGGAGAAGTCCTCCGCTGTCCCGGGTGATTTTAAAATGCCGCCCGCCAGCATTTTAAGATCGCCCGGACAGCGGAGAAGTCCTCCGCTGTCCCGGGGTTTTTTAAAATGCTGGGGGTGGGAAGAAAAGCCCTTGCTCCCCCAGCCTTCAGAAGAGGTCCGGGGACAGACTGTCCCCGGACCTGAGTCTGAAGGCGGTTTCCTAGGAACGCATCAATTGATTTTCAATGCATTCCTATGGGAATATAAAAACACAAAAATACATAACAGAGTAACAAATGGAAACAATAACAATAACTTTTTCAGCAGGAGGCCGGTCCACTGTCCCTCAGACCTTGTGGGGGGCCGGACTATATTTTGAAGAAAAAAACCGAACGAATTCCTATGCCCCACAAATAACCCAAAAATGCATTTTAAATAAAAGCACACATTCTACTGATGCATAAACACCAGGCAGGCCCCACAATAACCCAGAGATGCATTTTAAATAAAAGGAAACATTCTGCTCATGTAAAAACACCGATTCCCAGACCTTCCGTGGGCTGGATTTAGAAGGTGATTGGGCCAAATCCGGCCCCTGGGTCTTAGTTGCCTTCAGTTTTAGGTAGGGGACCTTTGCAGGCACCAGGGTGGGTCTCTGAGGGCACCATGACTCCCATCCGCAGGTTATGTTGGAGACCCCAGCTCTACAGCCCCTGTATAAAACATTGCTGCTTCCCCCACTCTACCCATGCACACAGATCCGTCCCCATCCTCAGCTCTAGAGTGGTGGAAAATTGGCCACTAGCCACCAAAGCACTGCTAATTGTCTAAACTGATTTCCATGCTTCCCTCAGGGAGGATGGTGCACTCGCTTTGCGGACAAGCTTGTGGCCTGGAGCTGCGGCTTGCATTCTGCTCTCCAAAATGCTCATTTAAGAAAACCAACAAATCATTAGGGCATCGCTCAGACAATAGCAACTCTGTTGTCGTGTGCCTGTCAGCTGCTTGTGTGTGCCAGGGCTCACCAATCCTACAGCACTGCTGTGCTATTCTTGCTTTGTTTTTAATTAAAACAAGATCCTCAACATTATTCCTTTAAAAAAAATCCACTGTGAATTTCAAGGCCAAGTTTAAATCCAGTGTAGAAGAAGACTTTCTTGTGAGTCCTTCTGATAAAATGAAGCATGTCCTGGCCAGAGATTCTCCCAGAATGCACTTGGCTTCCTTCATTTTGGAGATCCCACTGCTTTTTGCAATGGCCCATTGAGTTCTCAGCCCACAACATCCCGGGAAGTTTCTCTTTTACTGACAGCAAAATGAGGCTTTTGAGATAGCAGTTTGCCTCCCAAAACACACAAGGTGTCCAAGGCAGATTCCCCAAGCCCAGTTTTATGGCAACCCTCCTGAATCCCAGTAAATCTCTGCCCAGGCTGCCTTTATTCCAGAGAAGCAAAAAGCCCTGGTCTCTATGCAAACAGCAGAAGCTGAGAGGACAAAAAACACAGGTTAGGGGTGGTAAAAAAATGTTCCTCTGCAAAAGACGGAGGGATAGCATACCACAGAGAAAGGTTCTGTCGTCCCTTTGGTGCAGTACTGATGCTATACTGTATATGCAAGGCATTTTTTGCTTCTTATTTTTTAGGCATGGGAGAGCATTCAAAATGGTCATTCTGTTCAGGATATCTGAAGTGGCCCAGTCCATTTTCCCACCTCAGAACTCTGCCCCCTCCTTCCCCTGCATCTATAGAGCCAGCATAGCCAGCTGCACAAAGGTAGTTGGGTTCTTCTCCAAAACTAGGAAAGACCACTCATTTCCTCTTCTCTCCCATGTGATGAGCCCAACAATTGGTGTGAACTGTTTTGGCAAGCGCTTGACAATGAAGTCAGGAAGCAGCCTGAAGCAGAGACCTCGCTCCCACTTGCCTCAGTGACCCAAAAAATGAGCCAGCAAACCAGGGCATTCCCTCACCTCCCAGAGAAATCAGACAGAGGGAGGTGGGAAGGAGAAGAACCTGGGTCTGGTGCAGCCTTCACCAACCTGATGCCCGCCAGATGTTTTGGAGAACAGCTCTTGCTGGGTCAGCACTGCAACTCCCATCAGGCTGGTGCTACAACTCCCAAAGGGCCCAGTCGGAGCTGGCTGGAGCTGCGTTCCAAAACATCTGGAGGACACCAGGTTTGCAAAGGCTGCCCTACAGTAACTGCAGGACCAGGCAATGCCACCAAGAAGAATATTCAGAAGAATTCCCCTCCCTCTCATATCAACCTAGAACTGGGATAGGGCTGTGTGGGATCAAATGAAGACGGCCGTCTTTCTTGAATCTACTGCCAAAAAGCAGTGCTCTTACCCAGGGTGCAAAATGAAATTAACTTCTCACTCCCACACGATTTGGAAATGGCTTTTTACTCAGGCTAGGCCCTATTTGAAGGCAATGCTGGGAGTGTAAACTATATATACATGTGCTGGGTTACTCTCGGCTGGCATCATGTTTAAACTGGGTCACCGGTTTTGACACCAGCAGTCTTCGCGCGCCGGGACAGAATCCATGGCTCAAGTACGTGCCATGCTTGCAAGACAATGCCTCGTGCACACAGAAAGCAGCCATGTTAAGGCTTTAATGTCAGCATCATATGAACTAGATGACGATGTGCAACAAGACATACACTCAGAAGTACAGGAACCGAGAGCTATAAGAACACTAAGGACCAGAAGCTTAGATGTCCATTCTTATTTCCAATATTTACACCCCACTTTTCTACTGAAAAGAAAGGTAAATAAAAGCAGGTTTTTAAAAAGCAGAATGAATAAATAAATAAATATACAGCAAAAGAGCAGTAAAAACCACTGAAAGCATCTAATGCAACAGAAACAGCCTGGCCTTGTTTTTCCAAGTTCCAGGTGCCACCACCCAAAGGCCCTGTCTTTTGCACCTACCAACTATTCAGCCAGTGAGGTGGGGGTGGGGTCCAGAGAAGGGCCTTAGAAGCGGATCGTAGAGACCGGGCAGGTTCCTATAAAGGAGGCAAATCTGGAGCCCTCCAGATGTTGCTAGTGCAAAATGCCCATCATCTCTGGGGCTGATGGAAGCTGGGAGTCCAAGCAACATCTGGAGGGCCACTGGCGGCTGCTTTTAGACCCAGAGGGCTTACAGCTTTGAATGTATAAAACCAGCACTTTGAATTAAGCCTGGAAACAGACTGGTAACACAGAGGAGTGCAAGACTTGTGGAAAGGAGGAGTGAAAGAATAGCAATGGGAAAGGACTTTGACAGGATTGAATTGACAGAGGGGTAGAGATAGAGATCCGCTCAGAACCACTTTACACTCTACATAAGGAACAATGGACAGAGGGGCATCCCTCAAGAAAGAATGAGGCACGTGTTGTAGAGGCTGTGCTGGCTAGGACTGATAAAAACTTGAGACCAGAGCATCTATCTCGCACTTTATTTTTCAAAGCTCTGCAATTTTAGTCTGTCTCCCTCTTGTTCCAGAATTTCCCATTATTTCGGCCATTTGGCCTCCATATTGAGTTTTTTCTGTGCCTTCGCTTCCATTGGTGACAACCATCTTGGGGTTTTCTTTTTTAACAAATCTTTATATCTTATCCATACATTAAACAATGCTTTTCTAACAATATGATTTTTAAACGCTTTATGTGCTTTCACCTTATCATACCACAGATATGCATGCCAACCAAATATGTTGTTAAAACCTTCTAGGTCCAACACATCAGTATCTTCAAGTAGCAGCCATTCGCTCAGTATGTTCAATTTGTTGGAAAGTAATAAATATCATTTTTTTTAAAAAAGAGAGACCAGAGCATCTAGAGGGCCCCAGATGCTTCGGACAGGAGTAACCACTGCAACATTAGTGCTGCAGCAGCAAACGTGGCGGCTGCACAAAAATATACTGTGGTTCTTGTGGTCGCCCTCTTGCTCTCCTTTTACACAGCAAGCACACAAACACACATCCCTTCCCACACATATGAAGCTTGCTTGAAGGCTGCAGACCCTTGATAGGCCGCCGTGCCCCGATTCCAGAAGTGACCATTTGCTCCAAAGGCCATTCTGAGCCTGACGCTGTGATGGGAAAGCTGCCGGGAAGGCAGCTGATCAAAACCTCCTCCGCTCACTTCCCAACACCCTGTCCAAACACGACTGCCGTGCTGTGTAAGCCATTCCTGAGGCCCAGCCTGTAGCTGGAGGCTAGCAATACTGCACCGGGCGGCATGCCTGCACTCATTCTGCTCCTGCTTGGGGAAGGGAGGGCAGCAGATCCCCAGAGGGAAGCGGGTGGGAGTCAGCTGGGTCCATGCTGCTTGCCAGACCCAAACAGCTCCTCTCTCTGATGGTGGCAGGCCACTCTCACAGCATCCCCAAGGAAACATTTGGCAGCAATGAACCATAATGTTTCACCTGCCCTATGCAACCAGAGAGCTGAACACAAAGACAGCCTTCTGGATCAGGCCAGTGGCCCATCTAGGCCAGCATCCGGTCCTCACAGTAGCCAACCAGATGCCCTAATGGGGAACCAACAAGCAGGACCTGATCACAAGAGCCTTCTCCCATCCTGTGATTTCCAGCAACTCGTATTCAGAAGCATTGTGGTCTCCAGCTGTGGAGGCAAAGCATAGCCATCGTTGCTAGTAGCAATTGATAGCCTTCTCCTCCATGAGTTTTTCTTATCCTCTTTTAAAGCCATCCAGGTGAGTGGCCACCACCGCCTCCTGCAGCGAGTTCCATAGTTTAACGGGTGCTGCAATAAGAAGTGCTTCCATTTATCTGTCCTGAATCTCCCAACATTCAGCTTCACTAGGTGTCTGTGACTTCGAGAGTCCTGCACTCCGTGATTCACCAAGAGGTCACAGAGAATGCCAGGACGCGGCCTTCCAACTGTGCTCAGTGGCGCACAGCCTGAACACATTCTGCCCAGGGTGTTCTGCAACACTGCATGGGTCTCCCTCCCTGACGGGGCGCCCGCGGCATCTGCACGCTGAAACTACGTCTGTTCCAAGCAAGGGCTCAGCTACCAGCTTGGCCTGCAATTGCCAGGACTCCATGCAATGCCGGCTAATAAGACCGCAGAGAGGCCCCTGCTGGTTTGGTCAAGGGCACTCGGTGCGTGTAGTACTTTGCATGGGGGTCAAGTCAGCCCTGTACTGCACATGACCGCCATCTATAACCAGCGCCTGCTGCTGCTGCTCTCTTCCTGTCAAGACTTGCTTGGGAGACTGACACAGACTTTTCTTGTGTGTTTTGTGCCCGTAGTCATGAAAACTGCAGGCACCAGCCGCAGACATCAGTCCCTGGTGAGCCTCAGGCACTGCCTCCTCCCTCCGTCAACTCCCCTCCCCCGCCCCAATTCTGCCATTGCTTCACACCTTCCCTGACTTAGCATTTATACAATCAACGGGCAGAAGAGCAAAGCATTTTGGGGAAGTGGGGCAGGGAGACAGAAAGAGCAAGAGGACTCCAGTGAAATTTGCAGCCCTGAATGCTCAGAAATGACAGAATCATAAATGGTAGAGTTGGAAGGGCACCAAAGGGTCATCTGGTCTGACCCCTGCAATTTTGTGGGTTCACCCATATTGTTGTTCCAAGCGGACAGCGAGCTCCAGAAATTCTCCATCGTCCATATGACTGTTCTCCTTCAAGTCGCTGTCTTCCCTCTACCTCAGTCTGGATTTTCTTATCCCAGGAATATTCCGAAAAGGAGAGGACCTGATAAAAATCCATATTAAGGGCCAGAAAAATGTGGGGAGGCAGGAATTTGGAGGAGTTATGTCCACAACCTCTCTTGATGCTTCCGTGAATCTTCTGCACAGCACCCTCCTTTGCAAAAGTGGGGAATCCCAATCCCAGCGCACCCCTTCAGAGAGCCCCACAACAACTCAAGCAGCAAAACCACAACAACTCAAGCAACAAAAGTGGCCACCACTTGGCCCAAAACAGTCTGCTTTAGGGTCCTTGCATCATAAGCATCTTGCATCTGCAGACAGTAGAAGGAAAAAGCCACTGGGGGTTGGAGTGAGGTGGGCTTTCCAGAAAATTTGGAATTGGGAAATGTTCCTTTGCAAGTCAGGCTAACGTTAAGCAGAAAATGTTCTATTTGCATTAGATACTTTTCCAATGTCAAAGGGATTGGTTTAATTTGCCAGGTTTATCTTACTTGTATTTAGCTGAACAAAGCTGAAAACTTTAAAACAGCCAAGCTGGCCTAATACTGTATTTGCCAATGGAAAATTATAAAAGATAAAAGCATTGGGAAATTTTCCATGCCACATCACTGGTTGGAGGCGTTCTTACTAATGGGGTTCAAAATGTTTGGAGAGAGGCATTGTTGCCCTCGGTGTATCTCAGCCATCTTCAACCTGGTGTCCTCTGGATACTTCAGACTAATGGGATTTGTAGTCCAAAATATCCAGAGGGTACCAGGCTGTGGAAGACTAGCGTGCACCCATTTTTATTTTGTCCCAAAGCCACTTCCAGTCAAGCTAGTTAGGCAGGTCTCTGAACCTGTGCAACTCCCCTCCCTAAAAAATGTTTGCCAGATGCAGAAAGTCTCCTTTGAGAGGGAAAAGGGTGCAAGTCTAGCCCCCACCCATCCCCCAGTGCAGTGGGGGGGGGGGAAGCCTCCCTTGAGCTGCCCACCAGGCTTGTTTTCATTGCCTAGCATGCAAAGCAGCAATAAAGAAGTGTACCCTAGGGCATGTGCAGAGTGCACACCCATTCTTCACCACTGACTGCAGCCAGCAACCCCACACCTCCTTGTTTAGGATGTGGGAGTCGTTGCTGCTTAAGAGGATGCGGATATTTCAAGCCCTACTTTTTCTCTTTAGAAATTATGCTCTAGCAGAGGTGGGAAAGAGAACCAGCAAGTTCTCTCTGCACACAGGGCAACATTTGGCCCATGCCAGACAGGTGCTTCCTGACACGGATCCCTCTTCGACCCTGGTGCTCGCAGAAAGGTAGAGGGTACCTCCCAACCCAAGCCACCACCAGCCTGGTCAGTGGAGTTTACTGCCTCCAACTTGTTGGTGAATCATTAACTCAGGGTTCAGCAGCTGCCACACACAGAGAGAGTTCAGCTGCCAGAAGGCAAGCTCTGCCCAGTCAATTACTCACCCAGCGCAGCCTGCTGGTGCCAAGAGAGGGGAGGGGAGACAGGAGAGCCAATGGCAAAGGAGTCCATAAGGATGGCTGGCGGCGGGGGGGGGGGGATGGACACACACACACACAGCTGGCCAGGCTCCTCCTCTGTACTTAATTCCATGGAGTCTGCAAACATGTGGTCCTCCAGACGTGGAAGCCCCCACAGCCCAAACCCCTCCCAGCACAAGGATTCTGTAGCAAGGGAAATGCTCTTTACTCCTCCTGCACAGGAGCACCTTCTATCAAGTACAGGCAACTCCCCATTTACATGGAGCCTCAAGCCACTGAAGTGTTGCTGCAGTTTGGAGCCCAAATCTCAGCTTCATCACCCTCCAATCCCAAGCAGTGACCTACCCAACCAGGCACGTACAGTGGTACCTTGGGTTACAGACGCTTCAGGTTACAGACTCCGCTAACCCAGAAATAGTACCTCGGGTTCAGGATGAGAACAGAAATCGTGCACCAGTGGCACGGCAGCAGCGAGAGGCCCTATTAGCTAAAGTGGTACCTCGGGTCAAGAACGGACCTCCGGAACGAATTAAGTTCTTAACCCAAGGTACCACTGTAATATCAGATGTGCTAGAGCTTTTAACAGCAAGGCATGGCCATGAACTTTCCAGAGGCATCTGCTGCCGGCTGGCTGGCCTCAGAGACAAGAACGCTAGGGTCTTGGAGTGATCCCATCAAGATAGCCCTTATGACATCCATTAGACAGCAGGAAGTGCCCCCCCTTCTCTCTCTTAAAGGACCCTGTCTCCAAGCTGACAATCCTGCCCAAGCCTTTGGAGTGTCAGAGGGACTCCTTTAGACAAGGCAAAAACATTTTGAAGTAACAAAATGGAGCGACAGTGTGTCCTACCTCTGAAGGCTGTTGAGAAGAGGCCTGCTGGGTCAGACTCAAAATCCATCTAGCCCTGGATCCTGTTCTCACAGTGGCCAACCAGGTGCCTATTATGGGAAAGCCAAAAGCAGGACCCAAAAGCAGCAGCACTCTCTCCAGCAACCAATATTCAGAGTTATACTGCCTCTACTCCTAGTAGGCAAGGATAAGGTTGTGAATAATGCAGACTGAAGGATGGAAACGGTGCAAAAGTCAGGAGACAGCAAGACAGGGGAATCCCCTATGACAAATTATTTCAGGGTCCCTTCCAGTCACTACAAAGGAGTCCAAGTGGGAGGGCACTGCAGTCTTTTAAGGTGGCTGTTCAGACTGACACACAGATGCGGGGGGAGTTGCAGAGACACCCCATAATCACCATCTTTCTCTCTCTCACACAGACACTTGTCCCACAGGCATCATCAGGTTACACTTCACCAAAGGTAAGGCCAGCTGCCTTTTCCTGACACAGGCATCCACTCAGGAATTCAACTTCCAAGCCAGAAAACACGGAACAAAGACCCAGACTCTGTATCTGGGTGTAAAGGACTCTTCTAGCCTTGTGGGTCAGCACAACAGATGGGGAAGGGCAAGTGGGACAAATGGGGATGGGGGAAGCAGAGACATCAAATATTCCCTCCCCATCCAGAGCACTCAGCAGAGAATACTGGCAACCATATTCAGGATTACAGAACGGCACCTGGGAGATGTATCCACCAGAGCGCTCCTAGGCCTTCCAGGTAACAAAAAGGGAGTTATTGGCAAGCCTGAAACTCATTTCACAAGGACCCCTAAGCAGCCAGAAGGCAGTCTTCATGACAACCTAAGAAGAGCTTGGCTGCTGGATCAGGCCAAAGACCTGTTTGGTCCATCATCCTGTTCTCATAGTGGCCAACTGGATGCCCCCAATAGGAAACCCACAAGTAGGAGCTGAGTACCACAGAGCTCTCCCCACTTGTGATTCCCAGTAACTGGTATTCAGAAGCATCACTGCCTCTGACACCAGAAGCAGAGCTCACAGTCCACAGCCTGCTCATACAGCAGCCTTTGCCAAATTGGTGACATCCAGACGTTCTGGACTACAAGTCCCATCAGTCCCAGTTAGTGACAAGAATCAAACAGGTAGGAGGATTTCGTATATCCAGGTGGTGTGTGTGTGTGTGTGTGTGTGTGTGTGAAAGAGAGAAAGAGAGAGAGAGAGAGAGAGAACAAGCAAAGCTTTGAATCACACAGAAAACTACAGAAATGATTTCAGGGACGGTTTGGCCACAGGGCATCAAACACAGGCACACATTTTCAGCAGTTGTGCTTCCTCCTGCTGACCACCTAATTTCAGGCCTCGCCAAGTTTCCATTCTGACCAGGCATAACTTTCTTCTGTTCTGCCAGCTAACCAGGCCTCAAGCATTCCCATGGTCTGGCTCCATCAGGCTCTGCTTGGAGCAAAGTCACACTCCATTTCTATTACTTTGTGGGATCAACGGCTCCCAGAGATGGAGATGAAACAGCCAGCCGTGGGACTCCTTGGGCGTAATCCTTGCCAGGACCAACAACTGGCACAAGAGGCAGAGAGATGTAAACATGCATGGCTCATGGGGAGCCCTTCCCACCTCCAACTGGCTGCCTCCATAAGACAGAGCTTTTCAAATGCACAAATCACAGCATTTGTCCCCTCCAGCAAATCTTGCACAACAGCCGGGAGGTCTGGACACCCACCAAATATAGATAACCAGGAGTTCCAGCAAGGAAGAGGGCGAATGAAAGCCTCATATGTGTACCAGAATACACACCCAGATGAGCACAGTAGGGATTGCTCCAGAGTATACAGGCTGTGAACCTACTACAGATCAGGGACTGTGAAATTTTACACCCCGTAGCATTCGAGCGGCCATAGACCAGCGCCAGGATTTGGCTCTAGTGAAATCTGTCATAACAGAGCTGTTTCCTGGCATTGCCAATTATCACGGCTCATTTGAACAGGATTTCTCTCTTCTTATTCATGAACAAAACATTGCAGGCATCTCTGATGTCAGAACATATAAACAAAGCAGCTGAACTTAAGCACTTCAAAATCTCATTTAGTTCAGTGGGAGGTTTCTACACACATTTCTATCTTTCCCATTGGGGCTGGCTGTGGGCAAACTGTAGACCTCCAGAGGTTGCTGGACTCCCATCATCCCTGACCATGCTGGGGCTGACCATGCTGGGGCTGATGGGAGTTGTAGTCCAAAACATCTAGAAGGCACCAGGCTAGGGGAAGCCGGCATCTCTCCATCACCTCTTTTCACCCCACACCAGTCTGCAGTCTCTTGGCATTCCAACAAAAGAACAAGTGCAAGTGCCTGCACAGCGAGATGGGCCAAGAAAGCAAGTCAAACTAGGTTCTACAGAGGATGGCAAAATAAAACTGAAGGCCACAAATGACCAATGTGAGTAGGGAGAAGGGGGAACACACACACCTCAGATTCTGAGCAACAGCAAAAAAACACTCATCAGGAAATGTTATTCAGGAGCCATTTCACCCCACCTGACCTGTTATGGTAAATTCCAGGAGGGTTCACCACATTTGAGTATTAAAGCAAAAATTCAGCACACACACAACTGCACACTTTCAAGACTAACGATACTATCCTACATGTGTTTTAATGGGGTTTATTCCCTAGTAAGCATGTTTAGCACTGCAGCATAATTAAGGCTTCCCCAGGAAATAGTCTCTTTCACTGGATGCCTGAAACATTACCCTCAATTGACAGATATGTCTACATGTATAGGTCAGGGAGTTGGGGAATCATAATGCCCAAAGACAAAGGAGCCGACATGGTGTAGTACTTAAGAGTATTTAGCTAGGACTGTAAAGATCTCAGTTCAAATCCCTACACTGCCATGAGGTTCATTATCTGACCTTGGGGCAGTCCCTATCTTTCAACTTAATCTACCTCACAGGGTTGTTGTGAGGATAAAAGGGAAGGGGGAAACATGCAGAATCATTGGGGGAGGGAGAGTCCACAAATACATGCTTCACACACTTCCTAAGTTTATCCAGCTCTCACCTTGAAACTAGCAAGATTTACTTTCAGTTATCACTGCAACTCTCTCTAAATAATAATAATCCACTTTTCCCAAAATGCTGGATTGGATCCAGACCAATGGGATTCAGGGACATTTTGGGGGTGCCAGCGTACACTAATACCCTACCTGTCCCAAGGCCAGGCCTAAACAGCATTTGCCACAACACAAATTTCATGGGGCTTGGCTCTAGAACCGCTCTGCCGCTCTTGGGGTGCTCAGGAGTGGGGGGTTACCTTCCATTCATTGCACACTTGGGGTAAGCAAAGGAAGGGGCCCCGGGAATAGTTATTATCTGGGGGTCAATATACACTGCAGAGTGGAACCTTGCCCTGTCCGTGGTGCAGCCCTGAAGAGGCTGGGGGTGGGATATTTTCAGCCTTTCGGGTGCCACACAGCTCTTCGTCGCTGCGTCCCCTTCAGCCGGGAGAAGCCGCGCTCAGTTTTAGCCTCAAACTAGACCCCCGTCCAAAGTCATCCTCGGTTCCCACCGGCCACCGGAAAACCTGCCGCAGCAGGCCCAAGGCGGAAAGGGGGAGGCTGGCTTCGGGCAAGCTACTCTCCCCGAGCCCGCAGCCCCGCAACGTCCCGCCCACCTCACTTCCCCGGGAAGAAGAGGGGGGACACTAAAGATGTTGCTCTTTCCTTCTTGATCCCGACCCCGACCTTGGGAGCGGAGGCAAGAACAGGCTTTGGTTTTCCCGGACAGGGGGAAGTGCCCTCTCGTGTCCGGTCGGGTTCCTAACATGGGGGTTGGGCAGCATCAACACACACACCCCAGGACTCCCGCCTTTTCTTTCTCTCTCGCCCCCTCCCCAAAAGCGGGAAGGGAAAGGGGCAGCCCGCGCCCTCCTGCTCCTCCCGCTCCGCCTGTTGCCTGGAGAGGCGCTTCTGCGCCGGGGCTCGGCGGCCACGTCAGGGCGCTCCCGGCTGCAGCCCCGGCGGGAAGGCACGTCCGTCCCGGGGCCGCCGCAAGCCGAGGCTCGCTTCCCACAGGGGCCGGCCAGCCGAAAGCCCGGCGCTCGAGTCGGAAGCGCGTCCCCCCAGCCGACCACGGACGCGGCCAAGACTCGCCTCCAAGTGGCTTTCCGAGTAGGGGGCTCTCTCTCAGCCTCCTGCTCCCAGGCGGAGAAAGTCAGCCGTCGGTCCCCCACCCTCCCGCCGCCCAGCCTCGTTCCCTCCCCGGGTCTCTCCTCTCCCTCTGGCAGACTTGAGGGCTCGCTCGGCCTCTCCCGACGGCGCCCACTTACCAGGTAGTTCATCTTCCCGGCGCGGCCGCAGTGCCCCCTGGTCGTGCGCCTTAACGCATGATCCCGCCGGCTGGCTGGCTGCGGCACTGGCGGCGTCGGCTTCCCGCTCCCGCAGCCGGGCCGACGGCTAAGCAGAGACGGAGCGCGAGCAGCAGCGAAGCGAGAGAGCCAGCTCCTGGGAAGGAGGAGGGAGGGCGAGGAAGACGGATCCCCCCTCCCGTTCCTGCCGCCGCCCTAAGCCGCCTTCATTGGTTGCCCGGGAGAAAAGGAGGCGGCGCTGCCGAGCCAGGAACGGGACGGCCAGCCTGCCTCCGCCTGGCACCGAAAGGGGGCTGGACGCGCGGCGGCGGCGGCCCCGTCCGCAGGGACGGCGGGCGGAGAAAAAGAGGCGGATTGTCTGACGCCAGATGGGCCGCCGCCGCCTCCCCTCGCTCGCCGGGAGCACAGCGGCTCCATTGAGCTCGCCGCCGCGCCAGGGAAGGGGCGCTGCGTGCCCAGATTTGCCGCTCGCCCGCCTTAGTCGGGCAGGCCCTGCAGCTGGAGGCCGGAACGAGGCTTGGGGTTCGCCAAATGCCGGCGCTCGAAGAAGGAAGGAGGGGCAGATGTGGGGAAAGGAAGAACGAGCGTGCCTCTGAGCATACGCAGAGGGACCCGGGGCTCTAGGCCCCTTCGTCTGGAATCAGGCGGGAACCTTGCAGAGATTCCCGTTTCCCTGCGCTGCGTGCAGAGCGGTTAAAAGGAGGAATTGTGAGGTAGGAAGTCCCTGGTTCAAATCTCACCTCAGACATAAACTGACAGTCTCTCAAACTCAGCCCTCCCAGATGCAGAGCAGAGATGATATTAATAGCCCACCCAGCAGGGTTGTTGTGAGGATTAGTGATGTCATATTAGGTGAGGCACTATGGGACACTTAAAATGTGCTGTGCCTTTGACAACCTGTTGCTGTCCAGATGTTTTGGACTGCAACTCCCATCAACTCCAGACACCACTGTGATGGGGATCGCCGGCCAAAACAACCGGAGGGAACGAGGTTGGCAAATGCACTTCTACAATTAATTAGCCAACAACACCTTTAGGCAGTAAAAAATAATAATTACTGAATCATATAACATGAGAAATGACTTTTAAAAAATAATAATTCCAGGTATTGCCCCTGAAATCCATGGGTGCACAACTCCTGTTTATTCTGCATCCAGTTCACTCCTGCCGCTGGTTCGTGACATTATCCATAACTCGCATCTGTCCTGTAGTTTCTTGAGAAATACTGTGTTTTATTAGAAGTTTCGTTTATTTTATGTCCTGCTTTTCTCCCAGTGCAGGACCCAAGGGCTCCCACAGCATATATTAAAACAAATACAACTAAAAATACACACTTAAAAAATATAAATATGTTTAAAATTCAATTAAATGGTTAACCCTATTAAAAATAGCATTGAAAACAAAACCATTAAAAAATTTCAACTCCCACCCTCAGAAGACAAACAGTGGCGACCTGGAAAGACATCCAATTGCATGAGGTGCAAATGTGATGTGAAGTGTACTGAGGGCTGGGGCTGGGGAGACACTTCCTGTGTTTTAAGCTGGTAATATGTCCATTAGGATTCCAGCCCTGGTAGTTTGACACATGATCTGGTGACTGAGCTTGCATTTCCCCATTTCTGTGAAATGGTGTAGTCTTAAGCATGTGTACTCTGTGTTATCAATTATATGTATTAACGCAGTGTCACTGGGCAGCGAATGTTGGCATCATGGAGTATGTGAAATTCAAGACAGACAGAGTGCATTATAGCAGCGGGATTGGGATTCTGTGGCCTGCAGGCCCCATCATCGCTGCCCATTGGCCAGGTTGGTTGGTGCTGATAGGAATAGGAGTCCAGCAAGATCTGAAAGGCCACAGGTTCCCCGTTCCTAATATAGGATTATGGAGCCCACCTAGAGACCCTTCCCAACATCTTCTGGGACCTGTAGTTGAAGGTTGTGCATGAGAGGAATCGGCCCAAAACCCATCAGGCACATCTCTCATACCACACATTGTTTTTTCCAGCAATAACGGACCAAAGCTCTAAAACTGCTTTTCCCAACCTGATGTTTTGAACTACAACTCGCAGCAGCCTCAGACAGTGTGGCCAGTAGCTCTCTTGGCTTAAAGCTCCTCAGCTTCTTGACTTTAGCGGCATTTGATCCCCTGACATGGGCATCTTTTACACTTGTTCAGACATGAATGCTGGCAATGCAGGACAGAAAGTTGGAAAGAGTATCACATCTAATTCGATTGTACATTTTAGCCAGTCTAAGATTTACATTGCAATTACAGGCCTGGAAAATGGGGAGGGGGGAAATCCCTCCTAATGTCACATGTAGAAACGCCGTTAGGGTGGTTTTCTTTTCTTTCCTCTTAAAAGTCCCTATGCTTATTTTGCTCCATGATTTCATTTTCCAGTACCAGCATCATCAGGGTGAGCATCTCTCATTTTATCATCTGCACCTCAAAAGGTCCTCCCAGTTCTGCCACGGCCATTTCCTTGTCTCGTAAACCCAGATGCCTAGAAAACGTGGGCATATCTGCCTCCACTCAGGAAGGGCAGGACATTCTTGACTTCTCCGCAACTGATAATGGCACACAGAGCAGGTTGTTTCCGCACATGAGACTTAAATAGCCTCTCTGAGCTCCTCTCATGCCCCTTACATCAAGGTCTGCTGACTGTTCATCACAGTTTCTGTTGACATTGCATTCTGCACCAGATGCAGGGAGCCCTTTTTAGACCCAAGGGCTGCATTGCATTCTGGGAAGCCTTGGGGGGGAGGAGCACATGCCAGTGGTAGGCGGAGCTAAATGCAAAACTAGGCGGAGCAATTAATGCAAATTCTACCTTTCTACGGTAGGCTAGTTTCTATCTATTCTTAGTCCTCCAGGCAAGCATAAGGCATGATCAGAATTCAAGAGAGGCAAAAACACTCAAGAAAGATGCAAAGTAGGACTGGTAAATGGCATGGTCCTGGGAAGAATGGGCATGGCTGGGGCGGGATATGACATGGGGAGACTCCTGAGGGCCAGATGGAGAGATTTAGAGGGGCACATTTGGCTCCAAGGACCTGAGGTTCCCCCACCCCAGCTCTACAGTTTTATGATTCTGTGAACATCTAGAGAAAGGATGAACCCTGGCTTGAACCAGCAGGTGCTCAGCCACAACTGTATCACATTCATGATCACCACAACAAACCAACCAACAAACCATGATAGCTTCTCCTCCCCAACAGTGAGGCTGGATCCACTTTCAGTCAGAGGGAAGACCAATGTCATATTCATAACAGTGGCCGCGATGGGTTTTTCACCAGGAAGTCTTGCCCTTTTCCCTACAAAGCTGAATCTCCCTCCTTTTTGTGTTTCAGGCAGGCTGTCCATCTTGCTTCAATTACATTTCAAAATAGCTACAACATAGGTCTTAGAGCAGGGCTTTTAAGCCCAAGGGCCGCAATCCTTTCTGGGCAGTGTTCCGAGGGCCACATGCCAGTGGGAGGCAGGGCCAGAGGCAAAAGTGGGCAGAGCAATGCATGTGAGTTTCACCTTTGTACATCGGGATAATTTCTACACATACATACATACATACATACATCCTCCAGCCAGACAAGCAGGAGGCACAATCAGAGTTCAAGGGCATATCCCAGCCAGGCAGAAACACTCAGGGAGGGTATGAAACAAGGCCAGTTAGGCATATGGCCTGGACAGCCAGCTTGGTCCGGAGGCCTACATCTGGACCCAAGCCTGAGGTTCCCAACCCCTGGCTTAGATGAGCATACATTCATCCTTTGCCTTTTTTAAACCAATGAGCGCTTACAGATTGTTGCGAAACTGTTCCAGCCTTCAAGGGGAGCAGGTGTTCTTGATAGCACAGGTACTAGCCAATAGGCTTCAGCTGAATTTCTTCTGGCAAGCTGAAAACAGGACCAGTCCTGCTCAGAAAATAATGTAAAATTTCAAGGCATGTTCTGCAGCTTTCTCCAGAATTTTAAAAAAATATATGTTTGCGTTTAGGGCTACGATGGCGCTTTTTGCACTGTCATCATGTTTAAAACATTACAGCTGTGTCTGCCCTTGATTTGGGATGGAGTATATATTTGAATCAGCTGCAGCACTTTTCCCAGGTGAGGCTGGAGCAGGTGTGGAGAGCAAACTGGGAAGGGACCGGGCTCCAGCCACCTGCGCCAGCTCTTCTTCCGGGAGTCCTGCTCTCGCCTCACCCCGCTTTGATCTACTGTAGCTTGTCTGCTGTTGCTACATCAACTGTCAGCAAAGTCTCTCAGTCCCTCTAAAGTGTTGCCCCCTCGTCGCCTCTCCAGAGAGCACAATGCCTCTTCAGTGGAACCCAATGGCACACACAGGCCTGCACAGTTTCCTGAGCCCCATCCTTGTGAGGGAGGAGCAAGAAAATTCCAGCAGCGCCCCAGGCCCCAACAAACCCTGTATTGTTTTCTCCCTCAGCAAAAGACTTCTGCGCAGAGCGAGCCACACAGTCTCGCCACTGAGGCTGGTCCCTGCCACCCTGGTGTGACATTTCTTACCTCCTTGAGAGGAAAGGCTTCCTCTGGAGGCTAAACAGTCTCTCTGCAGCAGGCTTCTCCCTGTGGGGTGCCCTCCATGTTCTTTGGACTACAATTCCCATCAGCCTCAACCAGCACCGGGGCTGCTGGGATTTGTAGTCCAAAACATTAGGAGGGTCCCCTACATGGAGAAGGCTGCTGTCCTCGTTGGCATTCATCTAGTTGGCTGTTTGCTTAGTTCCCCAGAGACTTAGGTTGTGTAGACATTGCCAGCTTATGTGGAATGGGTGATGATGTTGCAAGACATGTACGCATTCCGCATGTACTGTGCACAAACCAGCCTTTCCCAGCCTGATGGCCTCCCGATATCCCACCTACCCCAGCCAGCCGACATGTGGCCCACAGAAGGTTGCCCTGATGGGAATGTGACCACCAGGCTGAAATAGCTTTTCAAACCCCTGCTGTAAATTCTCCAACTGTCAAAGATCTGCAAGAGAAGTTCTTTGAGGATCTCACCACTTGGAAGAGAGACATGGGACAGCTTTTTCTTTTGTCAGTCCCAGAATGTGGAACGTTCAGCACCCTTCATCCCTGTCCATGGGATCCTGCTGGGTAAGGCAGGTCCAAGATCTCTGGGGGCAACAGGTCAAGGAAAGCTGGTTCAAGAACTTGGCTAGCGTATGCTGAGTTTCAACACAGAGGAAATTAGCATTGGGGCGGGGGCAGGCTTGTGTGTTGCCATGTGCAATCCCCACTTCCTTGAGCAGTCTGAAGCTTCAGGGGCGGTGCTTATTAGGAGCTGGATTTATTTACAATTTGAGAAGTTTAAACACTTCCAAAGGCAGCACATTCACAGCTCAGATGCATTTGGTGCAGCCTTTGTCAACCTGGTGCCTTCCAGATGTTTTGAACTACAACTCCTGGCTTGTGGTGATGGGAGTTGGAATTGCAGACACCCACAAGACAACACATTGGTGAGGTCTGTTTTAGCATAAAGGTTCCCACCTCAGCTCTCTCTCTGTGTCTGCTTCTCTTTCTGTGTCCTGCTAGTTTCCCCCATTGCTGCTTTTTACACACGCAGCTTGTTCCCCACCCCGCCTCCTCCTCCCTTCATCTGGGAGGAAGTTTTCACATTCCAAAGAATCTTCAGACAATTAGTTCCCATGAAGAGACATTCTTTGAACATCCTGGGCCATTAGCAAGCAATATGCCTGACAAGAGGTATGGTCAGCATAGTTGGCCCAGCTTGGACAGGATTCATAAAAAGAGATAGATTGATAGAGCATGCAAGCACACGCACAAAATGGATTATGACTCAAAAGTCATCATTTTGAGAGCATATTGAACCTGGGAGAAATCAGTTCAAATACCATCTCAACTGTTGTCTCATTGAATAGGATGAAGTCACAATGTAGCCAGGATTTTGGAAATAAAGCACTGGCAATTATGATTACAATTCTAATTATTTAAATTAAGTTCAATAATCATAGAATTGTAGCGTTGGAAAGGATTCCGAGGGTCATCTAGTCCAATGCTCTGCAATGCTAAATGCCAAAATCAGCTCCTCAGCAGTGGATGATCTCTACACCCCTCCACACTCGTGCCTGCACACTGTGCAGCCAGTCCTGAAGTTATAAAATAGGGTTGCATTTTTCCATCATCCACTTTCAAAATTTCAGTCCTTGAATTTGTGAGTGGTGGAAAGCAACCCTGAAGAAAAGTCTGCTTCAGCTGTGAAATATAGCGGGTGGGGTGTGTGTGTTATGGTCCTTGCAGCAGCCTCTGATGGATTTTTCTCCTCCAAAATACATGGTGCCCCTGTACATATATGCTCACACCAGCTGTTTGTTTACTTTGAAATATTTATATCCCACATTTCAAATGCAATTCACAAGGCAGCTTTTGAAGATGGCAATCAAATATAAGACCAGGCTGGTCACATTAAAACTTGCTCAAAGTCTGGAGCAGAAGAAGGGGCTTTACCTGGTATCTAAGGTTAGCAGAGTAGGTGCCAAAGGAATGGCCATAAGGAGGGATTTCCATAGTTGAGGTGATCCCACCTCATCTCAGAAGGTGGGGCAACCGAAAGACATGTCTCTAATGCCACATCCAGCTTGGCTTTCTATCAGGAGAATCAGAAGCCCTCTGCAAACACGTTGTGTAGAATGAACACACTGAGAGGAGGGGTTCAGGATCAAGCTTACTGGACCTGCCCCAACCCACACATTTTGCACAAAGCTCATTCAGAGAGCTACAGCTTTGCCACGACGATCCATGCTCTTAGAGGTTAGACTGCTGTGACACATTGTATGTGGAGCTGCATTTGAAGAGTGTCCAGAAACTGTAACTGTAATACTGGTCACTTGCGCCGGATTGAGGGAGGTGAGGCTCTCTTGACCTCCCCACCCCTTGACCATCAGTCAGGGGGGATTCCTCTCTGGGGCCAGGCTAGGTTTGCCATCCCTTTGACTTCTCTTCTGCTGCTCTAATAGAGATCAGCTGTCAGCAGGCCTCTGGTTTTCCCGTGTACGAGGACAGAGCGGGAACTGTTGGCTCAGAAGCGCAGCCCTGACATTTTCTAGCAGGAGCTGCCTCACAGAGCAAAGGTCACTTTTCTCCCTTAGATATTCTCAGCATTTCTGGCCCGAAAGATGCACTTTGCAGGCCTAGACCAAGTACTGTGGAAAAGCATGCAGGAAACTTGTCCTGCACATCTAGACAATGGATTGGCCAGAAGATAGTGGTAGTGGCAGGGCTGGCTGGCTGGCTACATATTGCCACTTGTGGAGAGGGTGGTGGAATATCTTGGAGCAGGGGAGGACCACCACAGGAACCCTGCCCCAGATACCCACAAACTCCATCTTGAACTATCAGTTTAAAGCAGTATCACACCACTTTACACAGTTGTGGCTTCCCCCAAAGAATCCTGGGCGCTTTAGTTTGTTAAGGGTGCTGAGACTTCTTAGGCTATCCCTATTACTCTTCACAGAGCTACAATTCCCAGAGTTCCTTGGAAAGAGGGATTGACTATTAGATAACTCTGGGAATTATAGCTCTGGGAGGGGAATAGGGGGTCTCCCAAACAAGTCTCAGCACCCTTAACAAACTACAACTCCCAAATTTATTTGGAGGAAGCCATGACTACTCCAGCCCACATATTTTTTTAATCTCAAGTAGCTGGCTGCCAACTGCCCCAGTTAGCAGGTAGGCAGCAAAACAAAACAAAATGAAGTGGCAAATGGGTGGATCAAAAAAACTAGAAAATACAACAGAAGCAGGAAAAGTGCACTAAAAGGAAGAGGAAAACATAAGTCTTGAAGATCCCAGGGATTGTCTGGTGTCCAGACAACTCTCTTATCAATCATAGCTCAGACTTCACTCATTGGCTAAACACACATGACAGGCAGGAGCAGTCAGGTCAGTTATCCACACATTTGCCTCATAACTTTTTTCCAGGAGGGCTAGAGATTTACTTTTAAAAAAGGGAAGAAAGAATGTGGAGCCTTTGCCTGTGTGCGCCAAGTAAGGTCTTTGCAGGTGCCATAGCACCTGGTGTTTAAGTAGTATTAGGGTGCTTTAATTGTATGGTGTGGTTGTGATCATGGTGGTTTCCAACCGCATCAGTATCGGCACCGAACTAAGACAAAAATAACATTCGTCAAATTAGATTCACCCCCCAAAAATGCGACTGTAAATAGTGTTGCAGGCGCTCCAATACAATGATGCAGGAAATGTATGACTAGGCAGTAGCATTCCTGAACAGGATTTAAGGCTTAACGAGGCCAACAAGCAGAACATGAGCCTGGAGCATGACAGCGTAGCACAAACAGCCAAGGCCATTTTAGGTTGTCCTAACAGGAGCGCATGTGTCCGAGATTTGGGAAATCACATTATTTCGCTACTAGGCATTGGTCAGCCTCATTCCAGCGGTAAAGAATGTTGAAAGGAAATGAGCAATAGACCAGGACAGGAAGCAGGGTGTGTGTGTGTGTGCATGTACGTGTACATGCGTGCCTGTTAAACTGCGAAACAGTAGACCAGACATCCCCAGCCTGGTGCCCTCCAGCTGTTTCAGACTACAGCTGGGGCTGATGGGCATTGTCTCCCAAACAAACTGAGTTATGGCTTGGTCTTTTCAAGAAGGCCACAAGCAATGTTGGAGGATGCAGTAGATGGGCTTGCCACTGTCTGGGCAGTGAACACGGACCTTAATCAATGATGAGGTCAAGCTGCACTCATCATTGGAAGCTATTACTTCAGAAGAAAGTTGTCACCTTCCCCTCTGACCCTGCTCCTCTGCCACTATGTTCATTATAGAATTCTAGGATATGGTCTGAGACTGAAAGGAATATGGGTCTCCTAGCAACTTGTAGCACCCTTAACAAATGACAACTTCCAGAATTCTTTGGGGGAAGCCATGACGGTTTAAAGTGGTCTGATGATGCGTTAAATCTATGGGCTGGACCAGGCAGCCCGGGCAGAACTGCCTTCCTCCACATGTAGAGGACTGTCCTCTGAAAAGTAGGGCACGTGACCACCGCAGCCCATCTGCCTGCAAGCAAAAGTATTCCTGCTTCCCTCTCCTGCCCTCTCCCCTGGAATGGGAGGCAGCGCACTGAAAGCCACAACACTGATGGAATGACGGACATGGCCTTCTGCCCCCTCTCTCCCTTGGCTCAGCCATCTGTTCGCCTTTCCTTTTCTCCACCCCTCCCCGCATGGCAACCAGCCTCATTTGTGGACAATCAGAGGATGGTTTCATGGACCATCTGTTGCCCACCAATCATTGCTCACAGAGGCTGCTGTCACCGGCAAGTGGCTTCTGCTGGGTCGCAGCATATGCAGGCAACCGAGGCCAAGTCTGCCCCTGCCCTGATCCTCCCAGCCTCCTGCTGCCCCCACACCCTGGACTCTGGAGCAAGCATGCATGGTCACATGCGCCCATCCACGCACAGAGGGTGACGGAACAGTTGTCAGAGGCCGGCTAGAAGGTTCCTGAATGAGAAGATCAGTCATGGTTGGCAAAGCTTAATGGGAGAGAGATTTGCCCTATGGAGAGCTGAAAGGGAGGGCATGCACTCGCTGCACAAAAGGAAATAGTTTGACCCAGATGGCCTGGCCATTGTGCCCCTTGAGTGCAGCATAAATCAAGGGATTTTTTGCCTGGTCAGAGGAAGCAATGCTTCTGAATACCAGTTGCGGGAAGCCACAAGGCGGAGGGGTGAGTGCTCAGGCACTTGGGTCCTGCTGATGGGTTGCCCACTGGCATCTGGTCTGCCACTGTGAGAACAGGATGCTGGGTGAGATGGGCCATTGGCCTGATCCAGAAGGCTCTCCTTAAGTTCTTATGACATGCGCAGGGACATATAAGGCAAGCACACCTATTGCTACTTACCTACACGAGCTCTAAAAAGCATGAGAGACAAAGATGATTTTTGACAGAATATGGTATGTGTTTATTCAGTACATGAGAAGGGGCGGTACAGTGACAAAACCACCAGCAACTCGGAGTTCTCTCTGGAGCAACTTGTTAAGATAGGGATAGACAACAATGCTCAACCATCACAACTATCCAAAATCCAACATATGAACCTCACAATTACTTACCTTTTCTCTTTTCTTTTTTTAAAAGACTTTATTAAGTAATCAAAATCTCATACAATAAAACAAAGCAAAGAGCTAAGAGGCAACATACCATTACAGATCCATGATGCATACTTAGACATTACTTTGAAACCGAGAATCATAGAATTGTAGAGTTGGAAGGAACCCCAAGGTTCATCTAGTCCAGCCCCCTGCAATGCAGGAATAGAAAGGTTAATCACAGAAAGGTCCAGGCCAACCAAGATCAATCAAGACAATGAAAATATAAATTTTGTGAAGGCAAAAAAGAGCTAATAGTAATAAGTATTCTCATGTAATCAGTACCAAATAAGATCAAATTTGGTGGGAAGGTGTCAGCCATGAGCTTGTTTTTTTAATAGACATCAAAAACATCCCCCACATAGGGGGATAATCAATTGGCTTAGTGATGCCTTGTGAAACACATATCATATAGGTCAATTTTTATTAAATTGCATTATGCAGGGCCTTATTAAATGACATGTTAAGGTGAAAGTCTGATGTATTTCTCCACTCTCAATCTAAAAATGTACACACATAGCATATATGGGGGATTTACATTAGAAGTATTTGTGCTTTTGTAATATTTTTGAAAATGAAAATATACCATATATATTTTTAAAGACCCTCTTTAAGGATGCAGGCTAGGTAGGTGAGGCTAAGAGACGGTGACTGGCCCAAGGTCATGGAAGGAGCGCCGTGACTGAGTGGGGAATTGAACACTTTAACTACTAGACCACATTAGCTCTGAGCAGTGAACACCCTCCCCACCCTGACCACTATTGGACCTCCCAACTCCACTGTGATTTCTGATGTTTTACCAGGAAATGTTTGAGTTTATATTTAGCACCACAGATAGAAGCTTGCCTTAAGAATCTATCAGATAGGTTCTGCACCCAGTTCTTTATTCTGTGCTTGTTTAGTAGGCCATCACAGGCATGAGGAATAAATGCATCCCTTAATATCGCCTTTGCTCTGCAAGTATCTTGCAAACACGCAAACTGCCATGGCAGTCTGCGAGCAGCAGCCCCAAGGGACAGGGAAGGAGCTCACAAAGTCACTGCTAGTCCTTTCTCTGTTTCATTTGAAGCCACATCTACACTGCAGAAAGGCTACAGCCATTTGGCCCTCTGTCAGCATCTATATAGGTGGACTGTTTCAGGGAGCGAAGCTCTGCCTATAGGTTGCCCTGGCAACTGTTGCCATAGAAGGCATCCCATGGTGAAGTTGACAATCACAGTGATAAGTCCACTGTTGTCCTCCGAGAGAGCCTTTGTCTCTTGGAAGGAGATGTTTTATGGGTCTGTCTTAAGGGACTCTCTCTGCAATTAGGTCGCTGCCCTGATCTAACATAGGCTCAGCAGAAAGGATAGTTTCAGCAGGATATACAGGAAGAAGTTTCACCTATCAAATTTCTCTTTTCTATGCAACTCGTGGATAGGATCTAGCACAAGGGTCAGCAACCTTTTTCAGCAGGGGGCTGGTCCACTGTCTCTCAGACCATGTGGTGGGCCAGACTATATTTTGGAAAAAAATATGAACCAATTCCTATGCCCCACAAATAATCCAGAGATGCATTTTAAATAAAAGGACACATTCTACTCATGTAAAAACACGCTGATTCCCGAACCGTCCACAGGCCGGATTGAGAAGGCAATTGGGCCACATCCGGCCCACGGACCTTATGTTGCCTACCCCTGATCTAGCAGTTCTTCCCAGGTCCGTTAAAGACATCAGTTGCTTGTTCTGGGTGGGGTTGTGTTTCTTCTGAAGGAGTAGACACATTGCAGGTTTTTATACAGAGGTTGGATGGTCATCTGTCAGGGATGCTTTAACTGCGATTCCTGCATGACAGGGGTTTGGACAAAATGACCTTTGGCATCCCTTCCAACTCTACAGTCCTATAATTCTATGAGTTTGAGGGTGCTCCTGGAAACATCCATCACTGGAGACCCAAGTGGCTTCTGGATCTACAAAAGCCTTCTGCCAGCTTCAGCTGACACAACAGCTCCAGCTATTCCTGGACAGCTGTGGGCAGGATTCTTGCACTGCAGGAGGTTGGAGTAGATGACCCTTCCAACTCTATGATTTTGTGACTTCTAGGATAGCTTAGGTGCTGTAGTCTAGGCACTGGGAAACTCCAGATTGGGTTACTGCAATGTGGTTGACCTCGGGCTTCCCCTACAGGTTGGTCTGGAAGCTGCAACTAGTGCCAAATGCAGTATCTTTTTTTTTTAAAGAATATTTATTCCAATTTTACAATTACAAAAAAAAGAAAAAGTATAAAAAAAAGAAACACAAACCACATACATCTTATAAAAAACAGACAATAAAAGGAATAAGAAAAACAGAGGATCACAGTAAAAAAAAAGAAAATAACAAAAAACATATTTGACCATTACAAACCATTTTCCCATTTACTTATTTCCATGACTTCCTCTCACCTCCCTGCTTTGTATTCTAGTTTAAATCGTATCTCCAGCAAATCCTTCTAACCTTCTTTTCTTTTACTTATTTTAACATTCGAAAATATTGAATTCTCCTCTATCCTCATTTTACACTTCATATTTACTTATTCCATTATACCCTGTCTGCCAATACGGTCTAATATTCTTCTCCAACCTTTTTCTAACATTCTTTTATATTGCATTGTTTCTGAAGATATATTTTAAATTTTTTCCAGTCTTCTTCCATCAACCCTTCTTCCTGGTCTCGAATTCTGCCGGTCATCTCAGCCAGTTCCATATAGTCCATCACTTTCCTCTGCCATTCTTCTCGGGTAGGCAATTCTTGTGTCTTCCAGTATTTCCCAATGAGTATTCTTGCCGCTGCTGTCGTATACATAAAAAAGTCCTGTCTTCCCTTCGCACCAATTGGCCGACCATGCCCAAGAGGAAAGCCTCTGGTTTCTTCACAAAAGTGTATTTCAATACCTTTTTTTAATTCATTATATATCATTTCCCAGAAGGCCTTGATCTTTGGGCACGTCCACCAAAGGTGAAAGAACGTACCTTCATTTTCTTTACATTTCCAACATTTATTATCAGGCAAATGATAGATTTTTGCTAGCTTGACTGGGGTCAAGTACCACCTAGATATCATTTTCATTATATTTTCTCTTAAGGCGTTACAAGCCGTAAATTTCATACCTGTGGTCCATAACCGTTCCCAGTCGGCAAACATGATATTATGCCCAACATCTTGTGCCCATTTAATCATCGCAGATTTAACCATTTCATCCTGTGTATTCCATTTCAACAGCAGATTATACATTCTTGACAGATTTTTAGTTTTAGGTTCTAACAATTCCATTTCCAGTTTAGATTTTTCCTCCTGGAAACCAATCTTTTTATCTAGGTTAAAAACCTCCCTTATTTGATAGTAGTGAAGCCAATCTCGAACTTTAGTTTTTAATTTATCAAAGCTCTGCAATTTTAATTTATCTCCAACTTGTTCTAAAATTTCACAATATTTTGGCCAGTTTGTCTCCATATTTGTTTTTTTCAATGCCTTTGCCTCCATTGGTGACAGCCACCTTGGTGTTTTACTTTCCAACAAATCCTTATATCTCACCCAGACATTAAACAATGATTTCCTGACAATATGATTCTTAAAGGCCTTATGCGCTTTAACTTTATCATACCATAAATATGCATGCCATCCAAACACATTATCAAAACCTTCTAGGTCCAAAATGTCCACATTTTCAAGAAGTAGCCAATCTTTCAGCCAACAAAAGGCGGCTGATTCATAGTAAAGTTTAAGGTCTGGCAGGGCAAATCCCCTCTTTCCTTCGCGTCTGTTAAAATCTTAAATATTATTCTAGGTTTTTTGCCCTGCCAGATAAATTTGGAAATATCTCTTTGCCACCTCTTGAAACAGTCCATTTTGTCCACAATTTGTAATGTTTGAAACAAAAACAACATTCTAGGCAATACATTCATCTTTATCGCTGCAATTCGGCCTAACAATGATAACTTCAATTTTGACCATATTTCTAAATCCTTCTTCACTTCTGACCAGCATTTTTCATAATTATCTTTAAACAGATTCACATTTTTGGCAGTCATATTCACTCCTAGATATTTCACTTTATTAACAATTGTTAATCCTGTCTCTTTCTGAAACCTCTCCTTCTCAATCTCTGTAAGATTTTTCTCTAATACCTTAGTTTTCATCCAAATGCAGTATCAAGGCTACTGAAGCAGCTGCCCAACCACTGACAGGTGCCAGCACACAACACTTGTACCGAAAGAGTTACACTAGCTCCTTTTGCCATATAAAGCCCTAAGCTACTTGGGACCAGGTTATCTTGGAGAACATTTTCCTTTGTATTCCTCTGCACAGCCAATTTTGTCCTCAGGACAGCTACTCATGGTAGTGATGCAGACTCACAAGGTTTGCGCGTCGGAAGTCAAATGGAATAAAAATTTACAGATTGTTCCCTATTGAAGGAGAATTACATGAAGATGATGTATAGATGGTACACAACACCAGTGTACAAAACATTAAGTTTACAAAACTTGAAGTTTAAGGAAAAGGACATTTTATCATATGTGGTGGGATTGGAATGTAATTAAAAAATTTTGGGAAATGATATACAATGAATTGAAGAAAATGTTCCATTTAACATTTGTTTAAAAAACCCAAGGCATTTTTGTTGGGGATTGTAGGGAAAGACCTGCCAAAAAAGCTGAAAAACATCTTCATGTTAGCGACAACGGCCGTGAGAGTTCTGGTAGCACAAGGATGGAAGACTGAAGAAACCCCAACTAAAGAATCAAGGGAAGAAAAATTGACGGACTATGCAGAACTGGCAAAACCGACATATAAGCTACGGGACAAGGATAACTGTGACTTTAAAGATGAATGAGAACCCTTTACAAAGTATCTGAAGATGCAACAAAGTGAACTGGACTCCTTGGCAGGTTTTGAATAAACATTCACAAACTTTTTATTGATAATAATCAGCTAAATAGTCTGAGAATCTATACAACTTTGTAACATGCAGAAAACAGCAGTCTCAGAGAAACCAAAGACTGGAACTGAGGGAAGTCGGGGGGTGGGGGTTTTGTGTGGGAGGGTGGGGGGAGGGAGGGAGGAAAAATGGGGGGGGGGGAATAAGGATGATATGTTTTTGGATAATATGTCTTGTTTTAATTTTGAATAAAAAAAACTTTTTTTTAAAAAAAGGAAGTCAAATGGAATCCATCCCGGAAGTCTGTTTGACTTCCAAAACGTTTGGAAACCAAGGTGTGGCTTCCAATTGGCTGCAGGAAGCTCCTGCTGCCAGTTGGAAACCGCAGAAGCCGTGTCGAATGTTCAGGTTCCAAAGAACGTTCGCAAGCTGAAACACTCACCTCCAGGTTTGCGGCATTCAGGAGCCAAAACATTCGACTCGCAAGGCATTCAGGATCCAAATAGAAATAAATACGCTTAGAGAAATGTGGTGCCCTTGAATCATCTGCCTTCCCAGCACACGCGGATAACATGTTGGGTCTAAGGCACAGGTGGCTGGTCTGTACCACTTCAGACAGCAGGTGGAGGCTCACATGACTGAATGCTCTTCTATCCAATAGGAAAAGATCCCTGTCACTGTGTATCACAGAGAAGGCAAGGCTAGAATACGTTTCTCTGACACCTAGAGCTCTTCCAGACAACCTGTTTATTCAGCATTCACCCTGATTTGCTTGCACAAAGATTATGCGGTGGTTAGTCTTCATTGAACTCTCATTCTGATTTGTTTACAGAGTTATATTCCAATGAGCATTCATGCTACATTCATCGTGATTTGCTTTACAAGTCTTTCGATTAATCATTTATTCATCCCACACTTTTCAATGCATTCCATCCTCACTTTCCAAACCACAAAACTTCAGTGTGTGTGTGTGTGTGTGTGTGTGTGTAGTGGATTTGTTGTGCTGGGACCAGAGAAAGCTTTGATTATTTTAAATTGTGCAAACCTAAATTTCCATATGTGTTTGAAGCTCTTCTGAAAAATAGAGGAACCCTTAGTTTTCTATGCAGATTTTTTTTTTCTGGTGGAGAAACATTCTCTCTTTTCCCTGAATTTGAAGGTAAGAATGAGGTAGACAGGGCAGAAATTATGATGAAGAGCACAAATGCTTCTCTCTGTCAGTCTGTCTCACTATGACCCCATCAGTGAAGAGAAATGAAATGTATTTGATGACTTAGCACTGCAGCTCTCTAGCAGCCTCCAGGCCATACCTACAGTAATCCAGGAGGAAGCCCTCTTAATGATCTGAAAAACCAAAAGAGAAATCTTGCAGAAGAACAGGTCAACGAGTCTTGCCCTAGATTTGTGCAGTACAAATGTGCAGGATAAAAGGCACAGGATGAGTTACAAGCAAAAAGGAAGACCAAAATGGCAGAGTCCCACACAGATCTCTAACGTGACCTTGTTTCTTACTGGGCTGACTCCATTGCATAGGGAACCCAGGCACTTGGCTGGGGGCAAAAATACTTGGAGGGGCACCAGTGAAGCTTCTAGAAACCTGGAAGCAAGAGGAGTGTGGATGAATCTCCTGCAGCAGGTGAAGATCTGGTTCTAGAGGAAAGCAAAAGAAGTGAGGCGGTATGTTAGGCAGGGCCGGCTCACCCATGAGGCAAGGTGAGGCATCCACCTCAGGTGGCAAAATCCACCTGATCCACAGGGGCTGCAGATCCTAATGTAGATATTTATTCCCCCACCCCCTTGTTCCTGATGGAGCTTTTCATTAACCCCTTTTCCCTGGCGGGAGGGGAGTCCCATTTTGTGATTGGCTTCCGGTGCCAACATGTTTGGGTTGTCCCTGCTAGTAGGAGAAAAGTGAGAATAATGATTAGGGATATGGAAGGTGGCCATATATTAAGAGGATAGAAAGGTTATGAACTAAGGCAGAGCTGGAAACCAGGCAACCAAACCAAATCCCATGTGGCATCCAGCACTTGGCAGCAACTCCAGATTCCTGGAAATGCTGACCTTAATTCTCTTCTATTAAGGGGGAAAAACAAGGTTCTAGCTCTCATTGTGTACGGTTGGAAACATGGATGCAACATTTGCCAAAGACTTCAAGATTCATGGGGATGTATCTCTATGGCTTGCATAGCTTACCTGTCCCTCTCTGATACCCAAACTCATACATATTACAAGAAATGTATGGCCATTGCCATCTACATCTGCCCAGAAATAATGCTTGATTAAATGAGGGTGTGTTATATGATGAAACTGCATCACATCCAGTGCTTCCTTGCCTTCAAAGACTGTACTAACTGTTCCGCATAATCCTATACATCTCTTAACTCGCTGCTCCTGTTACAGTATTCCAGATTCCACAAAAATTCAAACCAGAAGTTTAGAGTAAATCATGTGGGTTGAGATTATTAGCAAATTTAGGCATGTGCACCTGTCTGTTGGTTTGCTAAAATATTATGATTGCAGAATTTCTTTTTTCGTGGAGAAGAATTAGAATTTCAATCACAGACAGATTTAAAAAATTTTAATGAACAAGAGTAATCATCCCTGGATTGGAAAAGTGAACAAGGAAATTATTTTAGAAATGGAAATATTTATAAAGTTTCCACTTTTAGGGCCTTTTGGGAAAGTTTTTCCCAAATATGCACTTTCACCTTTGTATAATTCCAGTGGTTAAGACACACTTTCCCCAAACTTTTCAAGACTTAATGAGAAAATCAGTAATGCTGCCCTGCTCCCTAGCTACCCGAAATAACATTTTGTCCATTCCTATTGATCGAAATGATCTGTGGAGGCTGGCTGCCTTATCTAACGGGCAATTTCCCAAATTGTCAGCTTTCTATGTTTCTTGTTTATTTTCCTTCAAAGAAAGTAAATCTCAGTCCCTTTCATCTGCGGATACATAACACAAGCAAACTTGTTTTCTGCTTCTCCAGAACCAAGAAGTTCAAATGACAAGAAAGGAGATTCTGACTAAAACATTAGGAAGGACTTTCTGCTGGTAAGAGCTGTCCAACAGTGGAATAGCCTGTCTCAGAAGGTAGTTTTTAAAGCAGAGGCAATACTGAACTAGATGGACTTTTGAGCTAACTCTGTACAGGTTAGTTTCCTGTGTTGGCATGACCAATGGCAGCAGTGGGTGGTGGCCTGAATGTCCCAATGAGTGCCAGTACTGGCTTGGGAGCTGCCTTCTGAATTCCCCACAATGCCTTGAAGTGATGCTATGTCATGGGCATTGTGGGAAATTAAAATGGCAGCCCATTGCCATTTTACAGGGCAGGGTGCGGTGGAGGCTGAATCAATGGTCGACCCAGCTGGGGCTCTTTTACCATCACTATGAAATGGCCTCAGTTGATAAGATAGTATGTAAAGTTGATGCTGGGCCTGCCCCTGTATGCCTTGATACTGAACCCAAACTTATTATACCCCTCCCTTGATTTTAGCCCCAAACTTGGAGATTTTAGCCTTTCCATTGGGGCCCCTGAGAAGGAGGTGGCTTGGAAGCCAAAGCCTAGCTGCCCCCAGGCACACTAAAGGCACCCCTAGGCAGAGGCGTTGCCTTCCTCCCCCCATTTTTGTTTGCTGGTAACAGACTGTTTTCCGCAGCCGTGGTGGCTCTGAGCCACACTGACAGGGTGAGGAACAGATTCCAATTCATTCCCAATGAATCCTCCAGCCAGCCTCCCCCGAGTTTCCTCTCTGGCTGTGGGCACTTAGGACGGGCTTCTCTGGGTTCATCCTGTTCTGCAGCAGCTCAGATGGCAAAATGTGTTTCCTGACGCCCTTGCTGGAGTCAGCAGAACACAAGCCTGGCCTGGAAGGAAAGCTGGGGCAGAGCAGCCGGACAAAGCGTTAACGGAAGCCTCCCCAAGCTGTACGATGCCCAGGAGGCAGGAGAGGGCAGGCACCACAAGGCACCCCTGCACTGGACCATCTGACAGACTGGCCTCCTGATGTTATCTGACATGCTTCTGCTTCCTGAGTTCTCCTCGCCCAAAGCTGGGAAGGGAAGCCTGCGATTAGGCAGCCTCCCAGCAGCCAATCTGGGTAAAATGCTGATTTTGGAATCTTTTGCATCATTCCCCCTCCCCTCCTGAGGAGTCTATGGAGGGAATTCTTTCATGCCAGCTCCCCGCCCCCCATGACCTTCAACTGTCACAAGTGTACTCTGCTCACACTTCATTGGGCTGTCTGAAATGCCACCTCCAGTCCAGCAGTGCTAAGTTATGTTCTTATTTTAAGCCTACTTGCTTCTATTTAAATTGAGCCAAGAGAGGGCTCTTCTTTACCCCAGCTATACTTCCTTAAGTGCTGCTCTGGAAACCATGGTTGGCCCACTACTCACCAGCATATGGCCACGAATTCTTAAGTGCATTGGTCATGCACCCTTTAAACCATCTGCTGCAGCAAGTGCTGGTCTGTAACACAGAGTTCAATCTCCGGTGGCATTTCCAGGTAGGGCTGGGAATTGTCCCCTCTGTGAAACTCTGGAGAGCCACTGCCAGTCAGTGTTGACAGTGCTCGGCTAAATGGACCAATGGTATAAGGCATCTTCTTATTTTCCTAGTGTGGGATGGTTTTTAATGGGTGGGAGAGGTTATATTAATTGCAATTTATCCTTCCAGGCTCCCATGTGTATGGGTTGCACAGAGTTTCAAAATCCCATCCTTTCACAGGGAAACCAAAATGCTTGTTTACAAAACTATTGTACTACCAACCTTACTATGCTTGTGAAACATGGACCACTTATAAACGCCATCTCCAGCTCCTCAAAAGATTCCATCAATGGTGTCTCTGAAAATTTTTACACATCACTTGGGAAGTCAGGCGAACTACCGTAATCCCAGTGTACTGGAAGAAGCAAAGATCACCAGTGTCGAAGCAATGATTCTTCAACACCAACTTCGTTGAACTGGTCATGTTGTTTGGATGCCTTATTATCGTCTTCCAAAGCAACTACTGTATTCCAAACTTAAAAATGGAAAGCGTAATGCTGGTGGTCAACAAAAGAGGTTTAAAGACTCTCTCAAGGCAAATCTAAAAATACATAGTATAAACACCGACAATTGGGAAACACTGGCCTGAG